CTGGACAGCAATTGCACGAAAGTAATTCACAAGATAATTGGGGAGTTGTCGCGACGTTTCATGGTTATTTTTGTCATTAAAACAATTTATGAGTTGCAATATTTCCTTCAAATTTTGTTGAAATAGGAAAGACGGAAATAAGTGGTTTCATCTGGCGATGCTGATTTGTTCAAGAAGCCTTTACCAAAACGAGAAGTTAAAAGCTAGATTGTCGTTCTGCCATCATAGCTGAAATGAAATTTTCGTTGCGTCCTTAAACAAAATTTTTATCAGATCTATACCCTCCAAAGTGCCGAAAGAGCTCATTTGATTGAGTGTAGTAGGATTGACCTTGAGCAGTGAATTGTGACTGTGATTGATATAAAACATATGTTGAAACAGAGAGAATCACTTCGAATTTCATTCCCATTTTGTTTCAGAATTCGTCATATATATCGTAAACAAAAGAAGGATTGATTGTAAATGAATTACATTTTCACCTGCTTTTTTTTTTTTACTTATTACTGTAGTGCATTTCAGCCAATTCTTTAGAGATCTTCAAAACTCTGCTGACGGGAAAATAACATATAAAGATAAGGATTAAGTTGTAAAAATTGCGCAGTATTTGCACACTCATTTCTAGAGATTGTAAACGTTTTTTGCGTCGCTAAGGGATGATCTGTGTTCCAATATAAAGTTAAGAAACCATTTTGTTGTCAAGGAAAACTTTCTATTTATCTTAAGGTTCGGAACTTTACATTGCGAAAGCATTTCAGATTGAGGAGCACTTGATGTAGGCCAAGTTCAAATCATAATCCATTATTCTTTTGGCTTTGCACAAGATACTCACTCTTGTTGTCCAACATCGCTTGTGCGTTGAAAACATTATTGAAGGCTGACTTAACCCAATTTGAACCATCTCCATCATTCTTAAGAAAGCTGCGGTCAAACTTAGATTTGTCTCAATAGGAATAAAAATAAAACAAGTGCGATATTAGTAAATCGAATAAAAAAGATGGTAAGTTTTAAGCTCGGTAAAGAAATAGAGAATGATGTTTTTCGTCTTGTCACGAGAGTGGGTCAAAAAAAAAATTTGAGTTCCCATGAGGAACTCAACTTGAGCCTTGGAGCTCCAATGCTCTACCACTGTAACTTGATTCAAATGGAAATTGTTTCTTATCCTCACCATGAGTTTATATCACAAAAAAAGTAGATTCTAAAATTAACGGCATATTAATATGATTGCTTTCGTAATCTTTGACCAATCAAAGCTCTCCAGATTACGCTTTGCTGCTAATATTACAGATCTATAATTGTTTTTCTACTGTAAGTTAATGTCGCGAGAACAGGATAACAATAGGCATTCTGCGCGATGCTAAAAAAAGAGGAATGATGACGGAGCGAAGAGAGGCAGGAATCAACTCCATAGGTAAAAAAAACCTCACCTGAAGCCGCAGCTTTCTGACCAGACACGCTTTCGAGAAAAAGGTAAATCTGGCAATTAAGCAACAAAAATGATAAATTGTTGTGGATTTCTTCAGCTGCCATTTTACCGACATGCCTCCTCTTTGTAATGAGCGAGAGAAAAACACTGACACGATTATGCCATTTTGATGGAAACGATCTTCAGCCAACGCCTAAAAAAGGGAAAGCGCACCAAAGCGATTTCACTACAACTTTAATCTTTAAAAATATTAAAAAAAAACATCTCTTCTTAGCTCTTAAAAAAAAAAACGCGAATGCTTTGGACTCAACTAGGAAATATGACATAACGCGATACTAAATAATGTCCTTGTAAATGTGATGTTTACATTGTGCTTAAGATTTCTCCAGATGCTAACTATTATTTAAGGACAAGTATTTTCTTCCACAGTTTTTCAAGTGTTTTTGTGATTGAATTATGTACTCGCTCAATCATGCCAAGGTAAACGCCAAGGTAAACGCCAAGGTAAATTAAGGACACGCATGTGAATACGCCAAGATCGGATTTGAATGACCTATTCACGTGATTACAGCTTAAAGTTCAGTCCTTTTTGTATACAGCAGCTATCACGTTTCCCTACCGAGTAAGTTAGATAACAGCTGTGCATGTTTTACCGATAATAGTGTCAGTTGCTCATCCAATGTCACTCCAAACGGATGTCGAGACATAGCTAAAAATAATAACAAAAGTAGTGAACTCTGCCAAAACTCAATTATCACGGTTGAACAGACCAGCACTATTAGATATATTATTGATGCTTCAAATATTTAGCTTGTTTCCATCACTGGTGTCAAATTGTTTAAAGTAATCCAAAATCCAAAAAGGAAACGTCGTTGCATAAGAACCTCGTGAGGCTGTGTTATCACAAAACCACTGACTGGCTGCACGAGAAGTTTGTTCCAATTCCCCAAGAAAGCCTAAGCGTTGGAACCGCCAAGTGAAGATGAACAATAACTCCGCTGTTAACTTACCTCACGACGAGTACACTCCGTGCATTTTCGAACAAACGTTTTCGTATCCCGTTTCGGCCTGCGCAACAGCAGTTACATCTGTAGCGGTATTTGGAAACTTATTGGTCTGTCTCGCAATACTTGCCGATAGACATCTCCGCAATAATCCGACGAATCTCTTCATTCTGTCACTCGCTCTCTCGGATTTTCTTGCAGCAATCATAGTGATGCCGTTTGACATTGAGTTACTTTTCAGGATTGATTTTGAATGGTATCGTGGAGAAGCATTCTGTATAATTTGGCAAGTTATGTACCTTAATCCCATACCCATTTCGGTTTTCAGCCTCTTGGCCATCAGCGTGGATCGATACAAGACCCTCAGAGATCCTTTGGCTCGGTTTGAGACTTCACAATTCATGACTCAATAAAGAGCCTTACAAGTCATCATGGTAATCTGGCTCTACAGCATTTTATGGGCACTTTTTGTCTTCATGTGTTGGAGAGAAAAGGGAGAGCCAGATGATAAAGACAACTGCATGCTGCCCTATACTAAAGAATACAACATTTTTAGCTCTTTTTTCAATATCATTTTTCCGCTAATGATCAGATGCATTCTCTGCATCTTGATTTACCGTATTGCTGTCAAAAACAATCAATTTACCAAACGAGATGGCTTTCCCTCCATCCGGGAACCTACTAAAGAAGAAAAAAGGATGTATTTCAAGAATGTCAAAGCTGCCAAGACGACTGCCACCTTCTTGTTGGCGCTTTTCTTCTGTTGGCAGCCTTACTGTTATTTCATCATCGTCGAAACCATTCCAGGGAAAGAGTCGTTTCCTTGCAAAGTTTACATGTCGTTGTTGTGGTTGGGCTACCCTAATTCAGCGCTTAATCCCTTTTTGTACGCCTTCAGCAACAATCGTTTTAAGTTCTAGTATATCACGTAATACGAAACCATGAGAAGGCTCTAAGCAATACAGAGCATAATTCATCCGAATAACTCACGAATGAACAACAAGAGATGTATCTGAAGAATATCAAGGCAGCCAAAAAGAGCTCGGTATTCGTGTTGGCTATTTTCGTCTGCTGGCAGCCATACGCCCTTTGGCTTGTCTCTGACATCATTACCAGCAAAAACTGGACATCGTTTGACCACGAAGTCTACATGGTGCTGTTGATTTTTGGGTTTCTCAACTTGGCGCTGAATCCCTTTCTGTTCGTATTTCGGAAGAAGAACTTCAGAGCTGTGTATGCAAAAAGGTTTTCTTCCACACCTGTCAATTTAGGATTCAAATGTCACTGAACTTGCTAGATTTAACACGATACTAAAACAGCGTAGTTTCAACCTAAACTTCTTAGTTATAGCTGTTCGTTTTCTCAGCAGAGCGAATGTTGACAAAGAGCTTAGAAGACCACTCTCCAAACTTAAATCAGAGGGATCTTTAAGGTTGGATGTAAGCAAACAACGAAAAAAATATTACATGAGAAAAATCGAACTGTTTAAATTCATACTAAAAGGTGTTTTACAGGGCACAGCTGACGAGCAGATGCAGAACTCACCTCAACCAAAATCATTTCTGATGAAAAGCCTGATGAGAGGAAATAGACCCAGTTCCCTATCAGCGCGACCACTCTTCTTCCAGATAGTTAATTTTTTACCAAGTTGACCTTTAGAGTTTTATAAAATAGGTTATAGCTATACTGTATGTGAAGGTGAAATGATTTCGACATGTTTTTATGACAAAGACTTCACTAGATGTCATCTAAAGGATGAGCTGAAGTTTGCCAAATTGACTCAGACCGATAAATATGTATGCTTTTGTAAGGAAACTGAGAAATTTAATGAAGTTTTCCCGGTCAACGTTCTATAATACTTAACTTTAATTTAGGAAATAAGTGGGAACGCATTAGATGATTTAACACGATAATGATATTTTGATGGAAAGCTCTCCGCCCAGTATACAAGACACAAGACAATGCATTATGTCAACTCAATCATTATTCTCTGGAAATATAATCTTTTAGCATGTGTGAAATATCGAGTGTGAATTCAACCAAATAAGACGTAACAAGTAATGAATATTTCTGTGTTAGTATTGTTTCAGATATTTCAAGATTTTAAATTTCACGCAATATCCCTTTTTTTAAGCCCGAAGAGTTATTTTTAGAAGTTTCCTCATTGTTATCGTTTTTGTCATATTTTATTGTGGCTCAGTTATATCACTTGGTTGCAGACGAAAATCTAACCCAAGTCATTGGAGCTTTTAAGCCGCATTGAAATTGAACTATACATCTTTTAAAATGTCTGGTTCAATTTGAATCTGTCAGTTTTTCATAATGATATAGTCATCGAGAATTCTAGGTTTCTTTTTGCAATTTCAGTAAATAAGGAGACGTCAGAGTGATATTGAGTATGGTATACTCTGCCAAAATCAAGTGCCACTGATTAAATAAAACCTTAAAATATCACAAGCTGTAAGAGACGGCCGATAATCAATTTCTTTTGGCGCTTTATTGTGTTGAGCAAATCGAATACTGCAGTGACCGGAGCGTTACAAAGGTGGAAAACTCCAGTAAGCTACGGGAAAAGTTTGAGTTCAATTCTTTACAACCTAGAGCCGCGACATATTTACGTTCCAGAACAGCCTCTTAAAAATGAACAACAGTTCCGCTGCAGATCCGTTCACCGACGAAGACGTTTTCTTTGGTTTCAGACCAGAGTTTTCGTATCCTGTTGCAGCCTGTTACATAGTTATCACAGTGGTGGCGGTCTTTGGAAACTTCTTGGTCTGTTTCGCAATACTTGCTAACCGGCATCTCCGCCGCAATCCCACGAATCTTTTCATTTTTTCCTTGGCTCTTTCAGATTTTCTCGCGGCAACGATCGTGGTACCGTTTGATATAGAATCACTTTTCCTTGATGGTGCATGGAATCATGGAAGAGCATTCTGCATAGTTTGGCAGGTGGTGTACATGATTACTATACCCATCTCGATTTTCAGCCTATTGACCATCAGTGTGGATCGATATAAAACCCTCAGTGATCCTTTGTCGCGGTTTAAGAATTCACAGTTTATGACCCAAACCAGAGCTCGAATTGTCATAGCGATCATCTGGCTGTATTGCCCACTATGGCCGTTTTTTGTCCTCATGGGTTGGCGAGAAGAAGGAGAAGCAGATGATGATGGCATCTGCATACTGCCATACACAAAGAACTATATCCTTGTTTCGTCCTTTCTTAATGTTATTCTTCCGCTAATGATCACATGCTTTTTTTACGTCCTCATATATCGCATTGCTGTCAAGAACAATCGATCCACCAAACGAGGCACCTTTCCTTCGATGCGGCAGCCCTCCAAGGATGAAAAAAAGGTGTATTTGAGAAATGTCAAAGCGGCTAAGACGACTTCAAAGTTCGTTTTGGCGCTGTTCTTCTGCTGGCAACCTCACTTTTATTTTGCCATTGCCAGTGCTATTGACGGAGAAAACTGGGAACCGTTTCCTTACGAAGTTCACTCAGTGGTGTTGATGTTTGGTTACCTTAACTCAGCACTTAATCCGTTTCTTTTTGCCTTTTCCAACAAAAGTTTTAAGGCTGTTTATAAAAAGCGTAAACCAGCTTTAAAACGGGCTGAACCGTGCACATCGTTTCGCCGGCTCTCAACGTTTTCACAAAGCACTGTCACCTCCGATATTCCGGAGCTGGGAAGCGGTGTCCGTCTCCGATCCATATCCTATTATGAAGATTCAGTTTTTGAATCAGTGCCTGAGGCAGAGAGGTAGCTGTGGTGAGAACTCAAGAAGGTAATTTAAGATCTAGAATCTTTTGGTTAAAAAGGCTGGGTTATTTGAATATGATTTACCAACAGACATTATATTGTTGCATTATTGCGAAGCTCTTAATTTGAATATTGTAAAGCAGCTACATTACAAATAAGAATTTTCCTAAGCACTTATATAGATCCGTCACGTAATAACAACATATGCATTTGGTACATAATCACATTGCAATGTACCTGCTTAAGCAATAGCGGTAATCATAAGTTGTTTGGGGTAGGAGTCACCTGACATGTAACTCTCAGAGATTTGATGGTAAAAATGTATTATTAGTGTGATGGACTTTGAGAGGACCATTGAAGCTCTATCTAGCGAGAACATATTATATGTAAATTTTCTGAGCTTACCAAGATTTTGTTTGAAATTGATGTGGTGCTTTATCCTTGAAATTATCGGGACAGAAAATTGAAGTTAGGATGCATAATCAGTAGAACATGGAGAAAGTGTAGGTGAAGTGACGTGTGGTCTCAGTATTATATCTGTAAGACATAAACCTCTACAAAACATTGGAGGTTATCAGATATGGGCAAACATGTTTAATTCGAAAAAATTTGACTTACAAAATTGCAAAAACAAAGAGATCAAATGTTACAAATCTTGGTTTTATATCTATCAAGAGAATGTCAACTGCTGACGTTCTCTTAAAACATAATTCAAATATTCAGTACATAATACATATATTCACAGGCTGTCTGCCTGTGACTGGACTATACGAAACACAGTTCGGACTGATCTGAAATCACCAGCTTTATATTTTTTGTTTTTTTTTGCTTACCAAGCTATAGCTCGAAACCTTGTTTACTAAAGATTTTTTTCACAGCCACAGTTATTTGTTCTTAGTCGGTATTGAATAGCTATCTTTAACTCATCGGCTAATAATTTTAGCCGCTTCAGTTTCACTGGCTCAGTTTAGCAATACAATTTGAAATGTTGAAAAGCTGGCATGTTAAAACGCACAGTTTAGTCCAGTCATAGCCATTAGCCTTTAGATAAAGGCTGCTTCGACCGTTTTTGGTATTAGCGCAATTTTGGGTAAATACAGGTTTGTCACAAGCGTTTTTATAAAGGACAGGTTGAAAATAAAGAAACGAGGTTGTGATCGACACATTACTGCAATTCCTTGTTTTCACGTATCGATAAACCAGAAACATATATCATGGCGGGTCTTCCTGGTTTTCTCGTAGATAAGCTGCAACCCTGATTCATTGTAAAAATTTTGGGCAAAGATGTGCGGCCTTAATTTATATGCTTCCGATTAATGAACCAGTCATTGTCTACCGACCGCATGGAGGGTTTGGGGTGGGGAGGGTGTGGGGGGGTTTGGATGATTTTTAATGATATGGTTTTCAGGGGAGAAAGGAAAACAGAGAACGGAGGGGGCATCAGTCTTCGCCCACAGAGTGTAAAAGGGGGGACTATACTAAAGTGACTGCAATTAACTGCCAGTGAGGGGGAGGATCAGGCAAATTTTAACGGGACACAACCAAAATGCTCCGACCCAACTCCACCCCACCCCAGGCGGGAAATAATGACCGCTCCTTAAACGCGATTTAATAACTATACCTACAGTGACGCAACAAGGCCATGTTCAAAACTACCATAACTGAATGATAAGATACCCTAGAATGGCTTGATTACAGTAACTCCTTGCAGTTAGGAAAGGAAAGGAAATTTAAAATAAGGATTTCCTAAAACTAATTGAGAAATTGAAAGTTCAGGCTATGGTCTCTATTGTGTACGAATATCTTCAAATTTTGATGGCATAATCCTTTTAGACTAGCATCTAATTTCTCCTTACATTCTCACCCCCGAATCACACATTAACTCCTTAACTCCCAAGATCTGATTGATAATTCTTTCCTTTGGCCGTTATACATTTCCTTGTTACACATTTCCTTGTGATAAGTTACGAGAATTTGGTGTTTGATCAAGATAACAACTACCTGATATGTTTTGGTATTCTCGCCACCCGTTTGTTTGATAACCTTTGGATATTATAGGGAGAAAGTACATGTTAATCACCCCTGGGAGCTAAAGGGTTAAGGTCACAAGAATAAAGGAAATGTTCGCCGACAAAATAATCTCTTGATTGTCAAACAAATTCTCCTTGTCAGCACCTTCGGAAACTTACAGAAAGCAGGGGTTAATTTAGTAAAACTTTTGCACTTGTAATCTACAACTAGGACCAATGTGTTTCAAAGTGCAGACAAAAACGAGTATAATAGGCATCGTTGCAAGTCCAGATTATAAGTGCCCGACTTGTAATTACAAGTGTAGTGCTACAAGTGTAAAAGATAGTAAGAATCATATTTAATAACACTTTTACAAGAGTTTAACTTTTATTTTTACAAGAGTTCGACCTGTAAATCACAAGTGCAAAATACAAGCCGCGACTGCCCGTTTGAGTAACATTTGTAGTGAGCGGGCACCATTACGTTACACTTACTTCTTCCATTTCACCACTCTCAGTTTCCACGGTAGACACTTGCACTTTATCAGTGTAACTTCCAACGTTACCTTTTGCAAAGAAATTCAACATAACGATAAATTTATTATCCCCGGGTTAGCGGTCGCTCTGCTTCTTCCGTGTTGGGAAAGGGTAAGTGCTGCAGGGTGGGGTTAGGGGTTTCTTTAAGATCTGAGTTGGTTTATGAAACTTTTACTCTAGTTTGGCAACATATGATAGTTCCTTCCCCTTGCATGAGCAGAAAATGACGATAGTAGCATTCTCATTTCATTACCAATAGGACTTGCACGTTTAAGAGAGTTGAATTATTTAAATATGGAGTATAATTATTTTACCTTCAACGCTAGAAGCTGTTGTGAAGACGATCTCAAAATTTAATATCCCAATCGCCGACCTTCACTGGTTCTATATTGGTGCTTTCACAGCCTTAAACATCGAAGACAGGCTCATCTAGCTCAATGAGCTCTCCACTCCCCACCCCTCTTTCCCGGACCAGTCTTCCTTGATTCGCCTATTTTTTGGTGTAAATCTGCGTATGTTGGCCCATAAAATATTTCGGAGCGTCTATGTTTCAGAGTGTCTATGTTTGCGCCAAAGCCGTTTTATTGCGTACGAATCCTTTCTCACGCTACTTGCTTTATTTTCTTTGTCACGGTCGACGAAAATGGCGCCAAAACTATCATTTCAACTATGTTCCCTCTCGAGCTGAGCCAAAAGCAACTTTTTTGCCGCAGGTATCGATAACATGCTAAACAACTTTTGACGAATAAAACTGAAAGCAAACGAAGCAAACGAAGCAAAGCCACATGTATTAAGAGGACGGCAACGATTTTTAATTGCACATGTAAACATATTTACATTCAAGCGGAGTCTACATTTGTAAGAGGGTCTTAAGGTGGTCAACCTTTATCTGTAAAACGGCAAACAAAAAACGTTGACCGTTAGTCGTAAAGAAAGTTAATCGTGAAAAAAAAACTCCTATAAAATCAACGAGAAGAAATTAATCATAAGCCATAAAATCCATCACCCCATTGCGACCCTCTTGTAATTCGTACATTTGTTATTTACACTAGTGTACTGACCCGAGATACAGGTCTAAATTCTAGTGAATAATATTGCTTTATTAAATACTTATATTTAAAAGTCAGACTTTACCCGTGTACATTACTCGTATAAAAACTTCAAGTGAATTTTCCTAATCAAATTGACCCCAGTATGGAGAATATGCATGCTGATGTTAGTGTGTAAAAAGTTAACTTTTCAGTTCAATCGAAGTTGGAGCGCGAAATTTGTTCAAAATATTGTTACGTTCAGCTGATTTGCAGTTTATAACATGTTATCAGTTCTCCTTGGTAAACAAAGAATATTCACCAGCTTTGAAAGAAGTGTATTTGAATCTAGCCAGGTTAAGATGCTGTAAAATCACACGTCACTGCTTCAATTTTATCGATTGAAGACGTACTTCTCTGCTTTCCTCTTCTGGAATCTGGGAAACTTAAACCTACCCAGTGTGGTCGACCTAAGCAGTTTCCGATATACAGATTGAAATCTCTTGTTACGGAAGGCAAACAGAAAGGGGTTGAGCGCTGAGTTAAGGTATCCTAACATAAGAAGAACCAGAAAGAGTTCAAAGGGATATGGGTCCCGTGCATCACCGACTAGGTTAGCAATGATGCTGAAGTAGGTGAAAGGCTGCCAGCAGAGAAATATGACAACTACAAACATGGCTGTCGTTTTGGCTGCCTTCATGTTCCTTGAGTACATCTTGTTATCTTCTTTAGTGGGCCTAAAGGTTGACGGCAATCCACCTCTTTTGTTAACGTTGCGGTGCTTGCGAGCGATGAGGTAAATAAGGATGTAAAACACACATGTGAGAAGGAGCGGAAAGATGAAATTCATGATAGAAGTGAGAATGTTGTAGAAAATGGTATAAGGTACCGAACAGGTACCTTTGTAAATTGGCTCGACACTTCCATCTTGCCATCCTATGAGCGGAAGGAGTGCCCACACAATGCAGTACGACCAAACAAGTGCGATAACAATCAAAGATCTTCGCTGAGTTATAAATTGCGAGCGTCGAAATCGACCAAGTGGATCCTTGAGGGTCTTATAGCGATCTACGCTAATTGCCAGAAGGGTAAAGATCGATGTCGGTACAGTGATGAGGTAAACCGTCAGAAAGGTAATACACATCGTTTTGCCATGTTTCCACTTTCCGTTCAGTAAAAGTAATTCAATGTCAAATGGCACGGCAAGAGTTACGGTGAGAAGATCCGAGATTGCCAAAGACAGGAGAAGGAGGTTTGTTGGGTTATTACGGAGATTTCTGTCGGCAAGGATAGCGTAAGAGACCATCAGGTTACCAATGATGGCTACCACCACGATGACAATATACAGAGAAGCGACTGAGTAAGTGAAGAACGGGGAGATATCGAATAAAGGTTCTTGAGTTCGTAGACCGCTGGAGTCGTGATCAGAAGAGTTGTTCATCCTGAGTAATGTTAAGCGTTTCCTCGGCCTCTGCAACTGTTATTGAACCTTCAAAGGAGCTAACGATTGAGAGTGTGTAGATAAAAATCTCCAGAAACTGAAATTTGGTGTGGTGTTCGCTGAAGTGAATGAGTGTTGTAGTACCAAACAATCTTTTTATGCATGCATTCGACAGCATTTACTTGATGAAGAGACAAATATCTGTTATATTACCCTGGGAGTATTGGTGGATTTGATTAATTATTTCAAGCGTCTTAATCGGTGGACAAATATCTCCGGCGTATTTTGAGTTACTGTAGTTGTTTTTCTGCAACTAAAGCTCAATATTTGTTTAAGATATAGTGTTCGGCAATTTAATTTTATCATCACCACCGCTGGGTGTTTAGAAATAGAACTTCAGGAATCTTGGAAAAATACGGATTTTTGAGGAAAAAAATTCTAATTGATTAATAGCAGTGTTTAAGAGATCTGAAAAGATAATGGCTACACACGATTTATGATATTTCCTGTTAAAATTTACTAAGTTGCTAAAAGCATTTATAGCATAGCTAGTAAATTTGTCTAATCAAATTCAATTGCGTGAGCGTGCTTCATATTCCTATTGGGCAAGCTCATGACGTCAGCAAACAAATCCCTTTGAGAAAAAAAATTGAAATGTTATAAAACAATTGGTTCATACGTCAGTTGTGCGTTCGGCGATATATGAAGCACGCGGGAAGTTTGGCATCTTTCGTGTTCTCCAAACTTCCCGCGTGCTTCATATCTCGATGAACGAACGCTGACATATGAACCAATTGTTAATTCGTAAACCTTGTTTACGGGAAACTGAAACTGAATATTTTACCAACGGCCTTAATGTATGATACGGGTTCTGATTTTGGTGACTAGCGTCATTGCACAGACAAGATGAAGTAATATCGTTAAAACACAATCTTGAATACCAAGCGAATTATTGAGTAAAGGGTCAAGTGAGAGTACAAACGACAGCTACAAACGGTTAAATTCTCTCGAAAAGACTTCCTCGAGTTTTGTTTCATGGACAGCAATTGCACGAAAGTAATTCACAAGATAATTGGGGAGTAGTCTCGACGTTTCATGGTTATTTTTTGTCATTGAAACAATTTATGAGTTGCAATATTTCCTTCAAGTGTTGTTGAAATAGGAAAGACGGAAATAAGTGGTTTCATCTGGCGATGTTGATTTGTTCAAGAAGCCTTAACCAAAAGATGAAGTTATAAGCTAGATTGTCGTTCTGCCATCATAGCCGAAATGAAATTTTCGTTGCATCCTTAAACAAAATTTTCGTCAGATATTTACACTCCATAGTGGTGAAAGAGCTCATTTGATTGAGTTTAGTAGGATTGACCTTGAGCAGTGAATTGTGACTGTGACTGATATAAAACATATGTTGAAACAGAGAGAATCACTTCGAATTTCTTTGCTATTTTGCTTCAGAATTCATCATATATATCGTAAACGAAAGAAGGATTGAAATTGTAAATGAATTATATTTTCACCAGTTTTTTTTTTTTTTTACTTATTACTGTAGCGTATTTCAGCCAATCTTTAGAGATCTTCAAGACTCTGCTGACGGGAAAATAATATATAAAGATAAGAGTTAAGTTGTAAAAATAGTACAGTATTTGCACACTCATTTCTAGAAACTGTAAACGTTTTTTGTGTCGCTAGGGGAACGATCTGTGTTCCAATATAGAGTTAAGAAACCATTTCGTTGTCTAGGAAAACTTTATATTTATCTCAATATTCGGTACTTTACACTGTAAAAGCATTTCAGTTTGAGGAGCACTTGCACAAGATACTCACTCTTGTTGTCCGACATCGCTTGTGCGTTAGAGACATTATTGAAGGCTCACTTAACCCAATTTGAACCATCTGCATCATTCTTAAGAAAGCTGCGGTCAGACTTAGATTTTCTCAGTAGGAATAAAAATAAAACAAGTACGATATTTGTAAATCGAATAAAAAAGATGACTAGTTTTGAGCTCGGTAAAGAAATAGAGAAAAATGTTTTTCGTCTTGTCACGAGCGTGGGTCAAAAAAAGAAATCTGAGTTCCCATGAGGAACTAAAGTTGAGCCTTGAAGCTCCAATGCTCTACCACTGAGCCACAGAGACTCTGTGGTGAGGGAGACTTACTACGAAGTTCATGTATGACACTCATCCTGCATACTGTTAGGATCAGCAATGTCGATAGAGTCATGTTTGTAAATAGAATAAGGAGTGTAAGTTTTCGAGCTTGGGATCAGTCTACGAATTTCAACCTCTTAAGCATTCTCGAATGTTCCATTTAAAAAAGGGGGATGCCACGAACACATCATTCTCCTAAAAAGAAAATTATATCTATGGGCAACCAATTTGCTTTAACAGAGTAAGTTTGACCGTGGTGTAATCCAAGCGGGAACCTCAAAAGATTCGCTTATATCGGCCTACCCTTTTGTAGATTGCTACCTGTATTTGACAAAAATATTACATTTGGTGGATATACCATGTAACGTGATTCAAATGGAAATTGTTTCTTATCCACGAGGTAAAGTGAGACGATGTTTTCAAGGTATTTTAATAACAGCTCTTTTTTATAATAAGGGCACAAGTTTCTTTTATCTATTTATTCCCTTTTATGTGACGTTAGAAAAACGCCCGCTTATTACCAAAGGAGATTTTTCGAATCATAGAAGTTCGGAAAGTCAAATTTAATAAAAATGAAATATTGAAAACAATAAACAACAATATGTATATTGAATTATCCCTTATTTATCTTCCCTAAGGAGAGTTCAGTGTCTACCCGCTTCTCCTAGTAAAACTCAAAATTATGGTAAATTTGGTACTTCGTCATGTGTTTACTCTCCAATTATTCAGCGTTGATACCTTCAAAAAAACGGATATATAAACACTGATTTACTTAACCAAGGGGTCTGACAACAGAGTAGTGGAAATATATGTACAAAAAGGCTCTTGAGGAGGCAGGCCTTAATGTCAGTGACTGCCATTCCGCTCTCTCCGCGAAAGCCTCGTCGTGATGTAAGATTAGGAGGAAGAACAGTTCTCTAATCAGGTAATTTCTAGTAATGTTTGTGATTTATATGAACATTACAGAAACATACAGTTTGTTAATTTATGATTTCCTTAGTATGTCCCACATTATCAACCGTCAGTGCCTAGACTAAAATTAATCGTCATAAATAAAAAACTGGCATTTAATAGCACAACAACAATTGCTGAGCGAAATATACAAGATTCGCCCCTCATTTCCTCCAAAAGAGGGAGATCACTCAAAGTAATACACAAAAGCCAAACTGCGGAAAGGCTAAAACACGTACTGGAGAGTCGCGAAAGCTTACTAACCCCATTTTAGAAGGTTAATGCCGTAGTTGTAAGAGTGTCATGTCATGTTAATTTTCATGGCCTCTTTCTCCTTTGTGTGGTCAGTCAGGCCTTTTTCTCTGACTTTAACAATCCCACGAGAATCCGAAAATCCCCAGAAGAGTGTACGTTGTTTCAATATACTACAAACTTATGTATAATGCTTTTCGAACGCACTGACTGCTAATCTCAAAGCCGTTCCAGTTCAAGGAAACACGTGTTTAACCAAAATATTTGAAGCACTTGTAGGCACATTCGCGATGGCGAATTTTTGTCTTAGACTAATGAGTATGATCAAATGCATTTAATTTTCCCCGTCATGTAAAAATCAGCGGATCACGCAGTGCCTATTTTGAAAATATGTGCCTCATTATTAACTGACCAACTTGCTCTGGATGACTATCGCAAGATATGACGTAATCCACGACCAATCAGAGCGCAACCATCTCTATGCAACCCTATCCTCAACGACGGTCAACCTGCGAATTTCTAGCAAAGCCCACAGTATGTGTTGTATGCGGTTTTTGTAGCCAATAAGTGCAAGCCCAAGGCTTTGTTATGAGGACACAGTTGCCTTAGGAGAGAGTCAGGGCGGGTTTAATCAACTAACGACAAAGAGCGTTTCTTTGGACTACAAGGTAAATACTTGATTGAAAGAGCTAGTTTAGTAAACTAGCTTTCCCACTCAACTGCCATATATTTATTTAAGTGATGATAGCAAACTAAGAAGGAAGTGTTTAATTTGTTTTTGAAGAAAGAATGGTATCTCGAATTTCATTTCGGCGTCCTTTTCCCCCTGATTTTGAACGATTTGTCAATATTCTAAGCGCACAAGTATCAGTCATCGAACGTGTCAAAAGCTCCGGCCTTCTGGGCAAACATTTTTCAAAGAAGGGAACAGCTTGACAGGAAATATTGCTGTGGCTTTGTTCATTTTCCGACTTCCTTTATATCACAAAAAAAGTAGATTCTAAAATTAACGGCATATCAATATGATTGCTTTCGTAATCTTTGACCAATCATAGCTCGCCAGATTATGCTTTGCTGTTAATATTACAGATCTATAATTGTTTTTCTACTGTAAGTTAATGTCGCGAGAACAGGATAACAATAGGCATTCTGCGCGATGCTAAAAAAAGAGGAATGATGATGGAGCGAAGAGAGGCAGGAATCAACTCCATAGGTAAAAAAAACCTGACCTGAAGCCGCAGCTTTCTGACCAGACACGCTTTCGGGAAAAAGGTAAATCCGCCAATCAAGCAACCCAAATGATAAATTGTTGTGGATTTCTACAGCTGCCACTTTACCGACATGTCTCCTCTCTGTAGTGAGCGAGAGAAAAACACCGACACGATTATGCCATTTTGATGGAAACGATCTCCAGCCAATACCTAATAAAGGGAAAGCGCACCAAGGCGATTTCACTACAACTTTAATCTTTAAAAATATTTAAAAAACATCTCTCCTTAGCTCTTGAAAAAAAAAACGCGAATGCTTTGGACTCAACTAGAAAATAAGACATAACGCGATACTTAATCATGTACTTGCAAATGTGATGCTTATATTGTGCTTAAGATTTCTCCGGATACGAACTATTATTTAAGGACAAGCATTTTCTTTGACAACTTTTCAAGTGTTTTTGTGATTGAATTGTGTAATCGCTCAATAATGCCAAGGTAAACGCCAAGGTAAATTAAGGACACGCTTGTGAATACGCCAAGATCGGATTTGAATGACATTTTACACGTGATTACAGCTTAAAGTTCAGTCCTTTTTGTATACAGCAGCTATCACGTTTCCCACCGAGTAAGTTAGATAACAGCTGTGCATGTTTTACCGATAATAGTGTCAGTTACTCATCCAATGTCACTCCAAACGGATATCGAGACGTTGCTAAAAATGATAACAAAAGTAGTGAACTCTGCCAAAACTTAATCATCGCGGTTGAACAGACCAATACTATTGGATATATTATTGATGCTTCAAATATTTAGCTTGTTTCCATCACTGGTGTCAAATTGTGTAAAGTAATCCAAAATCCAAAGAGGAAACGTCGTTGCATAAAAACCTCGTGAGGCTGTGTTATCACAAAACCACTGACTGGCTGCACGAGAAGTTTGTTCCAATTCCCCAAGAAAGCCTAAGCGTTGGAACCGCCAAGTGAAGATGAACAATAACTCCGCTGTCAACTTACCTCACGACGAGTACACTCCGTGCATTTTCGAACAAACGTTTTCGTATCCCGTTTCGGCCTGCGCCACAGCAATTACATCTGTAGCGGTATTTGGAAACTTGTTGGTCTGTCTCGCAATACTTGCCAATAGACATCTCCGCAATAATCCCACGGATCTCTTCATTCTGTCCCTCGCTCTCTCGGATTTTCTTGCAGCAATCATAGTGATGCCGTTTGATATTGAGTTACTTTTCAGGATTGATTTTGAATGGAATCATGGAGAAGCATTCTGTATAATTTGGCAAGTTGTGTACCTTATTACCATACCCATTTCGGTTTTCAGCCTCTTGGCCATCAGCGTGGATCGATACAAGACCCTCAGAGATCCTTTGGCTCGGTTTAAGACCGCACAATTCCTGACTCAAAAAAGAGCCTCCCTAGTCATCATGGTAATCTGGCTTTACAGCATTTTATGGGCACTTTTTGTCTTCATGGGTTGGAGAGAAAAGGGAGAGCCAGATGATAAAGACAACTGCATGCTGCCCTATACTAAAGAATACAACATTCTTAGCTCTTTTTTCAATATCATTTTTCCGCTAATGATCACATGCATTTTCTACATCTTGATTTACCGTATTGCTGTCAAAAACAATCGATTTACCAAACGAGATGGCTTTCCCTCCATCCGGGAACCTACTAAAGAAGAAAAAAGGATGTATTTCAAGAATGTCAAAGCTGCTAAGACGACTGCCACCTTCCTGTTGGCGCTTTTCTTCTGTTGGCAGCCTTACTGTTATTTCATCATCGTCGAAACCATTCTGGGGAAAGAGTCGTTTCCTTGCAAAGTTTACATGTCGTTGTTGTGGTTAGGCTACTTTAATTCAGCGCTTAATCCCTTTTTTTACGCCTTCAGCAACAATCGTTTTAAGGCTACGTTTAGAAATCTGTTTACTTCGCTTAAACCTGCTTTAAAACCAGCCAAGCCTGCTTTATCTTTGCACCGGCTTTCCACGTTTTCACAAAGCACTGTCACTTCCGAGATTCCAGAACTAGAAAACGGTGTCCGACTCCGATCCGTATCGTCCTTCGAAAATTGAATTCTAACATCATGCGCAATAAAGAAGCAGTTCCAATAAGCAATCAGTGAGGCAATTTAGATGCATGTAGATATACATATGAAGGGTGAAGAGTGACAATTCTATTTGATTTAGAAATACGCAGCCAGTAAAAGACTTGGCCCACTCACGTTTTCGTGTCGGGTGTGTGTCATTGATTTGAAAAACGTTGAAGGAAGCCTTAGAAACGATGGCAAAACACTATCTTGAACTTGCAGCAGTGATTCTAGATATCTTTAAGATGTGGATCATCGGCATTTTACTTTATAAATAATTTATACATTTTCCATTGGCCATTCAGGGAATATATTTCTTTTTGAGTAGATTGATATACTTTAAGACTGGCATCGAGAAGAAACCGTACCATCGTATGAGAAGGCTTCGTAAGAAATTTTTACATAGCTCTATTTCAGTAAATCTATTTTTCTAATGTGAAACATTTTTTCCGGGACTTCAGTTGTGAGCTACTTCCCCTGTGTGTATATCCCCTGTCTTGTATGACAAGATAAAAACATTTTGACTTAAAAAATCTTGATTTGTCCTCGTCGTCACAAACATTTACGCACTGGAGGTGATGACATACCACAAAGATACTAGATTCAGTTGCTGCAGAGGCTCAACGAGAAATGTCAGTCTCCCTCACAGATACTAGAGAGGAAATGATTGAGAAGAAGGCGCCCAACTGATAAATAATTGCTCGTTCAGTTTTGCTTTATCTCTTATCAACTGGTTTAGCCTCTGCATAAATTTAAAAACTTCATTCGTCTTCTCCCCTCAGAAGTAATAAACGACCAAACCCTTAAAAAAAGGGATGTTATGTATAAAATGAACTTAAGAAATGCCTCCCAATATGCAAATATAACTGCTAATGAAAATATTTCGTAACTAGACTTGAAGTGTTTTCGTTCCAAGTAGAAAACAAGATGAAATGATGTCACTTACTTACGTCAAACTAATTGCAATAGTGCCTTCAAAGTGGTTTACATATCTGTCCGATGTTGTCTTTAGCACTTTTCCACAAAAAGAACACGAAACAGAAGTCAAGTGAGGAAAATTTTGTTTTCGTTCAAAAACCAGGGGTGTTATACAAAAGCTTTAAGGTTGCAAAGACAAGAGCGGATGATATACAAATTCAAACTAATTGGAGAGAAGAAATAGGCGGAAAATACTGAGTATTGCACAAGTCGCCCACAAATGTTAATAACAACGCAAACCGTGTCAGGATATTTCACCTGACTAATATAGATACATTCCAGCCGAAAATAGACAAACTTCATCTGTATATCAAGAAACTGATTAGCCTTCAGTCGTTTATTTCCACATTTTGGTCTGCAGAGTTACGTGCAGATTAACGAAGACCGCATTTTAAGAGTAGAAGCTAGGCAGATTGCGAGACTTATTTCTCTACACCAGAAAAAGACACAAAAGTTACAATGAACATAACTTCGAATTTCACTCATGATTGGGAAACTTCCTTCAGTTTTAAACCCTCCTTTGCGTATCCAGTAGCCGTTTTTTACATTGCTGTCACAGTTGTGGCAACCATAGGAAATCTCATGGTCTGTTACGCCATACTCACCGATAAGAATCTGCGCAACAATCCATCAAACCTGTTGCTCTTGTCCCTGGCTGTGGCAGATCTCCTCACGGCAACTATTGTGATGCCATTTGACACAGAGTCATTATTCCTGAACTTCGCATGGAAACACGGGAGGGCTGTGTGTCTAACGTGGCAATTGGTGTATCTTTTCGTTGTACCTGTCTCCATTTTCAGCCTGTTGGTCATCATTATTGATCGATATCAAACCCTCAGCGATTTTCACGGCCGATTTGGGTGTTCACGGTTCATGACTAAACAAAGAGCGCTTATAGTGATCGCGACAATCTGGCTTTACAGCATTTTATGGGCTCTTCTCCCTGTCATGGGATGGAGGAGAGAAGGCGACTTTCTTGAAGATGGCATCTGCATATTATCATACACAAAAACCTACACCATAGTCAGCTCCTTTCTGAATATCATTCTTCCACTCCAGGTATCGTGCGGGTTTTCCATTCTAGTATATCACATAATACGAAAGCATGAGAAGGCTCTAAGCAATACAGAGCATAATTCATCCCAACAACTCACGAAAGAACAACAAGAGATGTATCTGAAGAATATCAAGGCAGCCAAAAAGAGCTCAGTATTCGTGTTGGCTATTTACGTCTGCTGGCAGCCATACGCCCTTTGGCTTGTCTCTGACACCATCACTAGCAAAAAGTGGACATCGTTTGACCACGAAGTCTACATGGTGCTGTTGATGTTTGGTTTTCTCAACTCGGCGCTGAATCCCTTTCTGTTCGCATTTCGGAACAAGCACTTCAGAGCTGTGTATGCAAAAAGGTTTCCTTCCTCAGAACATCGATCGCACCTGTCAATTCAGGATTCAAATGTCACTGAACTGGATAGATTTGACCACGATACTAAAACAGCATAGTTTCAGCCCAAACTTCTTAGTTATTTGTTTAGCATTCATCATAAAAATAATTTTAGTGTTGCATGACTGAGCCAAGTTTTGAACTGCATTGTTGTTGTCACCATTCTCCACTCTACTAATTAAAATTAGTTTTGATGATAATTCCCGAGAGTTGTAAATGATGGTGAACAGATTGTCGCTTATAATTTGGTACATAAATAACAATATATCAAAGGAACAAAGCAGAATTTAGTTTGGTCGTCTAAATTACGACAATTGTTCTTTTAGAAGAGAGAAATGATTTTTTAGCACGACAACATTCGCCTTTTTCTTTAGTACACAGCTGTTCGTTTTCTCAGCAAAGCGAATGTTGATAAACAGCTTAGAAGACCACTCTCCAAACTTAAATTATAGGGATCTTTAAGGTTCGATGTAAGCAAACAATGAAACAAATATTACATAGGAAAAATCGAACTGTTTGAATCATACTAAAAGGCGTTTTACAGCTGACGAGCAGAACTCACCTCAACCAAGATCATTTCCGATGAAAAGCAAGATAAGAGGACGTAGACCCAGTTCCCTATCAGCGGGACCCCGCTGCCTCCAGATAGTTAATTTCTTACCAAGTTGACCTTTGGAGTTTTATGAAATAGGTTATAGCTATACTGTATGTGAATGTGAAATGATTTCGACATGTTTTTATGACAAAGACTTCACTAGATGTCATCTAAAGGATGAGCTGAAGTTTGCCAAATAGACTCAAACCGATCAATATGTATGCTATTGTAAAGAAACTGAGAAAATTTAATGAAGTGAAGTCGAGTAAGATGCTGTAACCACGCATATTTGAAGAGTGACGATTTTGTGCTGAGATATTTAAAAAATGCAAAGGACTTGGAAAATGTCTGTCTTCGAGCTCGAAAGTATACCTTTTTAAAATTGCAAATGTTCCAGAAATTATTGTTTGAAAGGAATAGGTCTAAAGGCAGAAGGATGAAGCATCACTGAACCAAAAGTCTCATAACTGTGGAAGTTGTTTTCTGTGCTTTTTGCAATGTAAAGGACGCCTTTCTTCGGTCGCGTCACTTTGGAGTAGTAATATAAAAGTGATCCAAAATCTTTTGGTCAATCAAAAGAACCGAGAAATTCACTTCGGAAGAAAACAAATTAGGAGTCCTTTGAAGCAACATGATCAAAGTGATCAAAGCTAACCCTATCAGAGGAGTGAATGCTGTTCTTAAATCTAAGCAGTGGGAGATTCATGCGATCCTGTCCGCACATCTGAGAGCTGCTTTTAATTCATTCAGAGAAAGGTATTAAGTTTTATCTCACTTTATAAAAAGAAAATAATGCCCCTGATATGATTGATATTTCGTTTGTGGTATGACTTTTGCCTGATTCAAAATAACAATGTTCCAGTGAGAACCAAAACAATTTTTACACGGGAAGTACACTTGAGTTCCATCACTTGATTTTTTATTTTAAAGTTACAGTGACACGATCGCCTTAAAGTTACTGCGAATTCTGAATAAACCGTTAATACTAACTAGTAAATAAAGTGAATAAAAAATTTGTTTAATTTCCTTAAATAAATGTTGTCGCAATGAGAATTCTCCAAAGTGCTGTTGTACATTATTCTTCGTTAACCATCCATCCGTCACCAAGGTAACATTGCAATCACCTTAGGCAGTGGAAGTTATCGAAACTGTCAACTTAGCGCGCCACTGCTTGCAGGAAGCTTTGCAGCCCACATCCGATCTAAAAATGAAATGTTATCTACAAAACTAAAAGTGCGATGACGTCAGTGTGACAATATATGGGGAAGCTGAGGGATAAAGATAGATACAAGGTGACAGGAATAACCTCATTTCAATGTACTGACTGAGTTCAAAAGAAAAAAACAAGTGATATCAGTTCTTTAATCAACGATATCATGAAATGAAAAAGAGAGATCTTTCATTTGATGTTTTCGTTGTTGTTGTTTTTTTTTTTCGCTGATTTTGACCAACTTCCGGAAGTAATTATTTTAAATTCATTCTCTGCGTATATGTGTCATGATTTGATGGCTAAACACCTTCATGGCGACGGACAACGCTTGGCAAAAAACTTAGCTGGAAATATTGTGGCTTTGTTGACTTGCAGACTTTTGCGTCATATATTGAAATTTGTTTTGTTCAAATATCCGAAAGAAGGCTTTCTCATTCGGAAACGTAAACAAAACTTTTGTTCTCTTAACTAAAACTTCTCCATAAGAGGAAAAAACGTAACTGATCCTTTTTTGCCCGGTCAACATTCTGTAATACTTAACTTTAATTTAGGAAATTGGTGGGAACTGCACCAGGTGATTTAACACGATAATGATATTTTGATGGAAAACTCTCCAGCCAGTATACAAGACAATGCATGATGTCAACTCAATCATCAATCTCTGGAAAAGATAATCTTTCAGCATATGTGAAATATCAAGTGTGAATGCAGCAAAATAAGACACAACAGTATAATGGATATTTCTGTGTTAGTATTGTATTTTCAGATATTTCTAGATTTTAAAATATCATGCAATATCCTTTTTTTTCAAGCCTGAAGAGTTATTTTGAGAAGTTTCCTTATTATTATTGTTTTTGTTATTTGTCATTGTGACTCAGTTATACCACTTGGTTGCAGACGAAAATCTGATTTTTCTAACCTAACCCAAGCTTTTAAGCTGCATGCAAATTGAACCATACATCTTTCAAAATGTCTGGTTTACTTTGAATCTGTCAGTTTTTCATAGGGACATAGTCCTCGAAAATTTTAATCCTAGGTTTCTTTTTGCAATTCCAATGAATAAGGAGACGTCAGAGTGATATTGAGTATGGTATACTCTGCCAAAATCAAGTGCTACTGGTTAAATGAAGCCTTAAAAATATCTCAAGTGGTCACGTAAATCTTTGAGACGGCTGATAATCAATTTATTTTTGATTTGGCGCTTTGTTGTGATGAGCAAATCGAATACTGCAGTGACTGGTGAGGTATTGAGGTGAAAACTCCAGTAAACTACGGGAAAAGTTGAGTTCGATTTTACAACCGAGAGCCGCGACATATTTACCTTCCAAAACAGCTTCTTAAGAATGAACAACAGTTCTGCTGCAGATCAGTTCACCGACGAAGACGTTTTGTTTGGTTTCAGACCAGAGTTTTCGTATCCCGTTGCAGCCTGTTACACAGTTATCACAGCGGTGGCAGTCTTTGGAAACTTCTTGGTCTGTTTCGCAATACTTGCTAACCAGCATCTCCGCCACAATCCGACGAATCTTTTCATTTTTTCCTTGGCTCTTTCAGATTTTCTCGCGGCAACGATAGTGGTACCGTTTGATATAGAATCACTTTTCCTTGATGGTGCATGGAATCATGGAAGAGCATTCTGCATAGTTTGGCAGGTGGTGTACATGATTACTATACCCATCTCGACTTTCAGCCTATTGACCATCAGTGTGGATCGATATAAAACCCTCAGTAATCCTTTGTCGCGGTTTAAGAATTCACAGTTCATGACCCAAACTAGAGCTTTAATTGTCATAGCGATCATCTGGCTGTATTGCCCACTATGGCCGTTTTTTGTCCTCATGGGTTGGCGAGAGGAAGGAGAAGCAGATGATGATGGCATCTGCATACTAAATTACACAAAGAACTTTATCCTTGTTTCGTCCTTTCTTAATGTTATTCTTCCGCTGATGATCACATGCTTTTTTTACGTCCTCATATATCGCATTGCTGTCAAGAACAATCGATCCACCAAAAGAGGCACCTTTCCTTCGACCCGAAAGCCCTCCAAGGATGAAAAAAAGGTGTATTTGAGAAATGTCAAAGCGGCTAAGACGACTTCAAAGTTCGTTTTGGCGCTGTTCTTCTGCTGGCAACCTTACTTTTATTTTGTCGTTGCTAGTGCTATTGACAGCGAAAACTGGGAATCGTTTCCTCACGAGGTTTACCTAGTGTTATTAATGTTCGGTTACCTTAACTCAGCACTTAATCCGTTTCTTTTTGCCTTTTCCAACAAAAGTTTTAAGGCCGTTTATAAAAAGCTTTTTACATCGCGTAAACAAGCTGTAAAACGGGCTGAACCCAGCATATCACTACGTCGGCTCTCAACGTTTTCACAAAGCACTGTCACCTCCGAGATTCCGGAGCTGGGAAGCGGTGTCCGTCTCCGATCCATATCCTATTATGAAGATTCAGTTTTTGAATCAATGCCTGCGGCAGAGAGGTAGCTGTAGTGAGAACTCAAGGAGGTAATTTAAGATCTAGAAACTTTGGTTAAAAGAGCTGGGTTATTTGTATGTGATTTACCAACAAACATTATATTGTTGCATTACTCCGAGGCTCTTAATTTGAATATTGTAAAGCAATTACATTACAAATAAGAATTTTTCCCAAGCACTTATATAGATCTGTCAGGTAATAACAACATATGCATTTTGTAAATAATCACATCGCAATGTACCTGCTTGAGCAGTAGCGGTAATCATTATGTTTGGGGTAGGAATCACCTAATATGTAACTCTCTGAGATTTGATGGTAAAAATGTTCTATTAGTGAGAACATATTTTATGTAAATTTTCTGAGCTTACTAAGATTTTGTTTGAAATTAATGTGATGCTTTATCGTTGAAATTAACGGGACAGAAAATTGAAATTAGGGATACATAATCAGTAAAACATGGAGATAGTATAGGTGAAGTGACGTGTGGTCTCAGGGTTATTTCTGTAAGACATAAAACTCGACAAAATTTGACTTACAAAATTGCAAAAACAAAGAGATCAAATGCTACAAATCTTGGTTTTGTATCTATCAAGAGAATGTCAACTGCTGATATTCTTATAATACATAGACACACACACAAATATATATATATATATATATATATATATGTATACATATCTGAAGGTTGGACAAATCAATGACACGTAACTTTTCTGTAACTCTGAGTTTTTTTTTCCTCACAGTCACACAAAATTTATAGATATACATATATACATTATTAACCCGACAAAGCAAGCAACCTTAACAATAGAACTTAATTAATTTCCAAATGCCGCCATGAGAACAAATACTCCCTAGTGAACATCGACACCAGATTACTATAGACTTACTAATTAAATAACTACTGTACATATTTAAACTAAGTGAGGTATAATCTTCATTAAAATCTGTTTAATGATCGCGTAAGCGTGAAACTCAGAGTCACAGAAAAGTTTTCTTATTGATTTGTCCAACTTTCAGATATATAGGGATATAGTCATAGCCATTAGCCTTCAGATAAAGGCTGCTTCGAGCGTTTTTGTCATTGACGCAATTTTGGGTAAATACAGGTTTGTCACAAGCGTTTTTAGAGCGGTTGAAAATAAAGTAACGAGGTTGTGATCGACACATTACTGGAATTCCTTGTTTCCACGTATCGATAAACCAGAAACATATATCATGGCGGGACTTCCTGGTTTTCTCGCAGATAAGCTCAACCCTGATACATTTTGAAAATTTTGGGTAAAGACGTGCGGCTCATTATACGCCGGTGTTTACCGTGGCCGTAACTTGTATGCTTCCGATTAGCGAACCAGTCATTGTCTAGCGACCAAATGGAGGGTTAGGGGTTGGAGAGGGTGGGGGTTGGATGATTTGTAATGATACGATTTTCAGGGGAGAACAGAGAATGGAGAGGGATGAGTTGTTGTTAACAGAGTATAAAGGGGGTACGATTGAAAATTGACTGCAATTAACTGCCAATAAGGGAGAGGATCTGGTAGATTTTAACGTAACACAACCAAAATGCTCCGACCCAACTTCACCCCACCCCACCCCAGGCGGGAAATAATGAACGGTCCCTACACGCGATAATAACTATACCTACACTGACGCAACAAATGTTCAAAACTACCATAACTGAATGATAAGATACCCTAGAGTGGCTTGATTACAGTAACTCCTTGCAGTTAGGAAAGAAAAGGAAATTTTAAAATAAGGATTTCCTAAAACTTGTGTACTAATAGCTTCAAATTTTGATGGCCTAATCATTTTAGACTAGCATCTAATATCTCCTTACATTCTCACCCCCGAATCACACATTAACTCTTTAACTCCCAAGATCTGATTGATAATTCTTCCCTTTAGCTGTTACATATTTCCTTATGAATAAGCTATGGGAATTTGGTTTTTTGATCAAGATAACAACTTCTACCTGATAAGTTTTAGTATTCTCACCACCCGTTTGTTAGATAACCTTTGGATATTATAGGGAGAAAGTACATGTTAATCACCCCTGGGAGCTAAAGGTTTAAGGTCATAAGAATAAAGGCAATTTTCAGCGACAAAAGAATCTCCTGATTGTTCAACAAATTTTCCTTGTCAGCACGTTGAGAAACTTAACGTATAGAAAGCAGGTGTTAATTTAATAAAACTTTGACACCTGTAATCTCCAACTAGGACCATAGTGTTTCAAAGTGCAGACGAAAACGAGTATAATAAACATTGCTACAAGTCCAGGTTTCAAGTTTCCGATTTGTAATTACAAGTGTAGTGCTACAAGTGTAAAAGATGGTAGGGATCAAATTTAATAACACTTTTACAAGAGTCCAACTTGGATTTTTACCAGAGTCCAACTTGTAAATCACAAGTGCAAAATATAAGTCGCATGTCACTTGCAAACATTAAGTTAGACTCTGCAAAAGGACATTGGAACGTCACAGTATGCCATTTTCTGGTGAAGAGGAACTCGACAAGCTGCTGAGACGTCAAGTTATCCGCCAACCAAGGAATTTCCAAAAAAGCCGGCTTTTCGACATCGCAAATTCAAGGCAATTTCTAGAGAAGTTTCGTCTGCCTGTGCACGCCCTCGTCCACCTTTTAGAATTAGTAGGCCCGTGTTTGGAGCATAGAAACGACACTTAACAGATCTGCTGGACGCCGCAGATCTCGACAATGTCTACGAAGAGTTGGCTATCGGTGATGGAGAGGAACAAGTAGACAGAGGGGCGCAGTTGCTGTAGCACTTATTCCAGTGTGAGGATTGATACAAATTACGCTCAATTAAAAACTGCACCTGTTTCAATATCGTGCAAAATCAAGAAGCTATTTTTTATTCAATGACGATAATTATTACATTATATTGCACAAAGTACACATATACCTAACCCCCGAAGAAAAAAAGTAAGTGTACATGTGGGTCATAATTCTGATATTATCTATCACCAATAAAAGTACTCCTCCGACTATCAATAGCATTATTATATAATAAGTCTGGTAGATGTCCAAATGGTTATCAATATCATCATTTTAATTTGCATTTTAGATGCCGTTTAATCAAATTAAATTTTTTTAAGTCTTTTTGTCTCCAATCTCAGCTTATTTCTTTTTAGTTGGAGGTTTCTCTTAAGGCGCAGTATGTCGTCTTCTGTTGTCTTCTTGTCTGCAGTTACAATTGATGATCTCTCTTTAGCCATGAGAGCACCTTCCTTTCCAGCTGATGGCAAAGCTTCACGTCTGATTTTTGTTGGCGTTTGTGTTTCGGCGACTGCCTGTTTGAGTAATACTTGTAGTGAGCGGGCACCGTTACGTTACACTTACTTCTTCCGTTTCACCACTCTCAGTTTCTACGGTAGAAACTTGCACTTCATCAGTGTAACTTCCAACGTCACCTGTTACAATGAAATTGAACATAACAATAAATTTATTATCTCTGGGTTAGCGGTCGCTCCGTTTCGTCCGTGTTGGGAAAGGGTAAGTGTTGCAGGGTGGGGTTAAGGGTTTCTTTAAGATCTGAGTTGGTTTATAAAACTTTTACTCCAGTTTGGCAACATATGATAGTTCTTTCCCCTTGCATGAGTAGAAAATGACGATAGTAGCATTCTCATTTCATTACCAACAGGACTTGCACGTTTAACAGGGTTGAATCATTTACATATGGATTATAATTATTTTAACTTCAACGCAAGGAGCTGTCGTGACAACGATCTCCAAATACAATATCCGAATCGATGACCTTCACTGGCTCTATGTTGGCGCTTTTACGACCTAAAACATCGAGGACAGTCTCATCTAGCTCAGTGAGCTCTCAACTCCCCACCCTCCCTCCTTGCAATAGTCTTGATTCGCTTATTTTTTTGAGTGTAAGTCTGCGAATGTTGGCTCATTAAATATTTCGGAGTGTTTTGACGCTGTCTATGTTTGCGCCAAGGCTGTTTTATTACGTGCAAATCTTTTCCCAGGCTGCTTGCTTTACTTTCTTCGTCACGGTCGACGAAAATGGCACCAAAACTATCATTTCAGTTATGGGAAACTTTTACTGCCGGTTTGCATAACATGCTAAACGGCTCTTGACGAATAAAACAGAAAGCAAACGAAGCAAAGCCGCATGTATTGAGAGGACAGCAACAATTTTTAATCGCATGTGTAAAAAATATACCTACATTCGAGCGGAATCTACAGTTGTAAGAGGGGTCATTGGGGTCAACCTTTAGCTGTAAAACAGCCAAGAAAAATTGGCCGTTAGTCGCAAAAAAATTTAATCGTGAAAATTTCCTTTAAAATCAACGAGAAAAATTATCATAAGCCGTAAAATCCATCATCCCATTGCGATCCTCTTGTAGTTCGTACTATTGTTATTTACACTTGTGTAATGACCCGAGATACACGTATAAATTCTGGTGAGGAATATTGTTTTATTAAATATTGATATTTACAAGTCGGACTTTACCCGTGTACATTACTCGTGTAAAAACTTCCAGTATATTTTCCTTATCAAATTGACCCCAGTATGGAGAATATGCATGCTGATGTTAGGGTGTAAAAAGTTCACTTTTCAGTTCAATCAAAGTTCGAGCGCAAAACTTGTTCAAAATACTGTCACGTTCTGCTGATTTGCAGTTTATAACATGTTACTAGTTCTGCTTGGTAAACAAAGAATATTAACCAGATTTGAAAGAGGAATATTTGAATCTTGCCAGGTTTGGATGCTAAAAAAACATACGTCACTTCTTCAATTTTATCGATTGGAGACGTACTTCTCTGCTCTCCTCCTCTGGAATCTGGGAATTGCTGGTGCTTTGTGAAAAAGTGGAACGTCGACGTATTGTACCCAGTGAATTAAATTTACCCAGTGTGGTCGACCTAAGTAGCTTCCGATATACAGATTGAAATCTCTTGTTACGGAAGGCAAACAGAAAGGGGTTGAGCGCCGAGTTAAGGTATCCTAACATAAGAAGAACCAAGTAGAGTTCATAGGGATATGGGTCCCATGTATCACCGATTAGGTTAGCGATAATGCTGAAGTAGGTGAAAGGCTGCCAGCAGAGAAACATGACAACTACAAACATGGATGTCGTTTTGGCTGCTTTCATGTTCCTTGAGTACATCTTGTTATCTTCTTTAGTGGGCTTAAAGGTTGACGGCAAGCCCCCTCTTTTGTTAACGTTGTGGTGCTTGCGAGCGATGAGGTAAATGAGGATGTAAAACACACATGTGAGAAGGAGCGGAAAGATGAAATTCATGATAGAAGTGAGAAGGTTGTAGACAATGGTATAAGGTACCGAACAGGTACCTTTGTAAATTGGCTCGACACTTCTATCTCGCCATCCCATGATCGGAAGGAGTGCCCACACAATGCAGTAAGACCAAACAACAGCGATAACAATCAAAGATCTTCGTTGAGTGATAAATTGCGAGCGTCGAAATCGACCGAGTGGATCCTTAAGGGTCTTATAGCGATCCACGCTAATGGCCAGAAGGGTAAAGATCGATGTCGGTACAGTGATGAGGTAAACCGTCAGAAAGGTAATACACATCGTTTTGCCATGTTTCCACTTTCCGTTCAGAAAAAGTAATTCAATGTCAAATGGCACGGCAAGAGTTACGGTGAGAAGATCCGAGATTGCCAAAGACAGGAGAAGGAGGTTTGTTGGGTTATTACGGAGATTTCTGTTGGCAAGGATAGCGTAAGAGACCATCAGGTTGCCAATGATGGCTACTACCACGATGACAATATACAGAGAAGCGATTGGGTAAATGAAGAGCGGGGAGAAACCGAAGAAAGGTTCTTGAATTCGAAGACCGCTGGAGTTGTGATCAGAAGAGTTGTTCATCCTGAGTAATGTTAAGCGTTTCCGCGGCCTCTGCAAATGTTATTGAACCTTGAAAGGGAGCCAACGATTGAGAGTGTGTAGATGAAAATCTCCGGAAACTGAACTTTGGTGTGGTGTTCGCTGAAGCGAATGAGTGTTGCAGTACCAAAACAATCTTTTTATGTATGCATTCGATAGCATTTACCTGACGAAGAGACAAATATCTGTTATATTACCCGAGAAGTCTTAGTGGATTTGATTAATCGTTTTAAAAGAGGTAAGCGTCTTAATCCTGACCAATATCTCCGGCATATTTTGAGTTACTGCTGTTTTCTGCAACTGAAGCTCAATATTTCTTTAAGATATAGTGTTTGGCAATTTAATTTTATCATCACTACCGCTGGGTGTTTAGAAATAGAACTTCAGGAATCTTGGACAAATACGGATTTTTGAGGAGAAAATTCTAATTGATTAAGAGTAGTTTTTAAGAGGTCTGACAAGATAATGACCACGCACGATTTATGATATTTCCTGATAAAATTTACAAAGTAACTAAAAGCATTTCGCGAACCTTGTTTACGGGAAACTGAACGCGGAATATTTTACCAGCGGCCTTAATGCATGAGACGGGTTTTGATTTTGGTGACTATCATCATTGCACAGACAAGATGAAGTAATATCGCTAAAACACAATCTTGAATACAAAGCGAATTATTGAGTAAAGGGTCTAGTGAGAGTACAAATGACAGCTACAACTGTTACAGTTGTTGCTACAGCTACACTGTTAAATTCTCTCGAAAGACTTACTCGAGTTTTGTTTCATGGACAGCAATTGCACGAAAGTAATTCACAAGATAACTCGGGAGTAGTCTCGACGTTTCATGGTTATTTTTGTCATTAAAACAATTTATGTGTTGCAATATTTCCTTCAAGTGTTGTTGAAATACGAAAGACAGAAATAAGTGGACTCATCCGGCGATGTTGATTTGTTCAAGAAGCTTTTACCAAAACATGAATTTAAAAGCTAGAATGTCGTTCTGCCATCATAGCCGAATTGAAATTTCCATTGCATCCTTAGAAAAAATTTTAATCAGATATTTACACTCCAAAGTGCTGAACGAACTCATTTGACTAAGTGTAAGATTTAAGATTTCGTCGGGATTTCGTGTGTAGGATTGACCTTGAGCAGTGAATTGTGACTGTGACTGATATAAAACATATGTTGAAACAGAGAGAATCACTTCGAATTTCTTTGTCATTTTACTTCAGAATTCATCATATATATCGTAAACGAGAGAAGGATTGAAATTGTAAATGAATTACATTTTCACCAGCTTTTTTTTTACTTATTACCGTAGTAGCGCATTTCAGCCAATCTTTAAAGATCTTCAAGACTCTGCGGACAGGAAAATGATATATTAAGATGAGTGTCAAGTTGTAAAAATAGCGCGGTATTTGCACACTCATTTCTAGAGATTGTAAACGTTTTTCATGTCGCTAAGGGAACGATCTGTGTTCCAATATAGAGTTAAGAAGCCTTTTCGTTGTCAAGGAAAACTTTCTATTTATCTCAAAGTTCGGTACTTTACACTGTAAAAGCATTTCAGTTTGAGGAGCACTTGATATTGGTCAAGCTTAAATCGTAATCCATTGTTGTTGTGGCTTTTCACAAGATAGTCACTCACTCCTGTTGTCCGGTATCGCTTGTGCGTTAGAGACATTATTGAAGGTTCACTTAACCCAATTTGAACCATCTCTATCATTCTTAAGAAAGCTGCGGTCAAACTTAGATTTGTTTCAATAGGAATAAAAATAAAACAAGTACGATATTAGTAAATCGAATAAAAAAGATGGTAAGTTTTAAGTTCGGTAAGAGCTTAAAAGAATACATAAAGATGTTTTTCGTCTTGTCAAGAGCGTGGGACAAAAAAAGAAATCTGAGTCCCCATGAGGAATCGAACCTTAGAGCTCCGATGCTCTACCACTGAGCCACAGAGACTCTATGGTAAGCGAGGTCTATTACAAAGTTCGTGTTTGACACAGATCCTGCGTACCGCTAGGATCAGCAATGTCGATAGCGTCATGTTTGTAAATAGGATAAGAAGGATTGTAAGTTTTGAGCTCGGGGATCATTCCACGGATTTCAACCTCTTACGCATTCTCGAATGTTCCATGGTGGGATGCTGATTACAAAGAATTCTCCACAAAAGAAAATGATATCTATGGGCAACCACGTTGCTTGAAGGAGTAAAGTTTGCCCATTGTGTAATTCAAAGGGGAACCTCAAAAGATTCGCTTATATCGGCCTATCCTTTTGTAGATCGTTACCTGTATTTAACGAAAAGATTACATTTGGTGGATATACCATGTAACGTGATTAAAATGGAAATTGTTTCTTCTCCACGAGGTAAAGTAAGACGACGTTTTTGAGGCGTTTTCATGACAGCTCTTTTTTTAAATAATAATGGCACGGGTTTCTTTCTATTTATTCACTTTTTTTGACGTTAGAAAAACGCCTGCTTATCATGATCCCGGGAGATTTTTCGAATATTAGATATAAAGAAAGTCAAATTTAGTAAAAATGAAATATTGAAAACAATAAACAACAATATGTATATTGAATTATCACTTATTTATCTTCCCTAAGGAGAGTTCAGTGTCTACCTGCTTCTCCTGGTAAAACTCAGAGTTATGGTAAATTTGGCCTTCGTCATGTCTTTACTCTCCAATTATTTAGCGTTGATACCTTCAAAAAAACATTTAAACCAGGATATATTAACACTTATTTAATTAACCAAGGGGTCTGACACCAGTGGCGGAAATATACGTACAGGAAGGCTCTTGTGCGCAAAGCGTAGGAGTCCCATCGTCTTTTTTTGTAATTATGCAACAGGAATAATTACTGTTGCTGTTATTGATTGTGGTCTGCGTGGCTTTAAAAAACGTCAACACACTTCATTAATAAGATTAATTCCAGCTAATTCTGTCAAACAGTGATCATAATTAAGGTCCCGTGCACATTGCGTATCCATAAATAACTTAACAAGTCGAGTTTTATGATTGAGATATGTAAACATGAAAACGGTTTTCGCAGACAGCTAAAAAACGTAAATGAGAACTTTATGTATTTTCCAAATAATGTAAAATTTCAAAGTAGTATAGATGTTTTTAAGAGTATAGTTACGAAAGCTGTAGAAACTTTATCATGTTTACCGTTTTAGGCTCATAAAATCCATTAAAATATACATTCGACAAATATCTATGGAATTACATCCCACTGTTGGCATTTTTTATATAGGATCGAGGAGTGTACAAGGACTCGATGTGTTCATGGAAACGAGAAAATAAGCAGTTAAAGTATTTATTGACCTTTGGTGAATTCCTGATATAAATCAACTCAGTAAATGACCGACAGTTGTAACCCTGTCGACAACTGACGAGTACTCCGTACGTAAGTAGGTGGACCATGCGATTGAGAGCTAGGAAGTGGCTCGGGTGCAAATCTCAACTGAAGACTAAAATTTATCGTTGTCCCACATACATGAAAATTTTCAAACCTATCTCTCTTTCCTTATTTGTTCTTAGGCCAGAGGAAACATTTAAACAATGACAATTGTTTACCTCTCAAGATTTTAACAATTAGATTAAGACAGGGTCGTAATGAGGTCGAGATCGTGTAATAGTTTATGTAGGGCGAAGCACGGACAAACTATGTGTGAAAATCGAGGGCGATTAATCGAATTGTCTTGGAGTAAATTTAGCAGCCATCAAGCTGAACAACAAGTTGGGCAATTTTTTATATTTGAATCTCTTAGGACCGCGTACTTTTAGACTGTCTGCTTAACTCACCATTAATCACGGGATAGAGAGCGAGAAGGGTAGCTGATCAGATTGCAGGTCATGTCATCGAATTTTTGTTGCAGTGATAGCAATGAAGCTCGCGAAAAGATACCTAAAATATTTTTGTCTACATGGTCGAGGAGGCAGGCCGTAATGTCAGTGACCCGCCATTCCGCTCTCTCAGTGAAAGCCGCGTCGTGATGCAAGATTAAGAGGATGACCAGTTCTCTAAACAGGTAATTTTTAATGTTTGTGATTTATATGAACGTCACAGAAATACAGTTTGTTAATTTATGAGTTCCTTAGTATGTCACACAATGTCAACCATCAGTGCTTAGACTAAAAGTAATCCTCGTGAAAAACTGGCATTTAAAAGAACAACAAAAATTGCTGTGTGAAATATACAAAGATTCGCACCTAATTTCCTCCTAAAGAGGGAGATCGCTCAAAGTAATACACAAGAGCCAAACTGCGGAAAGGCTAAAACCCGCACTGGGGAGTCGCGAAAGCTTACTAATCCCATTTTAGAAGGTTAATGCTGTAGTTGTATGAGTATCATGATGAGGTCAATTTTTATGGTCTCTTTAACCTGTGTGTGGTCAGTTAGGCCTTGTTCTCTGACTTTTACAAACCCATGAAAATCCGAAAATCCCCAGAACAGTGTATGTTGTTTTTATAGATTGCAAACTTATGCTTTTCGCATGCACTGACTGCTAAGCTCAAAGAACAATAATTAGGAGCCAGTTATTGTTTATTGCCTGGGAGGGCGGATAATTTTTTTTGGGGAGAGGGGCGGGGGTCACATGGTCTTCAGGGGAAACGAAGAGGGATCTGTCTCCGCTCTACGAGTATAACTGGGGGACTAAATAAAATTGACTTCAAATTTACTGCCAACGAGAGAGGGCAAGATCATTAGAATTTTGCAGAGCCTTATCGGATAAGGTAAATTTTAGAATCTTTCATCCCCTCCCTCCCCCACACCAGATGACAAGTAAAAGACTGGCTCCTTGGCAGGATCGTCTGGAAAATAGGTTTTGTAACCGAATTTGGGTGATCGCACTGTGATCGGACTGTATCAAACATTTTAAGCACTTGTAAGTGCACTCGCTGTGGCGATTTTTTGTCTTAGAATAATGACTATGAGCAAATGCATTTTATTTTCCCCGTCATGAAAAATGAGCGAATCACGCAGTGCCTATTTTAAAAATTTGTGCTTCATTATTGACTGACCAACTTATTCTGGATGACTATCGCAAGATATGACGTAATCTTCGACCAACCAGAACGCAACCATCTCTATAATCACTGATAATAAGCAATTACGCCATGTAAAAGATAACGCCCTCCAATTGATATATTTGTCGGTTCTCTTGTCTTGTTTGCTAGTTAATGTGTGTAGATATCCGAAAAAAATGCTAATCAGCAGTTCTGGAAGTTAAGTGTTAATGGACGTGATTGTACAGCTTGAAGTATAATTCCTTCCTCCATTGAACATGGAATCTCAGAAGCGAGAGTCATCTGCGATATGGAAGAGACTCGCCGAGAGTCAGGACTGGGTTTTGGTTTGAGTACCATAATTGAACGCAGCATCTTGGAGTATATAAATTTGAAGCTTTTGCTTCGAAACGCGAAAAGGAAAGGGTTTAACGCAGAGCTCAGGTAACCCAACATTAGCAGGAATGGGTAGGTTTCCGGTGGTATGTGTTGCCGACAGTGTATACATACGCAATTGATTATGGTAAATGTGGAGTAAGGGACCCAACAGAAAAATGACACCCCTACAAACATAGATATAGTCTTTGCTGCTTTAAGGTTTCCTATATAATTGTTCGTCTCTTGAGTGAAAGTTAATTTGCCGCACTCACATCTGCGGGCGGTAGTTACGTTTTTATTTCGCACACTCGCAATGCGATAAATCTTGATGTAAATTCCGCAAGTTATAAGCAGAGGCAACAAAAAGTTGAGGAAACTTGTTACTGTTGTATAACTGCTAATGTATGGGAACCAACATCTTTTGTCATAGGCGAAAAAAGAAAGATGGAAATCTCCCCAGTCAGTGTAAGGAATTGAAGCAAACAGAACGGTGTAAAACCATATCAAACAGTTGATCATCATGGCCTTTTTCCGTGTCATAAACCTTGTTTTACGAAACCGATTTAACGGGTCAGTTAGGTGGTTGTAACGGTCGACGCTGAGAACAAGAAGGGTCAGAATTGAGGTGGGTACGGCGATGTAAAAAACAGTACTCCATAGCTTGCACATAGTTTTACCGTAAAACCAGGTTCCTCGTAGGAAAAATTCTTCTGTTTGTAATGGAGTGACGGTAGTCACGGTAAGCAGATCAGAGAACGCCAGAGAGAATAGGAGGATTGTTGTGGGATTGCTTCGAAGGCTTTTGTCCACTAGGATCGCAAAGCAAACCATGATGTTCCCAATTACTGCCACCACTACAATGATTATATAAACGGTCAATACAGGAAACTTGAAGGCATCTGTAAATGAATAACTCCATTCATCACGGGCAACACTTGGATGTGATCCAGACGAGTTATTCATCTTCTGATTTGAGTATATCAATGATGTTTCTCCTTGCTGAGATCTCACTTTCACTTCTTGGTCGAAAAAGAAGTTTTCTGCGTCGTCAAGTTGTAACCATATTCGCCGGAGTTTCAGAGAGAATCAAGTTGTTTTGCAAGTCTGCCTTCGGAATCAATTCCCATGAAAAATCAATACATATCAGATTCAATACATACTGAGGAGCATAACGAGATGACAGCGCTAAATCGTTCAAGATTATTAGCTGGTCATAGTTGACCCTAAAGTAACCAACTTTTGTTTCCTTGGAGTCACGTCTGCCGTATATTTTTAACCCGTTTAAAAATGTTGTATATTTGGGAGTTTGAAGGTTTGAATGATAGATCCTTTCCATAATCAAAATATTATGGATGCTATAACGATATTCTAGTATCTATTTTCTGAACTAATACCGATTTCCGCCCAGACAACATTGCGAATGAAATACCAAACGTCTACGTGTGATTGGAATTTCAGAGATGACTAAAATTCTCAAGAAAGAGAATAATTCGATTTCGCTCTTTCAAACCAACCGAGAGCTTAATAATCAAGCTTTTACTAAGCTAGAAAAAAATATTGATGTCCAAGTTTAATTAGATTTTCGAGACAATGAAGTATACTGACCCCGTTTTAAGTGATATTAGTGATACTGTCACGTATACCTTTTACTACAGACTGTGCTCAAGGAAAAGGAGAAAAAGAGGATATTTCTTCTCGACATTGGCTAACAAGGCAGAGGGCAGACATAATGGGAGCGAGTTAAAGCTATAAATTTGCAGGGAGAGCTGAAGATTGATAAATATACTCTTGCGTGTCACGAATATCGTTCAAGGAAACAAAATCGAGATTTACTGAGGCATTATTTATGCTAATCTGCAATCAACCTTCACGAATATTGTCTTGAAGGCACAATCTCTGATCTCCCAAGATAATTTTACCGAACTATGGCTCAGCCCGTGTGAAAATCTTGTCAAAGCGGCTTTTGCGTCAAATTTGCGTTTCATTGTAAGTGTCGCTTTCGTAAACGGTTGATGTCATCGTTCCAAAAAATAGAAATAAAAAAAAATTTGTATATATATATAGGTATATATATATATATATATATATATATATATTTGGTCTGCTTTTCAATTGAATGCTATTATCATTAATATCATTATGGTCATTAATATAATTATCGTTATAATTATTGTTATCATCATTATGTTGCATAACATTACGTTGCATTATTATTACCTTCATTGTTTTTATTATTATTGCCCTCATTATTTCTATTCCAAGTGCTGAATGCCAAACATATGATGACACCGAGGCTTCATTATTTTCACAGCAAAATCTCTGTCCTTTAAACAACCATGCTGGTCCTTCGCAATAAAAAGCATTACGCATTAAAAGTTAAAGGGTTGACAGACCTTCCAGGAACTTTTAACTTACATTTAGGCTCCACCTGGACATCTTTCTTTCTGCAGTCACCTTGTGTCCTAGTTCTTGCTGTTTTCACGTTTTTTGGTTGCTATTTTCAATGATCTGCTATGTCAGATTCATCAATCGCTCTGACGAAGGCCGAACGCTAGAGACGTCAGCTTTTTAACTCTTTACGGTGGCCAATTTACGTTTTCAACTCAGTTGTTACGTTTTCAACTCAGTTGTTACCTGCTATACTCTCCCACCGACGCAGCACTATAGTTTCTTTAGAAACTTACCCCTTTATTCCTTTGCCCGACAGCTTGGTTACCAATACTAACATCGTCGGGAAAAGGTATCTCGTCGACCAAAGTTACCCCGGCTGACCCAGACTATGTATTACAAATGTTTCGTCACCAGCCAGCTCTTGACCCCAGGGCAATTCTTTGTCGTTAAATGAATGGTCTTTTTTTTTAAATAATTTATCAGCGAATCAAAACGTTGGCGCGTTTGAGTCTATTAACTTGGAAAAAGGGTTTTTCATTTTTCAAAATAAAAGGAGCAAGAATCAATAATCAAAATATCAAGCCATTATGCTATCATACAGTTTAAAAGCATCAACAATAACACTTGACAGGGTGCTTAAGGTTAACATGGGATTAAACTCTCTCATTAGTCTCAGTTCTGCCAGTTTAATTGAGGAAGTAAACAAAGAAAACTTTTTCCTTACAGGATCAACACATTTTTGAGTTGAGGGTGAAGAGAAGAAAGAAAAGTATCAACTTTGGGATATTGTTTACCTTAACCTCAAACCTGCGAACAGGTCCTTATAATTAGTACTGCAGGACGAGGGTTTCTTCGCTCGCGGGTAAGTTAAAGGCCATGCGCAAAGTTGGGGGTGTGACTGATTGCTATTAGTGATCTGGAGTGATCTTGCACTAATATTCAGTACCAGACCCCTAGCAGGCCTCGCGCTGGTTCACTTTTCTCCAGGCCTCCAACGAACGGTTCTGGCGGGCCAAATCAACAGTTAATTTATGGCAAATAGTGAGAATTTAAATCTAAATCTTGTGAGTAAAATTTGTCGCTTTCAAAAAGGACTTTGATCTGCGTTGTAATATAACGAAATGACAGCTTTCTTTAAGCTTTTCCCCATCTTTCTTCATCTCTGTTTTTATTCCCAAGACGCGTAGCCTGATATAAACAGTTATGATACATAATACAATACATGTATATGGCTGTGATAGTAGAACAATATACTTTTACGGTTAAGTACATATCCAAACTCGTTCAATGATTCAGTTTTTTCAGCATTGAAACTAGTCCTGAGTCAAGAAAACTGTATGTACAACGACTACAACCACATCCCTGTAGGTGATACTCTAAGTTTGTTAACTTGAAAGGGGCCTAGCACACAGGAGGTCTTTGTCCATAGACCTTAAAAAGATTGCAGTTTGTCGAAGAAAATCCACTGGTTGTTTGTCTTCAGTTCAGGTTAAAAAGCTGCCTATTTAAATTGATCAGCTTAACCCAATAATGCTATCGATTCCAAGCAATTAAAGCTAAGTTTCACCATAAACTATATATAAATTGATGTATACACTATATATGCATTTGAGTTACAATAGTAGCTATTTAACACGGCTCTAAATGTTTTTTCTCGCTGCATATGGAGCGTGATTTCGATTTAAGCATCTCTTTACCTTAATGGTGTTAACTATTATAGTCGAGCTAAAAATACAGTTGCATCGTTTTCGTTCTGATTCTTTTTGCGCTTTGAGCTAATTATTGCGCACGAAATCCAATTTCTTTTTCTTCACATACCCGCTCCAACTTTCATTACTTGCTAATCACAAAAAATTGACATGAACTGAACAATGAGATTGTTGGTTTTGTCAACTGAGTTGATCAGTAATGTAAATCGGCGCCTGTAGAGAGTTTCTAAGGCTCAGACGAAGGGCTAACGCTCATAACGTCAGCTTTAGCAACTTTTCACTCTCCAATTCACATTACTATCTCAGTTGGTAAAATCAAACTACGTATCTTGTGATAAACCCCATCGATGTAGCACCACAGTTTCTTTTGGAACTTACTAACTTCATGAATTGAGCTGTTTCTCATGATTAACCGATCGCTCTGCGGCAAACAATGCTAACTTTAATTTCTGTTATTTCACAGTATATTTAGCGTTCATCACTCTGTATATGGCTTTTTTAATTTCCTATAACGCGATAACAAACTACAAACTTAAGCCTTTATGAAAATGAAATTTTAAGTCGCGAAATCGTGAAATCCCGCGCGGTTTCTTCTTAAATACGTTATAACCGCCTCAATAGCGCAAAAAATCAGCATTGTGAGCGAAATCCAATCTTAAATGCGGGGAATCTCAAATTTTTTCAATCGCGAGAAGCAGTCACAGCTAAGCCGTATCCGTTAGATCAATTTACTCCATCTCAAACTTCGAATTCAGTTTGAATAAAACCTCGTTTGTTGACAAGCCGTAGTGATCATGATCGTTTCTAAGACTAACTTTTTAAAAATACGAATGTAACAACATACCTATATAACTAATCTAAGTAACCAGAAAATCTAGGAAATTAATATACCCCATGCAATTCCAGTTTCAGTACTTAATAATAATGTGGCAACTCTCCACTTTAACTTTGACAGATATATATGCCGGGTCATGAAAGTAAATAAATGGTTTAACCTTCTTCTTTTAGATTGGCAAGATAGGCATAACGGGCAGCTAGAATTGACAACTGCAAATTAATGAAGTGCGCTTCAGCCAATCTTTTGTCAATTTCTGTAAAAATCCTTGTTTGTATATAAGGGAACAGTCATTTTTATATCGCTGGAGGGGGGGATTTGGGGGGTATTGCATGGTTTTCAGGGGGGAATGGAAGGGAGATTAGTTGTCACTAACAGGGTATAAGGGAGTGGGGACTTTAGAAAATTGCATATAAGGGAAGGGGGTTTCAGAATATTACAGAGGCTATGTGGGGGGGGGGGGGGGGGAAGATAAAATAAATACATTTTATCTTGACACTGAACCAAAATACTCCGAATGACACTAAACAATTTCGAAGCAGCATACAATTCTTCAATACTCCCGCTTCGGCCTCACCGATTGGAGACGAACATTCATATCTTGCGAATCTAGAACTTCGGAGCCGATCGTGCTTTGCGTCAGTGTCGAGCGGCTAATTTTTCTTTCGGGCTTAGAACGAGCTTTTAGTGATCTCACCATCAGCGAGTAGGTGGCCTTAAATCTGCGGTTACGGAATGCAAAAAGAAACGGATTGAGCGCCGAGTTTAGGTACCCAAACATTAACAAAACGATGCGAGCTTCATAGGGGATACTGCCCGTACATGACTCGCCGCAAATGAACGCGATAATACTGACCGAGGAAAATGGCACCCAGCAACAGAAAAAAGCCCCCACAAAAATAGATATTGTCTTAGCTGCTCTTACATTTCTAGAATACACCTTTTTCTCTTCGGTGGAACGAAATTTTCGGCTGTCATCTCCTTCAACGTTCTTGTGATGAGTGGAAGCGATCATATAAATCTTAATATAGATTCCACATGTTACCAATAGTGGCAAAATGAAATTCAGAACAGAAGTCAGAATGAAATAAACCCGGGTGAAAGGGAAATAACAAACTTTGTCGTGGACAAAATAGTCAGCTGTCCGCCAACCCATGACAGGAAGCAAAGCGCACAAAAAACTGTACAGCCAGATTATAAAGCAGATAAAGAAAGCTCTTTTCCGAGTCATGAATCTGCAACGTCTAAAACGATTTAGAGGATCACTGAGGCTTTTGTATCGATCCACGCTGACGGCCAACAGGGTCAAAATCGAGGTTGGTACGGTTATTAGGTACATCGTTATCCATGCTCTGCACATAATTTCTCCATGATTCCAAACCCACTGAAGACAGATCCCTTCTATATCAAATGGCAAAACCAGTGTGACTGTCAGGAGATCCGACAACGCCAGGGAGAAAATAAAGAGGTTCGTTGGATTGGTGCGCAAGTTTCTGTTGGCGAGTATAGCGTAACAAACTAGAAGATTTCCCACTGCAGCTACTGTTAATATAATTATATGACACGTCGCGACTGGATACACGAATCCTGGCATGAAATCAAAAGTTTGAATTTCCTCGTCGCTTGAGTTGAGTTTGTGCTGTGCGAGCGAGTTGTTCATTGCGTTACTTGCTAAAAAAATTAGAGAAGGGTTCAATTGAATTTCCCGGCTTCGTCCGTTCAGCTCTACGGGGTGACCGTCCTTATCTCGGTGTTTCCTCAGCCAAAATGAACAGTCTTTGTTATCCTTAGTCCATTAAGTGTCTTGTTGTGAGTCACTTGATTTCAAAAACAAGGTGCCTTTTTTCTAAGTACCGGAAAGTTACCAAGAGTGTTTTAAGACCTTACGAGACTGACTTGTCAAGACTGATTATAAATGAGAGATATTCTCCTCCTTAATTACCCCTAAAATGAAAAAAATATGAAGCACTTTGTCATTAAAGTCGGCAACAACAAGAGAAGGTTAATAGAATATGTTTATTTTAGTTCTTGATAAGAAGTAGAGAGGTTGGCTTAAGCTAGGCATAATCAGCTATAGAGGAAGCTAATTCGTGAATAGGAATGAATAATGCTAATAGGTTTCGCTTGCAGCATACAAGCTTTCCTCCCGTCTATGGTTCATTGATAAGTATCCGAATATTTTGCAATAGAATCGTAGCGCAAAGTTGTCCCGTAGATTCATTGCAAACACGAATGAGTACAAAAATTTTATAGGCAGAAAGCAACGCATTTGAAATTAAAAAAACCAATCTTATGGAAAGGAGGCCAGAGTAAGGGAAGGCATTTTCATGAAATAATGTATTGTTCTAAAGATCTGGATGGGCGGCTAAAAAAAATAACCGATGCAAAAATTTGCGAGTTTTGGAAAGGTATAATTAACACATTTTGGTTCCACTTCATAGCAAAGCATATTTTGATTGATGTTGAATGCTACCTTTTTTAATGAAAGATTAAGTGATTGAGACTTACAAGCCAACAAGTTCGAAGTTTTCCAATTAAACAGTAAGCTAGCAAATATATATCATATTGACAGGGAAAACAAGGAACCAACATATCGCAGTTTTTATTTAAAGTTTTTTCATTGTTAATAAGTTCATGATTACTTCCTTTAATAACTTAACAACTGTGTCTTTAATTGCGAGACGGAGTAATCTTTACGGGGAATAATTCTATTTTCGGTATTGCTTTTATTTTGAACTTGAATTCATATCGTGCACTCGTAGCCCTCTGAGTCGATCGTCAGACCGAAAAACTCCCTAAAGCACGCAACTCAACAAAAACAAATTTTAGGAACTAACGGTCTCTAATACAACCCACGTCACTTGAAGGTCCATTCTCATCGAATGACTTTCACCAATTCTCTCCTGGAGTCATGGCGTTCAAAGCTCAAAATATTAATCTTTGAATGAATATGATTATGTTTTGAATATACATATCGCAAAAACTTGCTATTGTGCCGGCTGATTATGTTGTATATTTCCTTTATACCTTCCTAGACGTTATTGTTTTCAATTCTGCAAGAAATAGCCATGCAGTTTATGAAGAAAATCTTCCCTTCTGATGAGTAATCTTTACAGCGCGTTATCGCATGTTGTCGCCAAATACGCCTCCTGTGGCAAATAATTACTACAGGCGGATTAACTGAATCTCAGAGGTTTTCATTTCAGTGCTTGCGGGTTCGGCAATTCAGTGAGCTTAATGACATCCAAAGTTGTTATCAAATTGCCTTCCGAAATATTAAGTGAGTTTCATTGCGGATGAATTCGGCGAAAGATGTAAACATATCGAGTAATGCCCTTTCACTATTTTTACATAACAGGTTAGAATAAAAATATTGTGTTGTGATGCTCTCCTTCTTTTTTTTTTTTTTGCTAACAGAAATACCAGTGATTTCCTGGTTACACTGATACCTTCAGAGCGTGGGATCATTCTTAGATCCTTATCATTTCATTTGAAACAAGTATTATTTTACACCGTGTCTTTTACATCGCTCTATGTGTATTGAAAGAAAGACAATATTTCAACCAAAACAACTCCGTCTTGGCGCCGAATTCACTCAGTATTTCAGCTATCTTGCACAGCTTAAGGAAGTTCAAAGTTGCTCCGTTGCATTGTTACAGATCCAAAGGATCTATAGGTAAGAACAATGTGGACTGAGAAGCATAAAAAAAATTGATTGACCGATAAAACAACATAAATATTTTTCGATTTCTGGTAAGCGGAGATTTATGAACCGTTAAAGAAATTAGTTAAACTTAATTATAGCTGTTACACAGAGGATTGCATTAAATGTGATAAATTTTTGGGGAGAAATAAGCATTTGAATACGAAGACAACACATATACAGTGGGCTAGATATTCGATGTATTTGAAGTTGGAGGCTTTCGAGGAAGTGATCTCTATGTGAGAAAGAATATCATGTGAGAAAACAATATCATGGAACATAAAAGGATACCGAACGGGTAAAAAACCTCTTAAAAATATTAACGTCTGAAACATAAGCGATTAATACCACAATATAAGCACATTTTCTTAGGTAAATGATATTTACTATTTTCACATTAAATTTGAATTGTTGTTCAATTTCAAATCCAATGGAAAAAAGTGGTCGGTGTCGACCGTGAAAAATACCTTAAAAACTACTTTTTCCAAAATTATACTCAGTTCATTTAGTATGAATGAGAAGAGATAAGTGAGCCGAGTGCCTATATCTGCATTACAAGATGACTGAAAGCGTATATTTCCTTGGGGCTACCCAATGAGACAATATAACAAATCTCACAATAACTTAGTGTAATTAGAAGGCAAATGTGATCATGTTTCCATTTCAATTTTCCTTTCTGTATTATTGCTGTCGCATCTTTCATTCATTTCGTTCCCCAACAACTATCTTTAAAGTTGTTTTGGCCGCCAAAAAACAATGAAGAAAAAATGTCAATGATTTTTCCGCAAAAAGTTCAACGATAATGGATCTCAACCATACGCGGAAATCACAGAAACTAATGATTACAACGTACTGATAACTTTCAATTTCGCCCAAAATAAAGAAAGATGCATAAACACCAGTGTAATGTGACAAGAAAGAAAAAGATAATAACCCGAGCGAGTGCAATTCTTTTTCGCGTCGTTTCCTAAAACAAAATTTAGTCTGTCTATCAAATAAAATATTGCAGCGACGATAATACACGACTGAGTGTATTGATGGGGGTGTGTTTCTTAATTCCTCCTTCCAGGTGTTTATTCCAAGTGGAAAAAAAGTTCATGCAAAAACCGAAAATGTAGTATTTTGTTTTTAGCAACTTAACGTACGAGACCCCGTCGGAGAATGAAAAATTCTTCAACGTTTTTCAACACAAATTATGACCAATTCGTCTAATTTTTAATTCTACACTGTTACTTTGTATTCCTTCGTCAGATGCTTCTAAAATATATACTTTTCCAAATGGATAAAAGCTGAAAATACTAATCATGATGTATATGACATTGATATAAATAAGGTTTCGTCTTTGTTTCTAATAACAATTTCATCGATATCCGTTTTTTTTTAATACACCACGTGACGCGGAAATTTTAGATCAAAGACTTCCTTCAAGGACAAAACTAAAACTTTGAACATCTAAGTCATGCCTTTGGCTGCTCTAATGCTAATCTTGAAGCGGTTGCATGGAAGATTGAAAACCTTTCCGTTAAACATCTTATTTCTACGTCAGATTGCCGCGGTCATCACGAGTGTATGAGTTTCAGCCCCTTGTGTAGTAAAGATATCACTAAGTTATCTTTACTGACTAGTTCATAAATTAACCATGTCTCTCCAGGTTTTCTTAAAGAAGTTGCAGTACATTACGTACTGAGAACTGTTTATGAATTCCAATTTGGTTTTTGAGGACCTCGGGGAATGTAAGGCGGAAGGAAGATTTTTTGCAAGATAACAAACCTTTAAATTTATGCAATGATCGGCGGTCTTTACTGCTCTTAAAAGGAGTATCACGGGAACATTTCTCCTCAGGAAATTTTGCCGCCAGCAAGTTAATGAAATTTACTCGTACATTTCATCTTAATATTTGCCGGCTTAATTTTGGAGTAAATGTTGTATCTATTTTGTTTTGCGACATTATTTTATCTTCTGGCAGAGCAAAAGCATCTATAGCTGTTAACAAGAAAATAAAAAGTGTAAAAGCATGCGCAGATACAAAGTTTGTTGGATGGATGGCCCCGAATATGAAACGAGATAAAAACTGGTTACTTACTTCGACATGGAGTTATCTCTTTGAAAATGTGAAGAATAATTGTTTTTCTTTTGTTCCCTTGGGAATGATAACCAATTTAGATATGACATTATAAAATGAATTAAAACTTGATCTGAGTAACAAACAAAGATTTATCTTTCTGCAAAATTTTAGAAAGATCTGCAACTCTATCTGTCGTTGATTTTTTTGTTTAGTATAAATATGATCGAATGAACCATGTAGAGTTATGATTGAAACTCTTAAGCAATGTATTTATGTAATATACACCAGATTTAAACAGGAACCCATTCATAATCAGTTATTTAAAAGCTTCGACAACAATTTTAAGAACACAATTTCATACATTTAAAATTAGTACGTGTGTTGTGGGACTTACGTGTTTCAGTTGGTTCAAGAAAAAAATACATCAGGGTTTGAGCCAGGCCTCATCTTACGCAATAACGGTCATGGCGGAATTATAAGAGTTTGTATGGGCATATTTACGACCGCCCTCAGGAATAAAAAAAATACGTCAAATTCTCAAAAAAAATACCTCACCTCGCTTCCACAGCGTATTGCTTGTTATCTGACCGCTTACTTTGATGAAAAGAGCCCATTTGAGCGAGTTGTTCATTTCGAGGTTTTCAACGTACATAAGAAAAGCCCAAGGCTGAACACTTCATTTCCGAACGCCTGATCCGAGAAGCGAAAAATCCAAGCTCAAAATGACCGGGCGGCCACAAATCTAACACAGAATCCAAGCACACATACTGTAGTTTCATTTCAATTCACTACAAACTCAATCTTCCCCGTGCAACCGACGCTAAGCCGCAGTTTGCTTCAAAAATTTCTAGTTTAGAGGTTTCTAACAGCCCGCGACCACATCAACCTTGACACACGACCGTTGAAACCCTACCTCCTTTTCAAACTGAGCCTCGCCGGGGACCACACCGTCAGTTATCATCAATAAATTGTTTTAGAACCACGAAGAGTTTTATCTCGGTACAGAAATTGCAAGCTAAAACAGAACGTGGAAAGTATATTTTCTTGCACGTTTAAAGTTCATTCTAAAGTCACGTTTCAGTCACACTTTACTGAACACGTACGTCTCATGCTCAACCAAGCGGTAGTCTAAAGCATAGTCATTGATCCTCTGTTTAAATATGACGAGAAAAAGAAATTTGACATCAATAACATAACTTTTCTTTTTTGCATCACTTTTCTTGTATTACAAGTCTTACAAGGTCAGGTAAAAAAAATGTTTTTGTCGGCTTGCCTGTATGAATGTAAAAAAAGAAAATGTCGAATAAAAATTAATTTGTCTGTCCCCCTAAAAATGAAAATGTCCTCCAAAATTTTTGCTAAGGGGACAAATTGTCCCCCAGTGATCAAATACTAGCTCAAACCCTGTTAAATACATGACTGTTCAGCAGTGTCTAAATCAGGAAGTACTGAGTATGCAAACTGCAGCAAGGATAAGGAAGCAATGATGATCCATTTGAATTTCATGGCTAAATTGTTTCTCACTGGCCATTACCAATATCAAAAATTGTTATTCTGCAGGGAAATTTGACTACAGGTAAACTTGAAAAAAAAGTGATGAGGACACGAGAATTAAGAAGGAGTGCATGTATCATTATGGAAAGTATTTAAGAGTGAGTCCTTTCCGCCAACCATTTCAATTAATTCATGCGAACACCGAAAAGGTAATGAAACGATTAATATCCGTTAATCAACATAATTATTTAGAGAAGAATACTTTTGGCCGCAGCTTACTAAGAATGGTTGTAAAATTTGCTGATCAATCGATTAAAATTGGCGCAACTTCCAAGGTTTGTGGCGCACGGAGAGAGCGCTGGTGTTTGCGCATGTTCCTGTCCGAGAATAATAAATAATGTTTTGAACTTGCAAAGAGCGAACATGGAGAAAGAACTGTGAGCTGAAGACAGCAAATGCAGAAAAAATAAGCCTGAACAAGCAGTTTTCCCTTGAATGAAGCACCAAAGATTGAAATAATTCATGAGAACTACATATGTATAAAACCAAGTAAGCTAATAATTTTAAGGAAGTACGTTATCAGAATACTAGACAAAAAATTCGACCGAAGGCCAAAACCAGAGAAGATACAATTACCCCATGAAAACAATGAAGCAAACTTACTTTGTCGTGTGTCAGATTATTGTCAACAAGAACTTAACTTAGCCAGTTTTCGCCTTCTCGTAAGCTTGGTTCTACACCATGCAGTTTTAAAAACTTTCCTGAGATCTTATTCTATAATTGCACAAGACTGGAAAAATTTCGCGTTGCGTAATTGCGTCATGGTGTATTTCGGAGAACATTTGTTAACGGAAGAGATCGATAGACTAGCTTCTTTCTCTAAGGTTTTCGGTTTTAGTTTCAAAGAACTGTTGTTTTTAATAAAATATACTAAAATAGACATGTTATTGGACTGCATGGAAAGAAGCATTAAATCGGACACAAGATTAAGTAGTCTGAATATTCTGTTTACGCATCGCTTCCTGTAAGGAAAAACACTGCGGTCAAACAAGAGGAAATAATTATTTTCTCTTGGGTCAAATTAAATGTAAAGTGAATGTCAATAGACATATCTTCGTTTATTGTTTTTTGAAAAATGTTAATATTACTTGATGTATAGAGTCTTTGTGTTAAGCTGGGCAAAACACTCTCAAAACTGGATTTCCTTTCTTTTAAATATCGAAGTCTCTACGATTTTGAATAAAGATGAAGCAGCACGTTCACAATGCAAATTGTGAATTTGAATATCTGCACAATTAAGGTCACGACTGAAAGCAGACATAAGAGTTGGTCTTCAACCCTTTCATATCAGTTTTATTACCGTATTAAGACAAAGATTGGGCTAATAAATGTTGATATTCACTTTCTGTCTCTGACATCATGCACAGTTAGCATCGCAAGAAAAAGTTTTTGCTATTGAAAAATTCAGCCGGAAATTAAATATAATGTATTTTGCTATTTTTTTGCAATCTTTCGTTTTTCTTTTTATACATTGAAAACTAATGACAGACAAAAATATGAAGCGATTTTTAATAATTCCAACGAATTTCCGTGCTATATTGAGGTAGGCAAATCTCTATTGTATCGGACCCATGCAGACCCATTCTTGGACCTTACTGACACAAAAAAATCCAGCCACATATTACATTAAGACCGACCAGCTCCTTGAAACAAGCAAAAAAACTATTGACAAAAATGATGCACACACGTGTCAGGCGTTGGGACCTGACGAGCGAATTCGATGCACCCCTGCACCCCCCCCCCCCCTCCCTCCTCGTTCACGCTTGTTCCCCTCATCGACGTCTAGTATTCAAAAGTTAAGTTATTATCAGCTGGTTAGGAAGTTAATGTGTAAAAGTAATACGTATTTCAGTCTCGATGTCTCACTAATACAAATTTTGGCCTAAGGCTCTCTGCAGATGTTTATAAGTAAAACACTTCAGCCGAAACGCAACAAATTCCAAAAGAAAAACTAAAAATTTAGGGCATGAAAAGAGCGAGAAATTTAGGCGTGGAATTCATAAAGTTGTAAGCGAAATCAACGCGAGAGAGGCAAAGCTATCGGAAAGAATGTCCGACTACTCTGACAAAAAAAAAAAAGTTCTTGCTTCTTAACACTGACCTTTAAGATGTGTTGTCTTCCCTCTTCACGGAGAAGAGAGATTAGTGCAGAAAATCTTTGATTTCAAACGTTTTGGCTTCATCCGGTCTAATTATGAGCACACCATATGCATAAAAATATTTTAAAAGAAAAAAAAAAGGCGATATAAATGTGCATTTCTCCATGCCGCGACTGTTAAGTAATGATCCCACTGATGTGTCAAGATAATCTTTAAACTAGATAAATGTTGAACTCTTGTTGGTCTAAAGTGCAGTACAAATATTGGAATCACCCAAAAAATGTCTGAAAATGATGGAGAAAAAGAGTTACACTAACGTTAAATTTGTAAGATCCAGAGTAAACTTTTTCAAAATGCGACCTCGGTTGCTAATCAGCAATATTTTGTCTTATGTTTATGGCCTGCCTGAGCTTTCTTCTTAAACCCGCACAGCGACAATTCAATAGCGCCGTTAAATTCATCAAGAGAGCTGGATATAGGTGTTATTTGCATAAATCGTTCGGTATAATTTTTGTGTCCAAATGCCCGGCGGCCGGGCACGGTCTTAAATGGATCAAATGCCCAGCAGTCAGAAATTTCCATATAATTTCCACTGAAGGTTATTTAGTTAGATCCTTGTTCAAAAATGTCACGCGACTTCAAAAATTGTTTTGGGTTTTATGTAGACGAATCTTTCGAGATTGTGTATTCCGTGAAATATCTTAGGCATGCTGAAAAAACTCAGTGATGTGTAGGACAATTTTAATCGAAGCAGTTTCAGTCTAACTCATCGGAAATGAGAACGCGAGACAATCGCTTAAAGAAATCTAAACACTGTGCTGTTCACAACAAATAAAGCTTTCTCTGCAGGAATAGCGATCATTTCAACAATACACCCACTGAGAGACTACATTGCTATTGTAAATAACAGCGAAGCAAATAGAACCGAACTGTTTATTCAAAAGGCTCTTTCTTCATCTAATTAAACTTTCATCTGATGATAAACATTTAGATTGAAAGCGCGGGAATAACTTATTTGCGTAAAAAAAAAAAAAATACCCAAATCATCCCAGAACTCGACAACGTGTCAGTGGGTCACAGGTTTTGTGTCTTTCAGAAGCCTTTTGAACATCGACTACGTTACAGCCGCCAAACGTCAAGGGAGAATAGCTAATCTTGTCTCTTCGGATGTAGATAGATCATAAATTAAACCACTGACGCAAATACTTCACAATTATTTTTATACTCGACATTAAGTGACCGGCTTCTCATTGGCACCAGCAGGTATCCTCCATTAGGTTTAAAAAATCTCTCTGATGATAAAACTAGCCAAGGTTCTTTTTTAATGCACCACTGTCTTAAACAGCACTGAATGCTGGGCGCTTCCGTGGTCTGGTCTAACAGCGTGAACATTCAAAGAGAAAGATAGCGTGAAAACAAATGAAAAAATTCATTTGGTCGTTAAAGCGGCTAAAACTTTAGACGCACAGTCACCAACCTGCAAGGAAAATACCAAAACATAATTTTCACCATCGCCTGGGCGGAGGTTAGAGAAGCGAATCCTTAGAAATTCGGGCGGAGACGCGCTTGTTCTTTTTGCAAATGGTCGATGCTATTTGTTAGAAACTACGCAACTACGAGATGTTACTCCGCCGCGAAAAAGGGAAAATCGTAAATAAAAAATAAATACGGGGCTTTCCCTCGTAAACCTCTCTTCTGATACACAACACCAACTCTTTAGACCACTAGAAAATCGAATAAATAAGGATAAATCGTAATCAACTCTGTTTCAAAATTAGTTCATCTTACCGATGGCCACGTACTTCCTAGGAACTCTTAACCCTAAGTTTTACCTTTTACCGTTAACATTCGCTTATTGAAGTCTTCCTCACATTTATTCTTCATTACAATCCTAAGCATGTATATCAAGATGGATTGAAGGGTTGGTTACCAGAAACCCTATCGTAGAGTCTTCTGCTCGCCGCTAGAAAACTAACGCTTGCTTGTAAGCTATTCCAACAAAAATACCCCTAACGCAGACCGTGAACTTTTTCCATTCTTCGGTAACATACATGATATTCAAAGACAATTAAAAAATGTATAAATTTTATATAGAAAGAGCTTGGGGAAGTTGTTTTGTATTTGATAGTGGCACTCAACCAGTATCTCACAGGAACAGATTTGTTCATCAATCCCCTTCGAAACTTGACTAATTTTTTCAGACATTTTTTTTTTAAGCTGTGACTTTCATTGGAGCTACCCTGTGGAATCAATTTGCCACTCGTTACCTCAACCAAGGTCACCGTATTATTGATCTTCAATAAGTTATTTGTGGTCAGCTTCCTTTATAGAAGAACAAAGAACCTTAAAAAAAGATACATAGCTCCCAGCACGAAGCTTCGTAGCTCAGTTGGTAATGATGGAGTTCGATTTCCCGTAAAAGAAAGAATTGGTTCACACTAACAAATCTATGAAGTTCATTTCTTCACTTTTGGGAAAGTGGTGCTATCTTATTGAACTAATAATAAGGCTCTATGTCATATTTATCATTTGGAAGCCGTGATGTACTACCTACCTTGGGTGGATCACTGACGGACGACAAGATCTTCAATGAATCTTCAATTCCCAACGACTGAGCCAAGGAAAGAGCTTCGGAATCACCCCATACCTGTTTAAGAGAAAAAACGCGATCGCACATGTTCAATTTGACGATTTTTAGATGGAAAACTAAAAGAGTTGTCCTAAGTCAACTTGATTCAATTACCGTTCACTTACCAAAGTTCCAACTGCTACAAGAGATCTGAACCTGGCTTCATTGTCTGTTTCACTTTCTAGGATCTACAGAGATCGCTGTATTAAAGATCATACATTGCCGCAGTATGTTGAGGAACTAAGCACTAATATATGTAAAATTTTATTAAAAATTCGAATATGAAACTTACGTCTGCAAGGGTTGATAGACATTGAGTCTTTGCTTCAAAATCATGATGCTTCCGTAAAAGAACAGAATAACTATAAAAGATACAAGAAATACAACTCAAAACAAATTCCCTCTAATTGCCCGTTTGAGTCCATTTTGTTTGGCACAAAATCAACTCGGGTATTTTGAAAGGAGATATCATTAAAAAACACACAGTTACCATGCATCCTTCTTTACACAACTCTAAAGACCTTTGAAAATTCACGGACTTCATAGATAACGCCAAAAGAAGGTATTCGTTTGGATTGTAAAGAACCTACCGAGCGGAAACTCTTTGTTCCCTTGCTGAGATTATGGTTAACCTTTAGCCATTCTCTCAATTGGTTTGCACGTAAGAGGTTTCCCTACCCACTGTGACCAAGTTTTGTCTCTCTTATATTGCATAGACCTATCCTTCTTTCTTCTCTCCGTCTCTTGGATTAAACAGACTTTGTGCTAACTGCATTTCCCAACACTGTATTTTAATGATTATGTACAAGATTTAACACTTACTTGAGTAAAATGGTACATACGGACACCCTGATGTTCTTGTTAGAGCATTTACACCACGATATTGTATGTTCTACTATCTGAAAAAAAAAATAGAACATAATTTTATGAAGAGTGGAATTACCGACAAGCAATTTTCCAGCAAGAATGTCCGGTGAACCCTTTATACTCTAACATCAGTGTGCACATTCTCCATACTCGTCTCTTTATTTACAAAGCTGCTGACAAGGAGAATTTGTTTAACAATCAAGAGCTTCTCAAGTTGGTGATTATTTCCTTTATTCTAATGATCTTGATATTTTATTCGCTGGTGATATTACAAGGAGAAATTAAAGGCCAGTCACTCTTAGTGGACAAAGGGTAAAGACGTGTCTTAAGAAAGAGTTTGCATGGGAGTGCTGACGGCGTTTGTTCCGGCAGTTCTAGTGACAGTCACTCACGAGATTGCTTAGATTTATTATATGACTGGCTTGGAGGGAAAAGATGAAGTAAATCCAGTTTTCTGATTGGCTATCTATGCATTTCGTGCACTGTCTGTTGGCTTTGAATTGGACAATAAGAACGTCAGATAAAACTTACTCCATTGGACAAATTTCTAAGGACCTTGATCTCATACTTGGTCGTTGATACATCATGGCATTTAGTACCCGGGCCTAGATTTACGTACTTACCTTCTCTCTGTGTTTCAGAACTAAAGCTGAACCGTCAAAAGACAAAAATAGATTCGATATTATTCTAAATGACAGGAGCACATTGGATGGTGGATTATCGTCCCTGCAGAGGAAAATTATTTGTTAAAATCACCAAGAAAGAACTAAATGAATTTTGATAAGCCGGTTTTTGAGCAGTTTTCCTACACTCTGAACAGCTGTCTTCAGAGCGCTCAAAAATTAACTTCCCCCTACAAGCATAATAATACCGATAGCCATGCCAAGCCCACTATTTCAAACTTCAATGACTGACTGCCGTTGACTGATTGATTTTTGAGCGCTTTCGGCCACCTTAGACCACAAACTTGTCAAATACTACATTTCCTTGCAAGACTTAAGGAACAGAAAAGTTTTTCCTTATTCTCAGCAGTGGTATTACTGTATAGTAATAAAATACATCTCACAGTTAAGACTGACAATATGTCTGTACCTTGTACAAGCAAGTAAATGAGCAGTCAGGTTATCTCCCTCAGACCCACTACAACACATGTTGGCAATGGATGGAAAACGTACAGCCAGACGCAGAATATCCAGAGCTATTTGAAAGACAACAACAAGCATGATTATTACCTACTTAGCTCCAAGTACACCACCTTCAATTTGTGAGGAGGTACGGGCGGGAACAAGTAGGCCAACAAACCCTCGGTCATCCTGCTTTCGAGGAAAAATCCCTCATACCTTTCTGCTGAAGATTCTCTCATCGAATCATTTAATTCATTATGATTCTAAAACTCAAACATGTTGGTTGAAACGCTTTAAAAGGCCAGGAGAGGGGTTTTAAAGACAAAAGCCAAGAAATAGAAATTAATTCCAAACTGCGTTCACTTATATAATTAGTCATTTAAGATTTCAGATTTCGAAGAGCCGCCAATTGGATAATATACCTCTCACGACTATCAAGGATAAACGACTGTGAAACCGTTATGTAAACCCAAAACAAAAAATAAATTTAAAAAATAACAACCACTTAAACTCCAATCAGAAAGCAGCAAATGTAAGAATAGAAAAGAGCGACCAAATGAAACTAAAAGAGAGTTTATAATAACTTAGTATTCAATCATCTTACGCACCTGGAAATAGCTGATTTTGTGGCCACTTTAGTGCTCTCACGAGTAAAGACATGTGCGAAACCTTTGGTGATTTACACTTATCCGCAGCGGCTCCCACGTCGTTTAATAGTTCTATGAATAAAAATAAAGGACTGTGCTCGAGTTTGTGCGCTGCCTTGATCAATATCAAGAGAGGATGAAGTGCTCTTTCGCCGATATAATATGTTCGTAAGACCGTGTTAAGTCCAATTCGGTCTTCGATCAACAATCGCGGACGACCGCGAACAGAAGTTTAATTTTGTTCATCTGCAGCATAATGACAAATTACATATTACCAACAATTGAAAATTATGAAATATTTTGAGAAGCGAAGTACCATCGATTAAAAATATCCATTACTTACGAACTGAAAGGCACATGAAGTGGAATTTTTTCACGAGGAAATTAACACCTTACGAGAAAGCTATATCTAAAATTTCCAATTTTCAGTGAAATGCGAAAGTTGTCTCTTCAGAATTCAGACGCCTGATAACCCATCAAGTACTAAAATTTTGTCATATTCTTAATAAGTGCAGGTAACTGATCACAAATGGAGGCTACAAATACGCGCTACGCTTAAAGCAAGTCGCAATATCCTGGGGCTCACCTATTAAGTTTTTAAGTTCATCTTCTGATAACTTTTGATCCTGAAGAGAAAAATCGGAAACAAAATGACACACGAAGCTAATAACTAGCTCAAGAACTATAACTGTTGAGAAAACAGTTTATATAAGAATTGATCATATAATAATTGACGCAGTCTCAGTGGGTAGAATTGCAAACCGATTTCAGCTCGACGCAGACGGCCTTGGCTTAAATTTAATAGGTTGCAATTTCAGATTCCTCATACCTTCCCAAGGCTTTTGCATTAGCTAAAATTCCCGGGTCTAAAAAAAGCTTTACTAACCTCTTCTAAACTTTCATTAAATTCCTTCAATTTCCCAGCGATTGCATTGACGTTTGCGTTATCAAACGACACACATGATGTCTAAAAAAAAAATGAACAATTACGTCGAATTAGTTCACCAGTAAAATCAAACCTTGCAATGATTAAAATAATGGGGGCCAACGGCGGTTTAAGAAATATTTCTTTGGTTAAGATGGTAGCGCTTAGCGGTCTGAATCTTGACCCTTCAACTCCCTAAAAAGATTAGCATGTAACTTCCCTTAGCCAATCCAATATACTATTCCGCAAACAGGCGGAAGAACAGACATACAAATCGATTGGAGGGTGCTTCCTCAATGTAACATCAAATTGTTTTGTCTGATCCTCAAGGAAATGTGTGAGGAATCAGAAGGAAAAACTACGAATTGAATCTTTCGGGGTCAAAGATTGAAGAGGCCAGGTCACAATTCATGCATCTTGAAGCATGAAGCTTTACTTTTTCAAGAGCGTCATTAGCAAAAAGTGTCAACCATCTCATTATCCCACAAACCACATTCATTTCGAAGTTTTCTTTCTTACGACACTCATTTGATTCCCCTTGTGTAAAAGACGAACCCAAATGACGGGGGAAATAGAAAATTGCGCATCGCATAAACGGCTACATAAAGTTAAATAGAGTGCTCAACAATCTTGATTTGCACGAGTTCAGTGATACGATCTTTTACGCAAAAATAATTAACAAACAACAGGTAATAGTTGGGCTCCAGTTTTACCTTAGGAAAGTAAGGGTTGGGTGTTCCTGTGGAACTTTCATTAGCTGGACTGACTTGACTACCAGCCTGTCCTGATCTATAACTACTGGAACCTGAAAAAAATAAAAAAAATTCCACAAACAAATGAAGTAAACGAGGAACTGTAAACATTGAATCGTGCATATGCCTGCTCTTCACGTCCTTCTCTCTTCAATATGTTTAAGATCAAACTTTTAAGAAGAAAAGCTGTGAAATCTTCGAGTGCGGTTGAGCATAAAAACTTTCGTAAACTTGTGATGGGAACCTTAATTCAATTTAGCAGCTAATTTTCAGCTTTTTAATCGTAAATGCATTGACAACGCTCGCAGGGTTGTTTTTCGTTGGTTCCCGTCCTTGCTCTAGGGGTTTTAATCCATTTTTCTAACTAAAATCAGTAAAAACAAACTACAAACAATCGTCAAGAAGAGCCACTTTGCTTACGGCTACCGCTGAATCCCATATTAATTGATTAGTTGACTGTTTTTACCGCGTACTGACCTGTAAATGGATCCAACCCATCCGTGTTAGTCTGCGGAGATGTGTACGACGGTCTGTAGCTACCACTTCCTAAAGTGTAAAGAAATAACTTTAAGTACGATGCCGGCATCAAGTTTAACCTTTCAATCCACAGCACGAGGTACATAATCTCTGAAAAAATCACCTCAAGTTTACTTAAACGTGCTAGAGATTAGTAAAATTTGTTTCCATTCTTAATTATGCCAAGGCAAAATTTATTTTAATCTATCTGTTTTTCCCAACACAATTTCCATTCCAAAAAGATAATAACAAAGCTGAAACTGTGGGATAAAATGAAGGTAGGGACAGTCAAATACCTGTAAAGGGATCGACACCTCCTCCTCCCAAATTGAAATCCGTAACTGCCTGAGAGGGCGTTGCAGATGGAACATACCGACCTGCTCCTGCAATGCAACATCAAACATAAAAAGGTAACATATTTGTACTCAGACTGATCAGAAGATTAAAAAGTGACCAATTACATGTATTAGACTAATTTAAGGCGAGCAATTATGTCATATCCCCAACATCGCAAGAATCGAGAGGATAACATCAGAGAATGGACGAGCGATTCACCGAGGTTGTTAGAGAATCACAACGAAGGGAAGGTACTTGTGGAAAAATTATTAATGTCGCCCTGATTGTGAGCCGAATTATGGAAAAAGAGTAGTAAATTCGATGAAGCGAAACGATAAAAGTTGACATTACTTAAAAACTGTAGTTTCAAATATAGAAGCAGTAACATGTCCTGTAATTTTCAAGGATAAGTTTTTATTTCTCAAAAAGTGATGGGTGCGTTTTGGAAATATCCAAGAATTTATGAAAACAATTAGAAGTGCGGTGTAGGAGAGAGATCATACCAGAACCTCGGTTTTCTTTGCTTACGACTGCTCTGCAACTCACCGGTAAACGGATCAGACGCAGATGAGCTCTGCTGACCTATCGTGACTCCTTTGGTGTTCTTTAGTATAAAATCAACCACTTGGTCCAAGAACATCTGACTGAGATCATTCCGCTCTAGAAACTGATGCGCAGCCATCCAAGGATCATCTACAGACAGTAATGAGGACTCATGAGTGACACACGTTCAAAGGAAGCATTTCATATCCTCTTTCACTCCTCACAACCTGTCACAACTCAGTCAGAACTTTTGCGTAATTCTCACATTAATATCAAGCGGTAAGTCAAATTTGTTTCAAGTGGTTTCTCCCCATTGCAAGTTCGCCTCAACCGCCTTTGCGAGTTCACTCCCCAACGTAAAACAAGTTCGCCCAACCTTTACCAGTTTGTCCCCAAAACGTTCGACTCGTTCCCTCGCCTCCTCACCACAGAACGTATTCATTTCTTGTCGAAATTTCCCTGATATGTTTCGACCAACTTGCAATTTATGTACTGCTATAAAAAACCGTTAGGGGGCAAACTCACAAAGGCAAAACGGAAGCGAACTTGCAATCGGGCGAAGTCATTAGTTACCATAAAATTACATCAATGGTATCGTACCAGTCAGGTTGTAAGGCAACTTCCTTCGAGGGCTCCCCTCTTGAATTTCAACATCAAATACAAAATCGTATTCCTATGAGACCAGAAAAACAGGATGTCACCAAAAGACGTTCTTGTCATAACCCGTCATCTTACGTGGAGTCGACCATACAGCACAGGAAGAATATAAACACATTTAGAGGATTTTTTTATCAGTAATCTGCAAGACATTCACTCCGATACTTAACCAAAACCCTCTAAAACTCTAGTTTGAGAGCTAAACTGCTTGTTAACCGTCGAATCATACCTTTCCATTATACATTGTTTTGTTGGTTTGTCTCGCTGTGCCTTCTGTTCCAGCTGACCCTACTACCTCACCGACCTGATTATAAAAAGAAAAGGAACTTAAAGGATCATCAAGCAGAAATAATGGCACAAACAGAAACCTCAAGCAACCTTCCTTGCGTAGATCATTAATAAATCAATAATTATTATTTTTAACCAAAGAGCTGTTACCTTTTCCCATCTAGTTTCCATGCCATTCCACTAAAAATAGAAATAATTACTCCATAAGAACTTGAAGTTATTTCCAGCGGTGCGCTGTAATTTCACGGAGTACATGACGTAAAATAGATAGATCACGCGATTTAAAACTCGTTTTGGTCTTTGGATTTAGTCTGCTGTGTACATTCATGAAAGAAAAAAATTATATCTGCAGCATGATCCCAAGTTTCTGATTATGGGAACATATTCAAAGTCTCTCTCTGAACAACGAATAAATTTAGCCAATACCACAGGAATATCACTAAGAGAGGCTGTAAAACAATTACAAAACAGACAAACAAACACAAAGCTTAAGAGATTTCTATTTACCTGGTGACATTCAATGACATTTCCTCTTCTTATGAGCTTTGTTTGAGCACTTTTGTCACCTGAGCACAGAATTGTATTGTGTCATTTTATAAACAATGCAAAATAAGCATTATGGATGATTTAATTCAAAACTATTTGGCTGGGAAAACTAAACTGACAATGTACAGTACATGTTATCACCCACAGTGTATAGCATTGGCAACTACATGTACATGTATGTCATACTTGGCACACTAAATCCACCTTTTTCAGCATGATTACCTGGTCTAAGAAGAGCTTCTGGTCCTGGAAGATCTTCAAGTTTGACATCACCTAACATGCCACTGAACAGAAAAAAAAATACAAAGTAGTAAACCCTGTGGAAGAGAACATCTGATTTAAGGTTTGGTGAGTTTCTTATCACTAATGGTAGGTGGTTGCTTGCAAGAGAAAAGATCCCATATGCATCAATAATGTGAATTGAATTGAAATTTACTTATGTGTTGCACAGAGTCTTGTACAGAGTCTTGTACAGCCAGTAAAATAGTTTGAGAGTTTAATGTTCAATAAAAAGGGATGTGTAAGCATAGAACAAAAGAGCAAGTGACCACAGCTAAGAATCCACTGTACCTTGCAGCTTCTGCTGGTATAGCATGACTTGCAACTTCAGCGTCAAATAGCTGTAGACATGAAAAGGCAGTTAAAAACAAGAAAAGCCTGACACCAATAAGGTAAATGTCAGCCAAAAGGCCTATATAACCAGAGCTTTCTGTGGCTTGAACCAATCAGTGGTATTGCCACATGAGATGCCAGTCCATTGCAGGTTACTACCCAGTTACCTTTTCTTAATATAGCAAATAATATGTCACTGAAAGCCACTATGGATAAGATGAAGAGAATCCTGTTTTCTGATTGGCTACCTGAGCAAGCAAGATGGGTCCATCTTATCCTATCAGGATTGCCCACTTTGATCCTGCACAAACCTGTAATTCTTCTTCTGATGCCACTCTGTCATCTGCAGCAGTGAAAATGCGCACAATACCATCACTAGAGAGGAGAAAGTACATTTACATAATTCATGTAATTCTAACTGTATTAAAATGTGATTAGTTTTCCTTTAATAACAACAAAATTGAGAAGCCTAATGAGTATATGAACAGTGTAAATTACATAAGCCTTATACAGGGTGTTCACTCAATCATAAAATCTGAAAAACTACAGATAGGTCTAAAAAGAAAAAGTGAAATCTCAACTAAATTGAAAGCAAAAAACAAAAACTTGTATCAAATGTTACTTGATTAAGAAAGTCTTAGCCTTTATCTAACCTTGAGCCAGTTACAATGTCTCCATTGTTCAAACATGTAACACTCCAAACTGACTGAGCAGGAAGGGTGATTGTTTGAGCACATTCTCCTCCTGACATAAAGGAGAAAAACAAAGCTCAGTTTGACACAATCCTAAATTTAACTTAATTTATTTAACTTGACTTTGTGTATATCAGCATTATTGACCAAGTGTGAGGTCAAGATGGCTGGATATTGGCCAAGTTCTTTTTCTTATTACTTATGCACCAAGACAAAGTCCAGGTCCATAAAAAAGAACAAAAAAACAAGAAGCTGGTGTGTTAGTTACACAATAAAACCATGAGAATCATTTATGATTTCTTTGTTTTGACTGTTTTGACTTCTGTCACTTTTTTGTAACTGCAATTGCTGACATCGTCTAAAAACTACAACTCCAGGCAATCTTTTACTATCCCAAGTCTACATGTACGGGGGGCAAACCTGAGCAGGCAAGATAAGTCCATCTGTCTGCTAAGGTAGCCAAGCAAACACAGGATAATGCCCACAAGCACTACCAATGATAGAATAAACCAGAGCTAATCTTTAAGTAGACATCTACACCTATTATAAACATTAATTTGTATAAATACCTCTTATTACCTCTACAAGAATTTGGTGATGGGAAAACTAAGTAGGGAGAATTACCACCGAGATCTTAGGATTGAGTAAAAGGCTTAACCTAGTCTGAGGTCTACACTATCAGACTAAGTTTTCCCCCCTTCAGTGCATGTCGAAAGAGCCAGTAATAATTAGATAATATCAATTGACAGTTTAATGCATTAAACCTGATAAAAACTAGATAAATGGAGCCTACCTTTCCATATTCGAAGTGACCTGTCTTCCCCGACAGAAACAAAGCTTCCATCCTCACTTGTAAGAGCTGAAATGCTGTCAAAATAAGTAACACAATGACAATGAAGACAACCATATTACTTTTGAAAATGCCACAGGTACATAAAACTTTTATTATATTTTAAGTTTGAGTACTGTATTTATTTCAATTGGCTGACTTAGAACAGGAAATTACCAAAATTATCTTAACGCTTAAACTCCCATGATCTCAAACAGTTTCCATAACTTTCTGACATATACACCTTCTAATTTAGATAGAGTATACATGCATGAAAATTTTGTGTTAATTAAAATAATTCTGTATCTCCTTAAAATGTATTTCCTCTTGTCATTTCTATGCTTTACTGTGCATTGTTACCATATGGATAAATTATATGTTAGTAAATCCTGATAGACTTGGTTAAAAGAAATTTTACAGTCCATAATCTTCCAGGTCTCAAGCTTACTGACCTGTAGATGAAACTTGTGTGTCCTGTATAAACCTGAAGGCATTCACCAGTGCTCATCCATCTTCTAATGGTGCTGGTGAAGGGAAGCAAACCTTTTCACTCAAACCACAAAAATTGATATAAATACTAAGATCATGAAGTAACTCAAAACCAATTCTTTTTTTTTTTACCAGTCATTTGAACAGGACACAAACTCCAGAGCTGAGAGAACAGCCAGACCTCTAACACAGTCACTATGTCCAGTAAATGTCATTTGACATGTCCCTGCTTTCCACATCTTGATGGTCTTATCGGCCGAACCTGTAGAGTTATAGACAATAATTTGTCAACCACTGTACAGTGTACAGATAAGTGGAGGTGGAATCCCCATTGAGGCTTCCCCTAAAACTAATAAAAAGTTCTCAGTTGAATAACAGCAACTTCAATCAATAACTACAACATACTCAGGAATATCTCAGAGTTGGCCATAATTAGAGGAAAATAAAAATCACTCTGATTTGGACAAATTCAAGCAAGGAAACACTTCATTTTACCAAGAACAAACAGAGAACACATCAAACAACTTTAAAATCATTTTGACCTGTAATTCATCTTAACCTTTGAACCCCTTAGAGTGAATGGCTTCAAATTCCTTCCAGCAGCATCACCCTTGAATTGAACATTTAGGTCAGGAGAATAGAGGAAATGATCACCAACTAAAGATGCTCTTCATTGCATACAAATTCTCTTTGTCCACACCTTACAAAATGTATAAAGAACAGTATGGAGAATATGCATACTGATGTTAAGGTGTAAAGGTTAAAGTACATTATTACTCCACAGTGTTCGTAGATGTACCTGTTAGCATGAGCCCATGATCTGGCATTAGTTGGACTGCCCATACTGCTGCTTCATGGCCTTGTAGTTTCATCATACACTTGCTTCCAATCCACACTCGTGCTGTGCTGTAAATCATTTTAGATATAAAGGAGAAAATCATTTCTGACAAAAAAAATATTGAGAGTGGCTGATGTGAAAGACTAAAGGTTATCATTACTACAATCTGAATTGTAGGGTCTGGGGTCAAGTCATGCTGAATCAGTTTGAGGTGCTTTTCCATTAAAAAGATCAACTTTACCGTAGCAGAGCTCTCTCATCCCATGAGTATAAATGGGTGCCTGAAAACTGACTGGGAAACCTTAGAAAAATATTGAGATTGAGATGGATCCCCTCTCTCCTACCACATTTGGAAAGAATGGTTATTGTACATGTAGCAACACTACATACAGTCAGGTTCTCCAGTGTAAACTAGGAAAAGCTCCTGTGCCTTAATCAGAGGGCAATTGACCTTGAACACAAAGCATGTGAAGGATGCCAGTTAGATTTATTGTACTCACTTGTCCCATGATCCAGAAAGAAGTGTCCCAAACTTTCCAGCAATTAATGAACACACTGCTCCACTGTGACCCTCCAGTTTGTGGAGAGGCTCTGAAGGGAGGGAATAAATTCAAGATGACAACAACAATTAAAAAAGGTTGTGATAAATTAATACAGCACTTCAATATCAAGACTTCTTCCAATGTGATTGAAAAATCTAGATGTAAACTGTGAAATATAGTCCAGCAAAAGAAGAAAAGTAAAAAATTATAGGCTAGGTGATGTGGCAATGATTTAAGAACAACTTATCACTGCTACAGCAGTCAACAATAAGATTGACTAAGGGTTAACACTTGAAACATCAGCTTACAGTGGCTAATTGACTTAATCAACACAGTTGATAAAACCAAATTAACAAAACATATAGCATCAGTCACAATCAGTCACGGTCAACTTTCAGATCTGAAAGGAGCAAAAGGGTTAACCCTTCACCTCCTATGAGTGTGTAGCATCTACAGTTATAACTGTGATGGTATAATCCCTGAATGAAAACATAAAGGCCACAAGAACAAAAGAAGTGATCACCAAATAAAGAAGCTCTTAATTGGCAAACAAATTCTCTTTGTCAGCACCAAAGGGAATGTATAGAGAACAGTATAGAGAATATACAGACTGATGTTAGGGTGTAAAGGGTTAAGAGAGAAGATGTGGTAATTCTAAAAGACTGTTGTTTACCCACCAAGAGAATCCAGAGTCCACACAAGAATCACACTGTCATGACCACCAGTGACAACAAGACCTAGCAAATGAAGTAAAGTGGAACCTCCATTTAACACATCTCTACATGTATGTAAAGAAGTCCTAGGTTTAATGAAAGATACTCTTCAGTCTGGCCAAAATTACAGTCAAATGTATGAGAAAGAGTCTCAATATAACAAACACAATCTCAAAATGCTGGGCAGCATGACATCTCACAACACATAAAAAAAAGACAGTAAAAATAAAAAAATAACTATTAACCAGCCCTCAATATGACAAACAATTTGGTTGTTTTTCAGCAAATTCTTTATATTGAGAGTTTGCTATATCATAACAAACCCTCGATATTACAAACTAATTTCCTCTGTCCCTTGGCACTTTGTTAAATTGAAGTTCCATTGTACATAAGATTTTTACACCATAAAATTTAATTCATTCAAACTTATCACTTTCAACTATTTTGTTTATTTTTAAAGCTACATACTGTATATTCAGTACTTCTTGTACCAAAGAAGATACTGCTCTCAGTCAATTCAGGCACACAACTTTCTTATTATTTATAATTCAAAGACAACGCGCAAAATAATTCTTTAGGATTATGTTGTGAAGAAATCTCACAATTTCAATTTTATCACAGTAACCATTAGAATGGCGATAAGCTAAGGCAAAGGAGAGGTTTGCCACAGTAATTGACACCACCTTTAAATGGATGTTGCTATTTATATGGTCTTATAACTACAGGTCAAGTCGGCCTAATTCAAAAGATTTTGATCTTCTGCTTCATTTAAAAGAGACATTAGAAAGAAAACAAATGGTAACTCACAATGAATCAACAGCTGATGTACGTCAGCATTTTTCAGTTTTTATATCAACTTAAACGATTCTAACAATCAATCAGTGTCTATCTATGAAGGTTGGGAAACCGATCTCCATCTATGTGATATAAAAAAATGAGAAAAGAGAAGATACCGTGAGGGTGTTTGTCCGTAGGAGGAATTGTACAAACGGCAGAGATAAAGTTGGAGTGTCCGCTAAGAACGTGACCTTCTTCAAAACCAACTTTCCCTTCACTGGGAATCCACAATCGAGCTGTTCTATCCCGTGACGCTGAAACGATTCCTCCTTCAGGGAAAACAGCGGGGCAAACAGCTCTAACATCCAGTTCATGGCCTCGCAGTACACTACTTAATTTGTAGGACATATCGAAATTCCTTTCCTCACGAATTAAGTTGCTAAAACTTTTGGTGCCAAATACATGACATAAATTTCTGTCATGAAATACACCACTGATCAAGGAAAGGCTACCAAGTTAAAGCAACAGCGCGAACACCGCGCGAGGTCCCGCGTGACTCAACCGCTCCGAACCGTCCACTCGAGAAAAGGGTTCGCGCACGACCTTACCTCCAGGTTATTGCTGTCAATCAGAGCCTGAACTACTGATCGAGGCTAAGAATGAAATATTGCAAAGGAGTTGCACTGATCGGCTCCACAGTACAAAACTGAGAACAAGGATTTATTCACAGTTCATATTCTCTTGAATTAGAACTCCTTGGTGAATCCGTCACCTCGTTCTGGTTTTCCTTTTCGTTCGCAGATCGAGTTCGGGGCTTTACTGAAGTTCGTTTCAAATTTGAATAACGCAACTAGAGCAAAACTTTATGCAAGAAAAAAATTGTTTAACACTAGTGAAAAAATTACTCCGTGACTGGTATAACGCGGTGTTTCGTCTCGGCCACGAGACTCATAATGTCTTTGAGAAGAAAAATCTTAAGGGTAAAATATTCCTTTTATGGCACAAGTCTCAAGTCTTCAAGTCTCACGCAAACATTAGTTTTGTCTACTTAAAATTCCGGGCCCTAAAGAAGACAATTTCGCAATCAGAAATACAAAACGGGTCCATAATCACTGAGAATTATTCTACACTTCAAATTTGTATACTATTTTTCGTCTATTAACTATTGCTACCATTTATGGCGACAAAAGAATGTTAGGTAAACAAAAAAACCGATGTGATCAAATTTAAAAAAACACTGAGCGGCTGGGAGCGCAAAAGGCGGGAAGTGGTTCCTTTGAGCAACGGTGCGGTACATCTATATTCAGTGACGGTTCAAGTTCATGCTTTTATTTTAACAAACAAACAACCCGTCATGAGTATTTCGGTTATACTGATTTACGACAAAAAGAAAAAAAACTGTGAAGAGCTGTTAATCAATATCGTGTTCAACGAACCTGCAGTCCAATGCCTAAGGCTTAACTCGCCCCCAAAATGCTTTCAATTGTCTTTTATACCTTTTTTTAAATCCGTATTTCAAAAATAACGTTTCTTCTGTTAGGGACATGAAACCTTAGCCATAGAACTTATCGATCAGACAGTACATTTTAGGAAGAAAATATCAAATCCGAGCAAGTTGCGACCCTGATACTCAAATATTGACATCTCATCATCACCTGAGATGGGTTTTCGTCCTTGCGTGCGCTTAAGTAAATTAACGCTGCTGACATAAGTGTTGAAAAGATTGCCTTCAACAATTTGCTTGTTTAATACTGATCCTAACTGGCTCATCAGATCAGTTTTCAACCAAAATAGATTCATAATAACTCTCTGCGGCACTTTGTATCGACCGCTTAATATAAGTTATGTAACATATTTTTGAAGACCCGCTCAAACCTTTATTATTCAGTGGTGCATGTCACTTAGTCAAACACAAAGGACTAAATGAATAAATGATCTAAACAAAAGCAGAAGTGGTTCCTTAAACGAAATATCATATATCTTAAATCCAATCAAGCGAGAAAGATTGCCCTGAGAACTCAAACAACACCGCGTCCTTACATGCAAATACCTTTCCCGGCTGGACATCTAACGGTCAAATCTGTCTGTAAATAAATAAAGCAACTAAACTTAGCAATCTAACTCATTTGAGACTTGCTTCTTACAAGGGAAGGTTTGACTCGCACAACGAAACATCTGAAATGAAACGCACTAAGTTACCGTTGACGCTGATAGTAATTTTTAGCTCCTTGTCTATGTACATCGAGCTCTCGTGTGCAAGGTCTTACAAGGTAAACAAAGTTTTCTGAATGTAATCTGTGTTGCAGTCCCTGATTACAATTTTGATGTCATTTTTTGCAATATACTATTTTTTTTCGCAAAATTTTAAGGACATTCACCATCTACTAACTGATGACGAAAGGGAAATGATTTTTGGACATCCATTTGTAGAATATGGTGGGTACCATTGCATGAAAGCAGTTTTAAAGTAATATCTTTTTTTTGTGATATATGTATGTAGTTATTGCAATTGACCGTTGAACCAACTGAAAGAGCCGTAATTCAAAATTCAAAATTTGATCCCGGCTGCCCGTTTAAAATTGTAATTTTCAAAGTGAGAAAAAAATATGATGTTCTTTGCCTTCTAGTGTTTCAATTACTAGGTGACTGATACTTTTTATATAAACCGTAGACTAAATATTTATGCATAATTCACGATAGGTCAGGTAGAATGCTGTCTCAATTATTTTTGGCAGAATCCTAGTCCTCTTCCGGAACCCACCAACATAACGCCAGTTTCCGTTGGAAATTTTTTTGTATAATATGGTATAATATAACACCTTGAAGAAGAAAAATGCAAATTCATTGTGTTCTCCAACACCATCGATCCCTAGCAGAACTAGCATTCATGTTTAATTCAATATTAACAACGACTTAGTCGCTTCATCAACGATGAAGTTCATTTCCAATGTTTGTTTTCTTTTCTGAGGACTTTGCAAGTTTAATTTGATTCAATTCTAGTAAGCTTTAATTGAAAAAGCCCCAGCATTCCGCGTTACATCTGGTGGCAGAAGACGTTACTCGCCCGTGGGTACTCCCAATAGTTTTTGAGTCGTTTTGGTATAGCTACAGGCAAACTGTTTGATCATTTACGTCTTCAATCAGTTACGATTTTCAAAGAAAACATATAAACGGGTTTTTTAATTTAACCGCGAATGACTTTAAGTAAAAGAAATGAAAAAGAGAAATGGTATTTTTTGGTTTGAAACAGAGTCAGGATTTGGAACGGTTGGCGACACATTTTCACAAGAATTCCGATGAACAACCCCCCCTCCCCTGCAGGGAATTTCGAACGCCAAGCCACATGTCGTCCACCAAAACCGTTAACTTCTTGACATTCCGTGACAATTGTTCCGCCTATGAATTCAAATTTAGGTAGTCATGCATTAACTTCATCCAGGGGTCTAATGAGTCGTGTCAGGAGCCCATTAAGTAATGGGCTCCTGGTCGTGTGTCTTAATTGTAGCTGAAACAAAAGTGATTGATTGTTAATTTTTAATGATAGATCGATTTATGCTCAGAAGCGGCAAAAATGGAACATAATTATAAAATGCACAGTACGATGCTATTAATTGCTCTGCTTGGGAAAAAAAAGAAAAAAGGTTGTGCAAAAAGAAAACAAAAAGTTAACCGAAAGCCAATCAGGCTGTAATTCGTTAGTTCTAGACTCTAATAAATTTACGCATCATTCAATTTATTTACTATCACACTTTCGAAAAATCAAGAATTTAATTTCATTCCTAGCTCTTTGCTATTATCGATTTAATGTTTTTGTTACGTAGCGAATCAAGATAGGAAGGCTAGTCAACCCATGCGTGACGTTTTTTACTATTTTCCAAAAATGCCGACGCAAGATAAAAACCAGAAAACTGTTTAGAAAAGCAGTTAAACATCTTGCATTTTTAACTTCACCCACAGTTCCAGAGTTCGACGTCTCCCATCCTGTTCAAGTTGATGAGCGAGGTAGATTTTTATCACGTGACTTGGCAAATGGGAACGCTCGGCGAAAGAGAGACCTTGACGGTACCAAGTCGAAAGAACCCGTCTTCTTTAAGATCTCAGCGTTTGGTCAAGATCTTCACCTGAACGTCACAATTAATGATGAGCTTTTTTCGCCCAATTTTGAGATCGAAATTCGTAATAACGGCACGTCGGAATTTCATTACGAGATTGATCATTGTCATTACACTGGACAGGTGGTTCCCATAGGAGGAACTGGGAACAAAGTGGCCATCAGCAACTGCGAAGGACTGGTACGTAGTGCCGTTCAAACACATTTTTTGGCACCAGAGGCGGTCGCTTTTCAATAGACAAGTGTAGTAATTGACAAAGTCTGTATAAGCCGCAAAAATAATTTCAAAATGGGAGAAATTTATGTTGACATGGAGAACACAACTGACGATAATATACGTTGCATTGATGCGATTCGAGTTTTGCACGAGAACGTTTTCATTCACGGTTATGCAAAGCATAAGAACAAGTTAGATCGGGGTTCGATGAGCAAATTCCGTCGCGTTTGCCCGGCTTCAACAATCCTGGGAGAGATATCGACAGGAAAAAGGCACTTTTCAATTCAAAAACTGGTGATAACCCCTCCTAATCTTGTACCCAGATCCTACCACGTTACTGCTCCACTGTGGAAGGACTGGGTACGAGACTAAACCCTTTCAAATTCCAGGGATGAAATTGTTTTCAACCTAACTTCTAAACGCGCAGTCAGTTAATTTGTTCAATTCTATTCCTTGTACAGCATGGTATGATTCGCACGCCACAAGACGTTTTTATGGTACATCCTCTGCCCGATCGACTTAAACTGGGAAAGAACAACACTCGAGCCCACGTAATCCACAGAAGGTCTTTATCACCCGCGCATGCGCAGTCACTGGCACAGGCTCTCGAGGATGAGAAAAGATCTGATAGCTGGTGTGGAGTGGAAGGTATTAATAGAGACCATGGGTTTCTTTTTTCGCCCTCAGCATTGGCTGCACTTTTTCCTTCCCTTGAAGGGGGCTCTCCCAGTTTCGCGTTTCCCTCGTCTTCCCTCCCACGCAGAATATTTCCCTCGAGGAATACAGGCTATGTATTCCCTCCCATCTTTTACAACAGTTGTATGGTTATCGTTTATTATCATGAAATAATGGGAGGGTACCTACGCGGCTGTCGTGTCGAAATCCATTCTGTGTTCTATTAAAAAGTGACATCTTGTGAGATGAGCATTAAGTGAGATATGCCCGACAAATTCTTCGGATTCATGCTTTTTCGCTAACTGGGTTATAAGTGAATTACGGTGAGTCGAACAGTCAAGAAAAAAAATCATCTCAGAAAGGAAACGTCTCGGTTACCCAACCCCCAGCCCCTCAGCAACGCATCGGTATCAAACTAGCAAACACTTTTTGATAACCTGATTTTCTAGGCGGAGCAGCTGTTCAGCAGTCTGACGAAGATGATGACACCCATACTAACTCCGAACGCTCTTTTCAACCGAGTGTAAAAAGAACCATCGAGTCCATGCTAGTGGTAGAGAAAGTGATGACAAGATTTTACGGTGTTCCTCAAATAAAGAAATATGTGCCCACCATGGCAAATATGGTATGTTGCAAAAAAAAAAAAAGGCCATTCGAGTTGTTCTACGTAATCATACCTGTTTTCGTGGAAAGTCCAATTGTCGTGAGGAATTGTTCCTTCGAAATTTCCTTTTTTCTCTACGGAGGTAAGTTTGAAGTACAAATACAGAGACTTGTTTCCGCTACATTGCGAATCACTCGGTTCGATCGACTCCGCCCTCTTCTCTTTTATCACAGCACCACAGGCTACCCAGTCTTTTTTTGTGTGTTTGTTCGTTCCCAGCTTAGCGCCCTTCACGCATAACTGGTGCACCCAGTGAACAAAGACCTCTCAAACCTTCGTTTAAACGAACCCTCAGTTCCATTTTCACCTGTTAGAGAGAACTTGCCACTACATACAAAACAATAATAAACACTAACAACATTCATATTTTAGGCTCACGGTCTCTTAGACGACGCTTCCATTGGGGCTAACGTCAAATATGTGGTAACCAAACTGTTGATTCTGCAAAATGACGAGGTAAGTTTTAGATTTCACAGTCGTTGTGGTTAACTTCTGCCAGACTTCACGAGTGACTTTACTCTGATTCTTCTTATCCTGGTGTCATCGACTTTCATGACAGATAAGCGTTTAAAAATGTTTCCTCGCTAGTGTAACCGTTCCGTGCGGGGACGCAAGACGTTAACTTAATTTTCTAAGGAAAAAAACCCTTTACTCTCATGAGTAAGCTGCTACCCGAGAGAAGATAACAGAGGGAAAATTGAACCAACTATGGTTTGTGCCGTTTTCAGTGAATTTTCAATTAATATTTGTTCTTTCCTCCTTCGCTTCTGCTATCAAGAGAGGTTTGGTTATTAGCACACATGCCGCCAGTACTCTGGATAGTTTCTGTAAATGGACAACAGGACAAAATAACGCTGACGACAAAAGTCCGGACCATTTTGACCATGCAGCACTGTTTTCGAAGTAAGAAAAGTCCCACTATAACAATAATATCGTCCAAGGTGTACTCTGATAAATTCAAATGGGAAAAATTTCAAGATAATTGCATATAAAGCTACGTTATTTTGAAGGCGGTAGAACTACGAAAACTGACTACATTATTACAGCGTTTGCCGGCATAGATTTATAAGTCGGTCTTGACCCTTGATTCAAAACTTGAAACTGAGCAAGTTTAAGAGCAGATGAAACCAAACACCAGAGAAAACCCATTTCTTTAAACTAACAATACCTTACACCCTCCAAGTGCGACAAACTGGTAATGATGCAAAGTATTTTGCAGGTACAATTTTTGCAGAAACAAAGGAAATGTACAAGACCAGGGTTGCGGAACGATTTTAGGTAACTCAATCCATATCTTAACTCTTTAACTCCCAGAAGTGATAAACATGTAACTTCTTTCAGCAATATCCTTACATTATCCAACAAACAGGTAATAAGAATATTTAAACTTATCAGGTAGTAGTTGTTATCTTGATCTAACATCAAATTCTCAAAACTAATTTAAATGGAAATGTGTAACAGCAAACGAGGAAAATTAACAATCAGATCTTGGAAGTGAAAGGGTCAATCAAAATTCTGTGCAAAAGAGAGGAGTTAACAGACTTTTCTGTTCAATTTTTTAATGGCTAAGAATCTTGAAACATTTACATATGTTATTCTCTTTAAGGTTTGGCGCAATTGAAGGGAATGTGTAGACCAGACGTCAGCTGTACTCTAAACAAGGACACAGGACTAGGAACTGCGTTTACATTGGCTCATGAAACAGCTCACAAGTAAGTCAATTAACATTATATTGCTTTAAGCACGCGATAACCGCGATATGGATTACTTGTTGACGCATGCGCACTTCAAAAGTCACTCCTCTGAAAATCAACAAATATTCTTTAATATTTTTGCTTTTGTTGAGCATTATTTATTTGCCTTTTATCCTATAAGAGGTCAATTTTTCAAAAAGTCGTGGAATCCCACAATAAGGGAAAACAGCACCTTGCATTGACCTTAATTGACCTATCATAGCGATTTTATCCACTGATAATCAGATAATTCAAATGTACCTTAACCATTCCTCTTCTTTTGCTGAGAGTTGGTCCATATTCATCAACAAACAAAAAAATCGATACCATACTCGCTCAAGAGAAAACGATGCGCGATGAAAATGCTTATTCAATTGCAATAAATAACCAAAGAGCGCAGCCCTGATCAGTTGTGTGTTCCTGTTTTTCCTTTGTCAGTCTCGGCTCTGAACACGACGGAGAGGGGAACAAATGCAACGATGGCGTCTACATTATGGCGACTAGGGCAAGTGGAAAAGTGACAGCGTTTGATTGGTCGCCGTGCAGTAGGAATTACGTGACAAAATTTTTACAGTAAGAGGGGTTCAATTTATATTCAACTCTACCATGTCTACGGTTTGCAATGGCTGTTCTCTACGTGAAGTGTGCACGACATAATATAATCTCGATGTCGGAGGTATCCCCAGCATCATATCACCGTCAGCGAAAAAAAGAAAATGGGAAAAGAAAACTAGCAATGCTTTCAAGCTGACTAAGACAAAGCCACGTAGTGGTTCGTAAGCCTCTATCGTTTTGGTAACTTATGAACGTGTGAACCACAGGATAACCATTGTCATGATTCCGAGGCACGAATCTGTGAAAATTCCTCTGTGATAAAATCATTCAGAGTTTTACGGCTCCGTAATAGGCAGGTTAATTAGCTATGGCTATTTCCTCTAATTATATTCTTTTTCTGTCCCTGTTTACTGAAATGTTGCAAATGGCGAATAATTTGTTTCTTTTTTTAAGAACGCAGCAAGCTAAATGTTTGAACGATGACGAACCCAAGAGCAAATTTGTTATGCCACAAGGCTTACCAGGAAAGATTTACGACGGAGATGCTCAGTGTGTGCGCATGTTCGGAGCAGGTGCCAAAGTCTGCGATATTCCGGATTTAAAAGCGGTAACTATAAAATTTGCGTTAAACAGTCTCTTTCTCGTTTTAAACAGAATATTTTCTTAAATTACTTCAATAATAGTCAGTGAGGGATATTGAAGCTTCGAATTGATAGGTGCAGTTTTCGAGCTGAAGTTTAAAGCTAAGTCCCTCGTTTGAAACGCTGCCAAACAATGAATTTTCGTATTTTTATTCGACTTTCAATTTGGCCAGGAGAAAACCTGCTCTTGCTTTGCCGAGTCGAACTTTTCTTTGATACTTGGTTGTAAATTTTGAATTGGTTGGGAATGGCAGAGAGTACTTGTATATGTTACAAGAACCGAAATTATTAGATATGACATCGATGGATTACCGCTAAATACCGCTAATAAACACTAGTTTTGTGTAACTTACAACTTAAATCTTTGTATCCTTCTATAGAAAATGTGCGTCAATTTACACTGCGAAAAGCCTGATGGGTACTGCTCGTCAAACGATGAACCAGCCGCTGATGGAACCAAATGCGGAAATAAAAAGGTTACATATAACAAACACAAAAGCTTATCTTGAATTAATCTGAATTAGTAGAATCATAAAAAGCTTATCTTGATTTATTCTGATGATCTTTTTCTGTCTCTTTATCTTTCTCTCTCCCGTATTTTCTTTTTTGTTGTGATTGATTCCTCAGTGGTGCATGCATGGTCGCTGTGTATCTATAAAAAACAAGCCGGGATACCAAGACGTGGATGGCAATTGGGGAGCCTGGAAACCATGGAGTAACTGCTATCCCCAATGTGGCCAAGGTCTTAGCACGAGGGAGCGTGCTTGCGACAATCCAGCGTGAGTAACATGAAGTCACCTTAGCCTTATTTGAGAAAAGATTGCTATTATCATCAAAGATTGTTACAACCTGATTTAGTTTAAACTGTTTATTCGTGATTGTAAACAACCCCTGCTCGACCAGTGCAGAGTTGAAGAAGAAGCTTCGGCAGCTTAACTATGATTTCCTTTAATTGTGCGATCAAAATAATCATATGATAGCTTCACAGATAATATGAACCTTCTAATCTGTCCCAGATTTCTGTTTAAAAGTGAGAATTTTCACTAACTTTTTGGATAAACCTTAACCTTGATGGAGCGAAAATCTCCTCGGTCCTCTGTTACTTCCTCATCAACAATAAGAAGGGTAATAAAATTACCTTAATTTCTATTTTTGAAAGAAGCATCTGGTTATGAAACATAGTAAATGGGTACTGTGGAAAAGTAACCACTGAACGGTAAGACAGCCTTCACAAGGTAAAGTTAAAATGACAAATTAATTATTTTCAGGCCGAAGCGCGGAGGGAAACTATGCCAAGGAAAAGCTAAGGAATACAAGATTTGTAACAACCCGGTAATTACTTTTGAAAATTTTTGTCTGAACTTTTTTCACTCGCGTGCATTTCATCATAGGTATTTTGTCTTGTATATGTAGTTTTTGAAGTCATGATTGCAGTTTATTATTCCACTAATATGTCGTTTTACCAAATAAGATGGATGAAAACGCGTATAATATACCACAATATTACACTGGAGAACAGGAGAAAAACACGGAGCAACAAAATGGCTGCACTGAACGATCCGAACTTTGATTGAGGCTGATTTTTTTCATTGATGATTACGAGAACATTTTAATGCTTTCTTTCCTATTGTTTTCGCCTTTCGCGTACGATACACAGATAAGGCCAAAGGTTGCCATCGCAAATTAAAATCAAAATACTAAAAGTAAAATAACAAATCCTTTACTCGAAGATTTAGCAAATAATTTGAGAGGACATTTTGCTCGTTGCTCGTATTTTTCCATGTCCCATCGGGGCGAGGACTATCCGTGCGTATTATATGTTAAACCAGGGAATAAGGTGTATATATTAAATGTCCTAAAACAGATAACAACAGATTACTGTTGGGCAGACAAAAAGCCTGTACATACAATCCTCCTGAAAAAAAAATGGAGTCTTTGTCCCGCTCAATATCTCAACGCTATATTGAGGAAGTAATTTTAATTAGTAGATGGTACGATTTTTTTCATTTTTAGAAATGTCCATCAAGCTTCGAAAATCCAAGGATGAAACAGTGTAAGGATCACAGACATGTACAGTTTCAAGGAGGCCCTTTTAACTGGATCTACGATCCATACTATGCACAAGGTTGGTCATTCAGAGTCGTCACCAGATTCACACTTACTTTGATACCAGTCACAGATGATGCACACACCTCTGCATATTTTGGTTAAGGACATTTGAAATCAATTTCTACTGAATCCACAGCGAAAGATGAGCTTCAGTTTCACAGTGAGGGAAATGAACAAGAATTACACAAAGAAACATAATTTATTGAGACAACAGAAACAGAAAAGTAGAATGTAACATTAAGTATAAAAATGTGCAACCCACACAATGTTCGTGGTATTAACCCTTACTGCGAGGCAAGGAATCAAGCCACTCTGATAGATTAATACTATCTTGTTATTGTTTCGAAGTTGTCAAAAAATTAGAGTTATTGTATGGATATTTTAAATGTGCGAAATATTGCAATTTAACCTGCCACTTACTAAATAAAGTGTAGATTAAAGCTAACAAAAATTAGCGCCTCTTGGACCAGCGCGTGATGGTTTTCACGAAGTATCAATTTCCTAAAAAAAAATAGGTATATTTAGAATGGCTTTCCGTTTTCTGTTTAATCAGGAAGTCCTAAGTGCGTTCTAAGTTGTGCCACAACTAACGGAGATACCACATCCTTTGGAAACGTCAAGGATGGAACACCTTGCACTGACCAGCCTAACAGTGGTGTCTGTATCAATGGAAAATGCCAGGTAAGGAAAGAGGCTTGAGAAGATCATGCACTCAAGGAATGAATTAGAGAAAAAAGGCGCCTTTCCTTTAGCCCGATCACTGAACAGATGAAATGTGTGCGCTTTGGCTGTCAAGTTATACTGTAATTAGCACGGCGAGAGTGCATTTTGAAAGACTGTTGTCAGTATTATCCCTTCATATTGCATAAACGGAAATTAATATAGAATGGGCATTACATCTGACGGAAACCTTGCGAAAAAGAGTCTGCATAGTTTTCGTAAGATTGAATGCATATACACCGGTACGCGTAACTACGAAATATTTTAGCCATTGTTTAGAGCAAAACCATCATCTAAACCACCTTCAATTCAACGAAACGTTTTAACTTATAGTTTAACTTTAAACTTGAAGTTAAGTTTGTTACCCGTGTGAAGAAGGCTTATCGCTTACCATGAAAAATTAGAAAACGATCATTTTACTTCAAGAGGTCAATTTATTACGAATAATCTTCCCGCCCATTGATTATTCCAAACCGTAGCCTAAGCTGGAATGCTGATTATTAAAAAACTGGGCTTAAGATCTATTTACAATGCGTATCTCGCTTTGAAAATTTTCTCTCAAGAAACCAAAGCCCAACAAAAGTAAGCCCAACAAAAGTAAGCCCAACAAAAGTAAGCCCAATCCCAGCGGTGCTGCGAAGAAGACAACTTTTACATACAGCAAAGTTCCACCAGCAGGTAAGTTCTGAACAGTAGAAAACAGAACTATAGAAAACGGTGACTAAGGTCTCTGTATTCTCTCTCTAGTTAAACATATTATGTCATATTTCGGATACTTAAAAATAGAAAGATAAAAAGTCCTTATTCCATACTTTAACACTAGAGTTCCTTGTTCCAGTCACTGCGCGAAAGGGAGTCGGGGGTGGTGAAAGACCGGAGCATATAGTTACTTTGGCGCTTGACAATTGAGTGATCAATCTTTCACAAATCACTGTGAGATAAGAGGGGGGTTGGTATCATGCAACCGTGTTTTATTTAGTTTCATTTCAGGGCTTTCCTTAATTGAAATATTGACATTTTGTGTTGATAAATACTAAGGCTTACCACTATTCATAAAGAAGAGTAATTGAAAATCAGCACTAACCACCGAAAAACTCAGGCGTTTCATTATTTTTAGTAATGATATAAAACACTGAACTCTGGAGAAGTGAGAGGGGAGGAGGGAGGGGGTAGTCTTGCACTACTGCTACACATTTCATCTGCTTAATCCTTTGGCATTTAACAAATCCGCACAAGCACTTGCAATTGCGTCTAAAAGATTTCCTTAACATCTATATCATAACCCTCTCAGAATTATTGATTGCTCTTGCGTTTCAGATGAATGGTATGTCCCCATCGCAACAATTCCAGCTGGAGCAAGGAATGTCAAAATCGAAGAGGCGACAGCTTCTGAAAACAACTTAGGTAAGTATGGCAAAAGAATTAAACAGAATATTATTCATTTTACCTTCCTTAGCGTGACAGTGAGCATGAGAAAAAACACTTACGTTCTTTTGACCTCAACGAATCTCAAAACTTATCTGGCATTTTGGCTTTTGAAGTTACGACATGATGTGTGTGACACAATTTTGAATTCTGATTGGTCCCTTGCGATTTCTTTTATAGTCGAGTAATCGCAAAATCACGTGACAATGGGTCTACGCCTATTTCTCCATTCATAACTTCATGTAATTTCTAAAGGATCCCATTGTGCCATCTGCCAGCGTGTCACATACAGACGTACTCACTTGGCTCGAACTTAATACACTACTACTTCTTGTTAGGCGTTTCGAATGTACGTCTCAAAACTTTACTCTGAACGTCTTCGAGAGTTTGAATGAACATTCTTACCAAAACAATTTTTCAGTGATTTCACCTTGTATTTTACAATTCATGGGTAAAGCTGCATCAGTTAAGTTACCTGCCACTTCTTTGTCTTAAGCAAATCGGAGCGGTCGAAAATTATGGTAAAACAAATTATGTAAGTGTCGGGCTCAAAATAATCTCCAAAAGACATGAATGGAAACTACTTGCTGAATTATACAACGTTGCACCGCTTCAGTTTTAGAGGACGCTGACTACAACCCTGTTCTTGATTACGACTCGTTCCTTGCTGATTTTGGTCCAAAGACATTCACAGCGGATGGAAATAAGTTTAAGTTCCGGAAAAGAAATCAAAAAGAACTCGTCGAGGCTAAAGGCCCACTGACAAAGAGCTTTGCATTACTGGTAAGTAAAAATTGTTTAAAACAAATGTGCTGAATGTGAGTAGGTAATTCAGTATTGCTGGCATAACGGGAACAGCTGTTTCTTTTGAGAGTTTTTTTACGAAATGGCATTTCAATGTACTTTCGAATTTTCTTGACCATTAGCAAGTGGAAGTTATTGATTTGCAAGGAGGAGATTTATAGACTTTACTGAAATTAGCTGAGAACAGGTCGTCATCACGGGCTATGAACTGATAACGTTGATAACGTAAATGATCAATTCAAAACAAACTTCGTCAATCTATTGATTTGATAGTTAAGTAATTGATTTATCATAATTTTATAACTTTTTGCTCATTATAATCCTGAAAGAGAAGAACACGCAATTAGCAAAGTAATTGGGACAAGAACTTTCGGCGTTAAATTTTAAAACTGTGGTGACTGAAAACACTCTTGTTAAATTTGAGGGTTGTGTGAATGTTCCTGTGCTTTATTCCATTAATTTAAGCTTTGATTTATTTTTCCAGTATGAGAAAGTGGACGAATATTCGAAATATACGGTGAAATACGAATACATTAAACCTGATGCCCAGTCCACAAGGAGTCTCGGCCTCGATAGCGATTTTCCTGAACTCGTCCGGGAGATTTACGAGTTAGATGAGGAGCTTGGGCAGGACGACGAGGGCTCAGGTGAAGCGAGGTGAGGCTGAAGGTGTTTATGCACATGCGTTGATGTTCTATTTGCATTTCATATTTTAAGTACCCTGACAGGTTTGTATTGGTCTGGAAAATGGCTTTTAACCTCGCTAAACATCTGATTAGCATTCATCGGCTTTCTACTATAAACTTGTGAGAAAACGAGATGTACCAAAACTTTGGCAAAGTGAATGTTTTTCAGTTTATTATTTTTCCGCTGGTATATGCATTCTAAGCAGTCGATGATCACTAAATATTTTCCTGGAATCACCCCAAGCTAGTCGATTATGATACTGAAGCACTAATTATAATATTCATGACATCCGCGCGAGTTTTCGATCGTTCTAAAAATGCAGTTGCTCTTGTAGGTTACCTGACTAATTATACTAAACGAGATTAAATTCAGATCTCTTCAGCAAAGGTTGTACAATGATCTCTCAAACTTCGTCTCAAGAATTATTCGACGAAATTCACTGTGATATATATATAGAGGTGAAAATTTTTTTTGGCAAATGAAGCGTTGGGCGGTTGAAAAGAAAATCCATGTGACAGTTTCTTGTTTTGAACTGGAATTTAGTAAACATCAGTTATTGAATCTGATTAATGCTCCGGACGTTCTACCACTGAGCTTGTGGCAGTTAAGACTATGATACCCTCAAAATGGTGATCAATTAAGAGACAAATCCACTTTAATTATTTTAACCTTCTAATGGTTTCATTTTCCATCTAGGTGGGAGATAGGAATATGGACTGATTGTACAAAGAACTGCAATGACGGCGAGCACGGAATGAGAACACGAGAAGTTTTCTGTGTGATAGATTCACAAGGTGTTGAGCTGGAAGTTGACGATAGCAATTGTAATGAAACTAAACCAGCCAGCGAAGAAGCTTGTGGAAATCAGCCGTGCCCGGCAGAGTGGTACACAGTGCATATTGGACAGGTAAACCGCCGTCAGTTGATCTTCTCGGTAGTTAGAAACCATGATTCATTTTGATTTTATTATAAAGGTTTCGTTTGTTCAGGAGAGCTATTCAAAGCATCCTACTGAACCAATCAAAGTGATGGCTTTCAGTCTTTCCTTCGCATACAATACAAACGAAGCCTGATCCCAATTTTAGCTTCCCAGTTTCTTTTAACTGACATCGTTGACTAATTTTCACACGCTCGTAACAAATTTCATTGAAATTCTCGCACTGACAGGTCATATTCCCTTGAGCTCTGCACGGATGCCTTCTCAGCTGTCCATCTCTTTCTCGCCAGCCGCCCTATTTTCCGCGTTAATGTTTACTTGTGATGTTTTTTTCTGGGGCTTTTATTTTGCCAATTTTTTCTATTCCCTTTACATTAGCCATATCTTGTCTGCATTCATCACTAACCGCTTTCCTTTGCACTTTTGAAAATAGTTGTATCCGCATGTTACTGAAACGTTTCGTATTTCGTCTCTGGTACTTCTTACCAGAACAACACCCCTAACGCTAATTCAAAGCTGCAGGACCTCCTCCCTTTTCTTGCAGCACATTCAAAAGAAAGTTGTATCAGTCCGTTTATTAGTTGCTTTTACGGTGTTCCTGTAGTGCTCAACCTCGTGTGGCCCTGGTGTCCAACCCTTGGAGGTGGAATGTGTGAAAATAAACTCTTCAGGTGAAACAAACTCTGTGGATCCAAAGGAGTGCACTGACATTAAACCACCTACACATGTGGCGTGTAATGTTGAGAATCCTTGTGATGGTCAGTCGGATGACGAGGAATAAGTCAGGTAATATTCATCGTAAAAGTCACTGTTACAAGATCATTAACATGAGCTATTACGTTGGAGCTGATTTACAGCGGATGACACAAATTGCATACGAAACAAATGCAATGCTGTTACTAATTTTATATTTGTGACGTATGAATTTTCTTTTTCTTCTCAGAAGCAGACGATAGGACGATGGATCGAAGAAGATTAATGTAAATAATGAAACCTCCTGTGTTAGAATTACCCTGATTTATTGAACTACATAACGAAGTTTTGATATTTTCGTAGAATATTGGATTAGTTTATTAGAACAACACAAGTATAGGAGAAAGGAACATTTATTGTTAGCAGAGGTGGACCTCTAAGGATGATCATGATCATTGTTAGCATTCGTACGGCTGATTCTGCTAAAGCTTTCGTTGCATGATGCTTAAGATTTTTTCTTTTTTTTTTCACGCATGTGCAATGCCACCTATTTTCACGTGGTTCTTTTGATTTCTCTGGCTTCTGCAACTTGGATTGTGATTGGCTATCAAGTTAACAAGTATTTTTTGTCGCGTCTAGTAAACTTCACGTAATCTGTATTCTGTCGCCCATTGGTCTTGACGTCTGGAGGAAATTTCGTGTTTCTGATGTGGCAAATTGGAAAAAATGAAGGAACATGAGGTTCCACAAGTTTTTATCAATTAAAAGCAAATCTTAGATGTTGATAATTGAATCTGGAGTATTTCCGTATAGAGTTTCTGGTAGATTCTAGGCTAATCGATTGATGAATTCATAGATGGTTATCCTGGGAAACAGTTTAATTTGTTGATAGAAATCCTCTGACAAGTGATTGAATTCAATAGAATTTAACGTTTAGAAGTATTTATTGATTTTCTTTGTTGCCAGTAATAACAACTTAGTCATTTGTACAATGTAAATAGCAAAGAGTTTGTAGAAGGCTATCCCTCAAAATTGACTCACTTTAAAGGTGACTCCTTCGGTGATTGCTGTATTTAGCAGTACCTTTTCAATAAAATTTCCGCCTTTTTCAGTCGCTAAATGTGTGAGTTTATCGTTGTCATTTGAAACTAAAACAGTTCTATCCTTAAGCCCAATGGTGATTTAAAGAGGTTAAATATTATTCATATGAAATGGGGAAAGGACAAAGGATTGATGCGGCAAATTAGACAGTACAACAAATGGAGCACAAGATGATCTTCTTCTCACTATTAAAAATGAAAAAAGAGCCGCAAGAACTTCAACATTGTCTATGAGTTTACATTCTAGACTTGTTTGTTGAGGCAGTTTTTCTTTCAATCGGGTTCTCCCCTTATAAAAAGACGTTGTTTACCAAGAAACGAGACTGGGAAACCGTTTTCAGAGTCGTATTTTAGTACGTCTCGACCCGAAAGTAAAGGAAATTAGCGAGCCACGTTTCTTCACGGAACAGATAACCTTTTAATATGGGTAACGGGAATCGATTTTACTATTAAGCCAGTCAGATCTGTTAAATTATATCTAAATTATCGGGTCTCATTCATCGAATTAAGACAAATAAATAATATTGAAACCTGAAGTTAAATGCCCTATAAGTCTTTCAAATAGTTGTAACTTATTTCCAACGATAGAACAGCTATAAGAGTTTTTTTTCTCTAGATACTCCTTATTTTATATTTTAAATTAAATATGTTAAAAAATGTTCGTGATTCCGTGACAAAGAGTGATTAGGGTTTTATTTTTCGTTAATGGAAGTATCTTTTGTACTTCCTTTGTCGCAGTAGGTGACGCTTAGCTTCAGGCAATGTATTTGAACGTGATGTATCACCCTAGAATCTCCCGTGAAAATCGCGTCGGTGAGAAATGTGTGGAACTTTCGGGCATGTAGAGATAAGCGCAACTTGAAAGTAGTTTACTGAGAACATTTGAGGAAGTTTTAAGGCCGATTGAAACGTAACAAATGTGGCTTATAATCATCCGGAATGAACTATACTTTGGTCTAGTTTCATCATTGATCGTAGCCACAGCTTGATGTCAGTATTTAAACACTTTGGTGTTTTGAAAAATCCTGTAAAGTTATCGGGGATGTGACTCATTTGACATGATTCTTGTTGTCTTCGTATCGTAAGCGTTGATCAAAAGCAGCTAAACTCTACAGGACTCGGAATCAAATTGAATTCGACAGCTTGGATTAAACGAAACAATGCACAAGCTACAATGCTCCAAATGGAAAGAATACATTAATGAGGAAAAGAAAGAAAAGAAAAAACCCATACAGTAATTAAATGACAATCTTACTGTAGGTGAACAAAGGTCTTTCGCTCACGAAAATATATATAAATCATCATGGAACCAAGTCAAGTTAAAATCATGGTTTTGCTTTCATGAATAATTTCCTGAGTGATCGAATTCACTCTTGTATTTCAAAACGTAATCAAAATTTTAAGACTTCGCAGACCTCACCGGTGTGGGTAATCTCTATTCTTAGCCTCTAACATGTATTTTTGGCTGTTATTTGAATTTTCGCCCACGCGAAAGAAACTGTGAACTATTTTTGTCTCAGAGTCCAAATGCAATCGTGGGGTGACTAAAACGCTTAGACGTGCGGCCAAGTTAAGCATGTACTCTCATAAGCTTGTAATCAAAAGGTGTAGGCCGGAACATGATATGTCATTGAGAAAGCTTTGCATTCAAAGGTCGACGCCAGGGATATATTGAATTATGATAGCCTATTCGACTTTTATCGCATAAGTTTGGAAAGGCTACATATAATCGAACTTTATGTAGAAATTGACTTATATGCTGTAAATTGTAACTTATATGTCACTGCATATGAATCTATGGCCTAGTATATTCCGCATTTTGTGGGTAATTCCCGGAGTAGAAACACAAACATTTAGTTATTTGAATTCACTTTCGCCTCTTCACTCAAAGAGTGCCATATCACTTCCTCAACGGCGAATGTACTATCGATAAAATTAAGAAAGAATGATATTGTTCGTTTGTCACTGGCGTGGTGAAGAGAAACGATCTGATTCCCTCCGTATATCTGGACCTTGATTTTCTTTAAAACCAGGTTAGAGGCGAAAGAAAATCATGAGCAAATTCAAAATCTTCTCTTTTCATTTCTTCATCCAGGGGCAAAGTTATTCTCAAAATTTTGATTGACACCACACGGAAGAACGGCAAAAATTGAAGAAGGTGGATTCTCTGAATGCTGAAAGCTACCTCTGGTGTCCTTCATTGATAAATGTCATAGTTTTTATCAAATTCAGTCAATTTATATTTCACACAATAAATTGGTCATTCCGAATTTATAATTCAACGAATCCTACCGAATTTCCTAATACTGTCCTTCATGCTTACTTTCGAGTTAATTTCACTTAAAATCAGCTGATATTATGTGTCCTCGATAAAGAGATTTATTCGGAAAAATTAGAGATTTTTCCAGAGATCTTCTGATATTAAGTTCAGCCCACTTTGAGTGCCTCAGGCGCCGGAAAGACCGTAAACGTAATTAATCGACGGAACGGTGGTTACGAGACCTCAGATGTTTACTTACTGCTGCCTTTATTGAAAATAATGGAAAATTGTCGTGTTGTGTCCCTTTTTAATCGGAATACACCACACAGCAAATAACAATTAAATAGTTGATTACTTTCAATGCCATTGAGAAATTCCGCCTAGGATTCATTCAGACCTTTAGCAGAACAGACTATGCTTTTCAAAACATAAACTTAAATGAAAAGCCAAGTTCGGCCAAGAAGGGCGTTCACTTTTGTGGGCGTAACCTGCAGCAATCCGGAAAGAAAAATCCTGAGTGTATGGCGGCTGTATATTTTTTTAAAGAAAAATTGTATTCTGCAGTTTCCGCGAGAAAGTTTTAAATGTTGCATGAAAAGAAAGACTTTTTCTTTTAAATTTAATATGAAGTGAATCCAAAACAATTACTACAATAAATTCACAACGGTTTTTTTTTCTTTTTCTTTTTTCTTACAGGTCCAAAGATCCCGTACCATTCAAATTTTGTTGGAAAATAAGACTTCCTTTTCCATACAGATGTTTATCTGATTAGCTCCTTTTTTTCCATAAATATCTCTCTTTCAATTCCTTTTGCCATGTCTTGTATCAGAACGATAATTAATAACAGACAAGAAATATAAATAGAGTAAACAAGAATCAGAAGCTTTCATGCATTCGTTCTCCCTCTGCGGTGAAAAAAAAACACACATAACTTATGCCCTAGCTACCTTCATAATCGAGCGTACTTCATTTTTTTCCTCCACAGAAATTATGTTACTTATAACCAAAATCTGATCTTCGTCAATCGCGAAAGGAATGAGTAAGTTTATCTGTGACTTCCTCGGTAAAATACGGTGAAGCGAAACCCTTGCTAGCGTTGGGAACATTTCGAAAACATGGAAGTTGCAATTAAGAATTGGTGAGTCAACCTGTTGAAGTAAAATTACTACAGTCAACACGCCAATTTTGCCATTTTAAGGTCAAATTATTGCTGAGATGGCTTGGTGTACTGCGGTTAACCCGAATTTTTCGAAGAAACAGCGGGAATTCTTTTAACTTTTATTTTTAGCCATTATACCATTTACTGTCCTACAGATGTGAGAGCATAATAATTTGAACTATTAGGGACGTTCTGTTGGGTATTCTTACTACAGGAAATAAGACAATTTTAAATATTTTTTTGAAGCAAGCGAGGTGGAAAAGATGTTATCAACATTAGAAAGTGTCATATCGAAAAGAACTCCCTGACACCCTCAGAAGCTTTAAAAGGAGGCAGGTTGTGCCTTCTAATTGTGTTTCTTTGTTTATTTAGGTCTTTAATGGGCAGAAGTTTGGAGAGGAACCGACTGAGACAAAATCATTGAGGAGCTGCCAGCAATATTCCATCAATATCGAATAAAAACATCAAAACAACAGCGAAATTTTTGCTCATTTGAAAGTATAATTATCTCAGGAAATACACACATACTCACTGAGGTGCACCTCAATACGACTTCATTTAGTCAAGGGTTGTCGGCTGGCAAGTAACTTGTGGCTTTCATGGGAAGATGATCTTGTATTCTCTTACACCGTTTTTCGTTTTAATTTTTATTCCGCGGGCTACAGCAAATCCTTACAAGGTAGGAGAGGTTAAATGTGAGAAACAAAACAATTTCAAATATGAATTAATTTAATTTTCACTCGGATTCAATGCGTAAAACTGTGCTTATATGTTACTGCTTTGTTTCGAATCGAGAATGTGCACACTTTGTTGACACCAGACGAAAGGGAGAAGATATTCGGGGAACCTTTTCCACAAAGTGGTGAGTACTGTGAAATGTTCTTTTGAGCTCAGCTCAGGTTTCTTTTTGTCTTGTATCCAATTTTTGAACAGGGAGGAGTGGCAATATATCATTCAGATTTGTAATTGTAACGATCGTAGTTAATCTAGGAAGCCAACTCATCATACAAATTCTCACACACAAGATAAAAATTAATTCAGTTATTCGTGTTGCATTGTAAAAAGCTTTAAGAATTCAATTTAAATCTTGCGACAAAAAAGGAGTTATTTTTTAGGTTATATCAAGATATAAATCACATCAAGTTACATCTGGCAATTTTATCAACTTAGCTACTCAGTTTCCTCGGATCTTTTCTCTTCCGCCACCAGATGTACAAATGGCGATAAACCTTTTTATTTCAAAAACATATGATTGAATTCTATTCTTTTTGTTCATGTTTTGAACTGTCGCGAAGCTAAGAACAAAGGTTTTGTTTTGAAAAAGACAGGAAGGGAAATGTATCAGTGTGCAAAACCGTTACAACCACGTGTGAGATCATGTGTTTGATCAGAAAGCCTCTTTTATTTGGCAGAGCTGTTGCGATCTTATGAATTTTTTCCTCACACAGCCGATACCAGTAAAACATTTACAACTGAAATGTTTCAATTTTGTGACTTTTAAGCGCAAATTGCCATAATCTAATGGTATCAGTAGATGTAAAGCTAATTTCAAGGATTATTGAATAGGAGTATTTTATCAAAGGTTTCAAAGACTGGAAAGATTACGGCTTAATTAGAACCCTTTGTTTGGAGCTCAAAAAAGCTATGGATCTTCGTGTCTGATTCCTGCCGACACGATCTGAGAAAAAGATATAGGCAAGAATTATTTAGATTAACTTGGCTGGAAGACATATGTTAAAAGTGGTTTCGAATAATCTGACCACAATCTAAGCTGAGGAAAATTAAAACTGATTTAAGTCGCACGTTTTTTGGCAGGAACTCTTTCTATTTCCTCTGAAATGCTGGCTATCGCATTTCTTAATCAATTCAGTCCGATAAAAGCTTTAATCAAATGAAATTTGAAATTTTATGTGATTACTGACAGAGTTAGGAATTCTAAGTCGTTCCTCTTAGTTGATGAAACAGTTAAAAAATACGAGTAGGTCCAAGTATAATTTCGGTATCGAAGAGGGAATACTTCTGACGAATTGATCAGATCGAATCATTCGACACATGCAAGTCGAAAATTCTTAAAATGCTATTTAATCGAATAGTGCAATTATATTATTGAGAAAAATTATTGACTTGAAATTACTCTGCAAAATTACTGCGGTCACAGGTCTGTCATTTTTATTTCATCGGATTACTTATTTTTGAAAAAGAGTCTCCAAATACTTCAAGTCGACATAATACCACTTTCTGGTTTTACTACGCAATAAATTTCTGCATAATTGCCACTTAAATCTCCCAGTACGTACTGATCATAGAATGGATATTTCAATGGTAAAAGCATTGTCGGGGATTTGGTTTTCAATCGCGCGGGCCGCATAAAGACTCGCCAATCAATAAGTGAGTCCTATGCAGGTAGATAAATATCTGCTGGCGACATATTGTCCTCCGATCATGTCTGTTATCTTAAACAAAGAACGATCGAGCCATGACTAATGTGATCTTTTCCGGTTAAGACTGTCTATATCTACAATGTATCTACATATTGAGATTGAAACACATTAGTTCTTGGAAAATGTTCTACGAAATTATAACTGAACTTTAAAACATAAGCAAACAATCGATTTTTTTAAAAATATGTACCTCATATCTCCGTTCAGAATCAGCTACACTTTTACCTTTTATCTCTATTCACACTTCAAAACGCTATCTTACAATGCTCTAAGTACTAATGGTTGCATTACTCCATTTAGCCGCAACAAGAGTCATCAATTCTGCATAAATGCGTGCGGTATAAAATTAGGGCTAATTAAAACTGTAAAAATCCAGTGAAGTATCATTAACGGCTCAGACTAAAATAAAGAAACTGTTAAGTTCAGAAGATTATTCAACCATGATTAAAGCATAATGAGAGGGAACATTTATTACGTCAATGTAACATGTAACAACTTCAGCATGGGTAGAAAAGCGAGGAATATTCTCCTGGCTGACGTTTAAATGCAAGCTGTAATATACGCCTTTTTGAGATCAATACATGACTCTGTCCATCAGAAAAGTATAGATTAAGTGGTCATTCAGTCAAATGTGATATTTCAAGTTTTCATTGCTCAAAAAAGTTTTTCTCTTCTTGCAATAAATATTTATTGCAAATGCAAATCATGAAAGGTACATATGAGTGAAATAGCTGATAGCACTTTGTGATCTTAAGAACTCTAAGAAGTGTTACAACCCATGCTTTTAAGGGTAAAATCTAGCTTCTATCTTAATAACGCATTAATTTAGTTCCAGATTATCACGTTACCCATCCCGTTCAAGTTGACGAAAGTGCCAACTTCTTGACTCGTGACCTTTCAAATGGAAATCACAGAAAGCGCCGAGATTTAGCAGGAACAAAAGGAGAACCAATGTACTTCCACTTATCAGCGTTTGGCCAAAACTTTCACTTGAACGTAACTTTAAATGATGAACTACTCTCACCCAACTTTGTGGTCGAGATTCGAGGAAATCAGAGTTCTCGATTTCATTTGGATTTTGAACATTGCCATTATACCGGCCAAGTAGTATCTTCAAAAGGATTAGGAACTAGAGTGGCCGTGAGTAACTGTGATGGACTGGTGAGTAATGTTTTGATACTGCTGAATTCCTTGCAATGACAAAATGTCTTGATACTTACTTTCACCGATCAACAATTCTCTTTCTAGCGAGGTTTGATTCGTACTCCTGAGGACGTTTTTACAATAAATCCATTACCCGACCGATTAGGACTGGACAAGAACAAAACGCGAGCTCACGTGATCCACAGAAGGTCTACCACACCCCTGGAGAGTGTGGGGAAGGCTCTCAGAGTTGAGAAACGATCTGAAAACTGGTGTGGAGTTCAAGGTAGTAGTTAACGTAAAAAGAATACTTATATAAAATGTAATTTTCTGGCAGTTTTTCACTATTGTGGAACAATTCATTACTAAGCCAAACAGTCCGTTTAGTGCAGCGTATCAGATTAATTTGTGTTCAGCAAATGCCGAGCGAGTAATTGACAAAGTATCAAATGTGGCCGTTTTAGGAAGATGAAACTCTAATTCATTGCATTAACCGTTTTAATTTCAAACAAAATATTTTCAGCAGGATATGCTCATGTTCCCCTGGAATGAGTTCCTTTACCCTCTAGCAGGCCAGTGGGGACGATCGAAATTTAGCAGGCGGACGAGCGTCCATTTACGTCCGAAGACCCGCGCTGCTTTCGTTCGCCCGCATTTTCGATTGTCGCCACTGATGATCAATACCCCCAGTCTTGACCAATAGACTTCGCTTGAGGTCGGTTTTCTTCTTGAGCATTCGGAAAAAGCTATTTATCAGTACGAAAATAAATATCATTAGGAGTCAACAAGAAATCGAACTGAATACACATAAAAGTCGCAAGTAGCCACGGTTTTAGGCTTGCACTTGATTGGTTGAAAATATAGTATAAGTCAATTTCTAGATCAATCACAGAGCCAGTTGCATAAAACTTTCACAGCCCCGGATAACTTTAGAAACTCAAGAGGCAATAATTCTAAAGTTCGCCACAAAGGTTCATAACTATTCCACTGAACTTTAAACAAGTTAGGGTCGACCGTGATGAATATCTTTTTTTTTGCCGTTGTAGACGAACCAAGCCCTAAAATGAAACGCGCAATATTTGATCTGCCCGCCTCAGCGGATTATAGCCGGGACTTCACAATAGAAACGCTTGTCGTTGTCGACAAAAAGATGACAGATTTTCATGGAATTGAAGAGCTCAAAGTTTATGTGCCAAGTCTTATAAATATTGTAAGTTTACCTCTCGTTCTAGAAACATACGTTTAAAAACATATATTTTACGTTTGGGAAAAAAGGGAAATACAAGAGAAAAATACGATCCATGATTTACACCAATTTGCTATTATGTGTAATTAAAAAAACGTATTTTGTACAGACGGCATGGAAGGTTTTTTCTTTCTTTATTAATCGATAGTATTGTACGTTAGGTTTACAATCTTTTAGGCGACACTTCCATTGGAGCGAACGTAAAATACGTCTTACAGAAGCTGCTGATTCTGGAGCATGATCAGGTAAGCGGATTGTGTATGATCCTTTGTTAACATGATTCACATTTTTACAAACACACAAAAAAAGGGCATAAATGTATTGCCTACCCCTTTTTTGAAATTCCAAAGAATAATCCAACATTTCGAAGATGGACGCCGCCATTTTGAACACAACTGAGTAACCTGGCCGCAGTTTGCAAACAGCTGATGCTCAGCTTCTCGCCTTTCTTTCTCTGAAGGCTTTTCTTCGAGATCTCATTCCACTACAAAAACCAACACGCCAGACTTCAATCGACTAAAAAGAAGTGGATGAGAAAATTCGCTACATGGATGATTACTGTTAAATCCGTTTTTATTACTACGTTCAGTTGTTGCTTTCCAATTTCAAAAATTATCCACCCTTGGTCGAGATGTAAAACACACGTTTTCGACTCTTCGTAAGCATGCTTCCGATTTTCTCCAGCCCTGGTAGCAGTTAGAGGGAACTCTCAATGAACTTATTTACTTCAAATGATATCTCGTTACCATACAGCGGCGCATAGTGTACTAAGCGCGTATCAACATGGCCATGTATATTCATATCACTTGTTCTGATATTTTTAGGAAGGTCTTGTGATAAGCCCACATGCTGGTAACACCATGGCAAGCTTCTGTGAGTGGACTAAAAGACAAAACATTCAGGATGATAACAATCCTGATCACTTTGATCATGCAGCTCTCATCTCCAGGTACGCATGAACATAAGTTAAAGCAGCAAGACTCGCAGATCATCTCGCCTCTGACCAAAATTTCTATGCAACAACAATCTGTCAACAAATTACTAATCCCAACGAAAAAAAATCATATCATATCTTCTCATCGTGATCGCAAAGCGCTTCATACGTGTTTTTCAGTTTAAGTGGTTCACTAGCACGTGTCGGCCCATTTCATTGCAGGTACGACTTCTGCCGAAATTCAGATCACCAAGAGGGCCAGAGCTGCGAGAAAGTATTAGGTGAGGCCTTGATCAATGCTTAAGAAGCAATATGGAGCTATATTTTATGCACCTACGCTAACAACTTTCGTCGCTGTTGTAGCTGTCGTTTTTACTGTTTTTATGACTATTACTGCTTAATCTTTCGCAAAGGTCTGGCACAAGTCCAAGGAATGTGCAGTTTAACAGGAAGCTGTACTTTGAGCAAGGATGGAGGTCTGGGTACGGCTTATACCATTGCACACGAGACAGGACACAAGTGAGTGCAGTCGAGAGGTCTGGGTTCGAGACCTAGTCGAGTTGTTGTTTTGTCTTCTTCTGCAAGACATTAAGTCTAGTCTGCAAGGGAAACCTGACGAAATATTGGGAGGGGAGGGGGTGGGGTTAGTAACCTGCGGAGGACTGGCATCCACTTCAGGAGGGAGTGGTAACATTCGCTTCATGCTACGGAGATTAGGATTCGCTCCGGAACTTGGTGATCCACTTGAATCGAGTGGAAAGTTACCTTTAATATTACGCAAGTCAGTGGTAGAGTTGGGTAGCATAGAGACGCAATGCTAGTACTCTAAACAATGAGACACGTGAACTGGGCTCCAGGGTAACAGTTATGATTATGAGCGAATTGCATTTGACTCTACATCCCGGGGTGAATTGTTAACGTTCTTCGTCGTTACTTCTCACGTTTTGACCAAGGTAAGTATTTTATTTCTTCATTTTTTATGTCTCCCATTTTCTTTTTCCTTTATTTTTCAACAGCCTCGGAGCTCAGCACGACAGTGCAGGTAACCCGTGCGCTGATGTCAAAAACATCATGTCTACACGAGCCAGTGGTAAAGAAACAGCGTTTGAATGGTCTTCGTGTAGTAGACGTTCAATTCACGCTTTCCTATCGTGAGTTCTTATTCCATTATGATATTAATTCCGCTTAGAAATTCCTTGACCATTTAAACCACATTATTTGCGACATGCTCGCAAGGGATATTCTTTAAGCTTCTTATTCGTTGTATTGTATTATTTGCCCTAAGTCAGTGGAAACTAGGAAAAATCTCTCTGAGAAACTTACCAAGCTAGTTTTGTAAGCATAGCTGTGAAAACAAAACTCTTCATTTTCTTGCAGGTCGGCTGGAATATGTTTGCTTCTAAATTAAATTGTTATTTTGCTACCTTTTGCCCCAAAGAATCCTTTCCTTACAACGTATGTTTTGACATTTCAATTCTACAAAATACAACTATCTGATTGTATCTTATATTTTTTTGTGGCACTTACATTTCCTAGCGGTGATCATGCACAGTGCTTAAATGACAAACCACAAAAGACCGTGGAATTACCGCAACGGCTGCCAGGAGAGTTGTATAACGCTGACGATCAATGTAAACGGACCTATGGAGATGAATCGCGGGAATGTCCAGCGCCTTTTTTGAAAGCCGTAAGTAAATGAAATTCAAAAGTCCTTTAGGAGATTTCCCTCGTCGCTTTTCGTTTGATGCTACACGGGGTATGCTTACGTTCGAATAGGTGGGTCAAAGCTAGGTTTGCAAATGGTTCAGGCAATGTAGGTGTGTCGAAAGTAAAGGCAGATCAGGATTTTCCTGAATGAATTGATGGCGTGTTAAGAGGGAACAAGCAATAAAACATTCCAGTGGTGAAAAGTTCGCATGCAGTGAGGTAGGATACATTAAAGCTCATTAAAGAGGCACATAGTTATAAACAAAGTGTAAAATATTGAATATTCTGAGATTTCATGAAATGGCTCGTAGGCAAACCTATTTCAGCTTTCGAGTGGGTAATAGCTGTGTTTCCTGCACTTGAAATAGGCCGGTAACTTGCTTTTTTTTTAGTTTCAACACAGCAATATCTTACCGTGCTCCCAAATGGTTGTTTGTTCGTACACAATCAGCGCTTCAGTGCTCTCTTGTATTTGGTCCTTTAGCATCTTTTCCTTTTATTTGTCGGAGCCGACCCATACAGCGAGAGTTTTCTCTGCTTGCGACGGTTTTACGTGGCTAAATCTCCCTACCAACTTTAGATTAAGTGAAAATAATGAAGGCCATTGTAGAAAAGGTTTCTGCGCTTAAGTAGTGCTTTTTTTTTCGTGCTTTTAGAAAGTTTGCGTTCAGCTGTGGTGTGTTAAACCAGAGAATGGAATGTGCGTAACACTACATGAGCCTGCAGCTGAAGGCACGGAGTGTGGTCATCAGATGGTAAGACTGTAGTCAATGACTGAGCTTATTTTAAGGTTTTGTATATCGTGGGTGCTTTGGTAGGAAATAATTTGCAGAGAAAGTCAAACGAGAAATGATAATTCGTTGTTTATCCACCAGTGGTGCCGGCGAGGGAAGTGCGTCCCATATGGTAGCGAGGGACCTGAGGCTATTGACGGTGGCTATGGTCCGTGGGGAGAATGGAGCGGCTGTTCTCATTCGTGCGGTGGGGGACTGATAACTAGACAGAGAAAATGCGACAATCCCGAGTAAGTTTGTCCTGGAACTTAGAAATTGAAAAAGATTTTCTAGAAATCTGTGTGCCTGCTTTCAAATATGTTTACTGTTCAAACATTTGAATACAAAGAGTAGTTTAGAACGATGAGTAGTAGGTGTCATATTTTACCATTTTCCATCAATGAGATATTCTTTTCAGGCCCAAAAACGGTGGCAAGTTGTGCTTAGAACATTCAGAGGAGTTTCAGTACTGCAATACACCGGTGGGTATTCGTCCATGTTACAATTTACTAGATTTTTGTTCGTCCCAGCTCGAACTTCACCTTTTAAGAGCAATTCTTATTGGTCGAGATGAGAGAGAGAAGGACTTTTTTTACTTACATGTCAAGACTTTGCCAAACTTTCTTACCGATATAAATCTGTGAGACGACCCATTCCCATTGCAAATTTAACAAAAGATAAAAGAAACTTGACTTCTGATTCATATTACCCAGAAATGTCCGGCAGGAACACCCACTCCAAGAGCAGAACAGTGTGAATCAAAGCAACAGATGCGATTCATTGATGGTAACAAATATCAATGGGCATACAATCCAGCAATTCCAGTACCAGGTGAGGTGTTTGTTAAAGGATCCTTAATGCATGTATATCCCTGCGCAAGATTATAAATTAAAGCATACAATAAAAGCATTGAATCGAAAATTAACAACATATTTTCCTCGTGTGGTTCCACCTTTCACGTCGCCTACGGTTTGAATACAGTGTAAGCAGCTGAGATAGAATATCGTCAGAGAAGTTTATTACTACAAGACTTGAAAAAAAATATTAATAAAGTCAAAGTTTTATTTCTAGCATCATGTTTGGCTTTGTCAGTTAGAAAATTAAAATTCAAAGGTTTCGTGTTCAATTTAGGGATCAAAAAGATGTTACATGCACTAGCATTTACGTCTACTTGGAGATTTTTAACGCCATTACTTGAACATTTTTTTGTATTCACTTAGCTACGAAGCGCGAATTGACATAAAACTGTTCACGAGTATGTCGAGTGAACTACTTTGCCATCTTGCTTCTCGTTTCAGCCGGTCAGCAGTGTAAGTTATCGTGTATCGCTGAGGTAGGTATTCGGCAATTCGCCAAGTACTCATTTGGTTTCGTGGCCGACGGAACTCGGTGTGATGACTATGACGAAAACAGTGGGCTTTGTGTCAATGGAAAATGTCAGGTAATGCTGTCTTTGTAAAACTTATTCGCTAATGCTTATTTCCGTCATCCATGCGTTGCTTATAGCTTACGCGAGACTTTTGATGCTCAAGAAAATATTCCTGAATGCAAGTTATAAATCATAGTCCTACCAACATGTTGTTCCTTACCCGATTATGCTGAAACAATGTTCCTGATGTCCAAGCAAAGGGATTAGGTGGAAAAGTGAAAAAAACATTCTTTCTTACACACACCAAGATAGCACAACCTCCCCTGAACCTCTCCCACTCCTCCCTTCTCAAACTTACACGAACGCCATATACACAGAAACTCTTACGAAATGTCGGCTGTTCCCTAAATTTCAGAAAAATTAAGTCTAACCCCGCGTTTTTGTCACCCTCTAGCCACTAGGTTGTGACAAAGTTCTCGGCTCCAGTCAAAAGTTTGATCGTTGTGGCGTATGTGATGGGGACGGAACTACATGCATTGGCAAAAGGTTAACATATAAAGGGTTGCCTAATCCCATAAAAGGTCAGTGGATCAAAGTTTTAAAATACACGAAATTAAAACTAAAAAAGCTGTGGACGAAGGTATTTCAATGAGCGTAAACGAAATAAACGATTTATTGTAAAATGAAAGAAAGTGATCGTAGATCTGAGAGAAATTCGGAAAAAGACTCAACTGTTGGCTTCATTTTTAACTACGTATAACTGTGTTTACGTGGCTTGCAGAGCTGGTGTCATTCTTTGCTTAAATATTTTCCTCAACATGTGCACGCCTGCAAAATGTAAGAATAGCGTCTCTCCTCCAGGCAACTGTGGACGTAAAAAGTTGTTCTGTAACTCTCTCATCGTTTCTTATACTTTGTTTTTATCAACTGTGCCAGGACATTATCAGTCGATCGCACTAATTCCAGACGGAACGAGAAATATCCAAATTAAGGAACTAAGTGGTTTCAAGAATTACTTGGGTAAGTTCAAGTCTGGCTGTAAGTTCATAATCGCTTCTCTATCTTCTATAATTAGTTATTCAATATGATAATTTTATAATTATTCGTGTGCCGCGCCCGTTCATGAACCAGCTTTTACTTTGCGCAATTAAACCTATTTTTTTCACCACATTTTTTTTGGCATAGCCGTTTCAGTGCTCACTATCTTTGCTACCATCAACAGCCATGATGACAGTTGCCGGCGAAGATCTACTCAACATGGACTTCCGCATCAAACCTCGTTCATTCGCGTTTGTCGGCGCTGGTACAAGGTTTAAATACGTAAGGGATGAGAACGGAAGGGAGAGAATAACTGCACAAGGACCCCTCAACCAAGATGTAGAGTTGCTGGTGAGAAAACAGATCAGCGGTTGTGTTTGATCTACCAAAAACGGAACCGGAAAATCTGACAACACATTTTAATCCTTTGTATCTATACTGGTCTCCATACAATTATTATATGAGGTTGACAAAGAAAATTGTGTCAAGATCATTCCGTTTCTCATGATCTTAGTGTATGATTCAGCAAGGATACTAGAAGGTGAAATAAGAAGCTGGTCACTCTTAAGTGTTTAAGGGTTCAATGGCAGAGGGAAGGGGATATCCCTTAACTCTAAAAGGGGGACTGGACCGGGAGAAAAGAAGAAAGATTCTGGGACCAAAATTAATCTCGACGTCGTCAAATTATGAGTATATGAATTTTTTTGTCATTGATTTGTTTTACCACTGATCAATTTCGTGTTTTTCAGTATCTGGTTCAATCATGGAAGGAAGAATACCAAGTCAGGATTCGTTATCTCGTCCCTCGTTTAAAGGAGGCAAACGTCGACGATACGAGAATTGAGCGGAGCCTTAAGCAGGACGAAGTCACTTTCCAATGGATAAGGCGATCTTTGGGCTGCTCCGAGACCTGTGGTGGAGGTTGGTAGGAAACTTTTTAACTGATTCATTACAATGGCTAGAAAAGGAACTAAGTTTATTATTATTTTTCTAAATTCAAAAACCACTTTTTGATACTGCAGGAAAGTAATTTGTGCTGCTTACTAAACAAAAATTGTTCGTGATCTTTAACAGGTATAGAGGTACGCAGACCAACCTGTGCTCGCGCTGATGACGGATCCATTGTCAGTGACCACTACTGTAAGGGAGAAAAACCTGATGAAGAGAATTCTGAGTGCAATATTCGAAAATGTCCAGCTAGGTAATAAAAACTTAACTACTATTGTTTTTCTCGTTTTCCTCGAGTCATGAACAGGCACGAAGAGCATTTCTTAGTACAATATGTCTCTCCCTCAGATGGAAAACTGGAGAATGGTCCGACTGCTCCAAGACCTGCAACGATGGAAACCCTGGGGAGAGGACGCGGGAGATAATGTGTGTCGATGAATTTCATGAAATCGAGACGGAAGATTCAGAATCTTACTGCGCAGGACCAAAACCTACCACACGAGAGCCATGCGCAATGCAACTCTGTCCTGCTGAGTGGGTCACACTTTCGTCAGGTCCGGTAAGTCATTAAGGGAGGGTGTGAGACTTAGTGATCCAGAAATAAACTCCGCCATTCCATTTTAGGTGGCATAATGCATTTTCACAGTGGAATAAGCTGCTTACAGGGATAGCCGAAGTAATATTAATCCCAGAAAGCGTGGGATGGTTAACTTAATCTTATAATTAGCCGATTTAAAAAAACAAAACAAAAGCACAGAACATTGCTTAGGCTAGAAAACGCAAATCAGAATCAACTAAATTTCATTGATACAAGTGGTAAGTCGAATCTTTCTTGGAAATCTTATCAAATCACTTTAGTTTTGGTTTCATGACATAAAGTAGAAAAGCATTCTAAGGTCAATACTCATTACGAGCAAAACTTCTTGCTTTTGTTCCAGTGCTCCGCCGTTTGTGGTCAAGGTTTGAGAATGATTGAAGTAAGTTGCGTGAGGACAACCCCATCCAACAAGAAAGTCAAAGTGTCAGATGAAGAATGCACTGGTCAAAAGCCTCCCATTGCGGCCTCGTGTGATTCTGGGATTCCATGTTAATGATTCAGGAGTCTTAGACAGATTTGACGTTGACAGCAATTGAGCTTAAGAAGAACAAATTCTTAATCGTCAACACATGAAACCATTAGTTTACAAATATTATGTTTAGCGTTATAAGTGTTTCAGTATATCTTTCTTAACAAGAAAAAGCTAAATTACAAAAAAAGTAGCAACAAAGTATATAAAATTGTTCCTCAAGGAGCTATGAGACAAAAATATGGAGAACGCTACTTCAATGAATGATCATGAGTAATAAAAATAAGGTTGATCTTTCAACTATAGACAGCTTATTGTCCATACCAACCACGAAGAGTTAAAACGAAGACACTTTCGCTAACAAAAAAGCCAGTGATCATTTAAATAAGATCACTATTCGATCCATGCTAGGAAACTGTGGCGCTACTTCAACCAACCAGGAAGTTAATGCAAATTGGCGCAACATAATGTATTATGGTTAACGTTGACTTAACATTCCGCGCGCTTTGGACCACTCTTCGATTAAACCTTTGAAAACCTATTTTTGTCATTGCTTTAATGTTATTCAAGATTAGATGTTGTAGTTAACATCAGTGCTGTGCCTACATTTGATCCTAGTGTAAGAGACGTGATGCATGATCGTCTGTCGTGATTCTGACACAAATCAAGTGACTCAGGCGAAAAACATTACGAGTCAGCTGGTGTTCCATTTTCAAAACCTCGCTAACGGCTAACATCTCTCTACAAATTTAAGCACCAAGACAGCCTCTAGCTGCTTTCTCAGGCTTCTTAGAGTCGTGAGAATTTTGGGGAATCACAACGGAAAATCATGTGTGAGAATGATGTCTTAAAGAATCATGCGTGTCACCTTGCATTGATACCCCTATGTATGCAATACGCAACCGGAAAATACGTTAATGATCGTGAGCTGATAAAAGATTTCTGTGAACCAGGCATCATCATCAGATGACCTCCATGATGTTGAACGAAGTATTTTTTAACAAGGTTGCACGACAAAGTCGCAACAACTGTAGATTAGGTGCCAATTTTCACTACAATTGCATTACCGGCACAAATATCAGTCGAACAGGAACTATTTCCCACTGTCGAAGTGGCAGCCAATTATAACAGTGAAATGGCATCCAGCAACTAAACCAAATTAAGACGAACGTGCAAAATAGTTTGGTTAAACAAGTGCCTTCACAAGTATGCCAAGGAACACAAAGCATCACCTTCATACAGCAAAGTTTAAAGAAAAATGTAATGTAAACAAACCCGGCAGTATATCTGTATATAGCTTCACCAACGTCTAGAGACCTTTCAAAACAATACTTCACTATTTTTTCCCTATCATAGATAAAGATAATTAGCGCAGTTTTCAATTTAGAGTCGATAAACCAAAACCAGAGTAATCAAAGCGACCAATCATAACAAAGGTGCATATTGCCCTTAGCCAATAAGAACTCAAAGTGAAAAAAAGCAAACTGCTAGAGGCGCGGGAAAACGCGAGTGACCAAATTGCGCTTGTTCTAAGTTTTCATCTGATTTGTTGAGAGAAAAGTGTGAGTTTTCTGGACCAACCACAGAGTAAATTTAAGTAAAATCAAAGCAATCCCGGATGATTTTCGACACTGAATTAAAAACTGCTCTATCGACAAAGTACTTGCAGCGCAAGTACTTCAACACACATGAGTAATAAGATAACCGATGTTCAATAAGATAACTGTTAGCATTGAACGCGTAGCTATCAAAAGAATTCCTGTTCTGCACACAAGAGTACCCAGCTTGATATATAATGGCGCTTACTCAAGCTATCATATGGGTGGTATGTGGTTAACGTGACGAGATTAAGGCGCATACTTCAGACTTCACCTAACTGTATAGGTAACTAGCTATGTCTCAGTGTTAAGCGGTTTTGTATTTAAATCATTATTGTTTAGTGCTGGCTAATGATCACAGGCTGCATTCAGGCTTATTTCAAAAACTAATATGCACATTTGTTTTGTTTGGAAAGAAAATTTATTTATTTGAAAAAGGTTAAACAGGGCTTAGATGACAAAGCCATGATGTTCGAGGGCTCGTTGCCACAGAACTTGGTTATGGATTACTGTTCATCAAGCTTCGAACAACTCGAACCTGATTGAAATATTTTCACTGAAAGTATGGATCCTTCTGCCCGCCTGAGATCTGACATTTGGAACCAGAAAAATGAGATTTTAATACACCTATCATAGAATCATTACGAAATGACAAAGGAAATATTGGGCTAAAAAAATAGTCTGATACCTCTCGTACTTGGAGTTTTTTACCGCCAGTTAGCTTTATATCGCATATCTGGGGTACCATCCTTCTTTAAGGGACCACAGGGACCACAGGAAGCTCCACTTGAATCTCCATATGATGAGAGCTGCAAGGGACTATCTCCATAGCTGCTGAAAGGAGAGGGTGAGGAAAACTGTTTGTTGACTGCATACCTCATGTCGGGAGTTCCATCTCTCTTCAGTGGGCCACTTGAATCTAGATACGATGAGAGCTGCAAAGGACTATCTCCATAGCTGCTGAAAGGAGAGGGTGAATCCGCGTATGATGGGAGCTGCAAAGGACTACTTCCATAGCTGCTGAAAGGAGAGGGTGAGTAAAACTGTTTGTTGACTGCATACCTCATGTCAGGAGTTCCGTCTCTCTTCAGTGGGCCACTTGAATCTAGATACGATGAGAGCTGCAAAGGACTATCTCCATAGCTGCTGAAAGGAGAGGGTGAATCCGCGTATGATGGGAGCTGCAAAGGACTACTTCCATAGCTGCTGAAAGGAGAGGGTGAGGAAAACTGTTTGTTGACTGCATACCTCATGTCAGGAGTTCCATCTCTCTTCAGTGGGCCAAGTGAATCCACGTATGATGAGAGTTGTAAAGGACTACCTACATAGCTGCTGGAAAGATAGGGTGAGGAAGACTGTTTATTGACTGCATACCTCATGTCAGGAGTTCCGTCTTTCTTTAAAGGTCCACCAACACGCGGGGAACTATTCACCTGAGCACTTGCCGATGTTGATTGTGATGAGGTCAGCAGGCTGTTGGGGTGTTTGTTAACAGTGTAACGCATGTCAGGCGTACCATCTTTCTTGACAGGGCCAGTGCTTAGTGTACTGCCACTGTTTAAAGAAGATTTCACCGTGGCCTCCTTATCTCTCGTTACTTTGAATCTTCTATCTGGCGTACCTGCCTTTGTCAGTGGTCGCCCTTTGTCATCTTTGTTGATAGTGTAGCGCATGTCAGGCGTACCGTCTTTCTTGACAGGGCCAGTACTTGGTGTTCTGTCACTCTTTAAAGAAGATTGCACCATGGCTTCTTTATCTCTCGTTACTTTGAATCTTCTATCTGGCGTACCTGCCTTTGTCAGTGGTCGCCCCTCGTCATCTCTGCCCAGGGATTGACGGTTTGTTTTGAATCTCATGTCTGCACTGCCATCCTTTTTTACAGCGGGGTTGAGGCCTCGTTTGTTAACTTTAAACCGCATATCGGGAGAGTGGTCCTTATTCTGCAGGCCTAACGATCGCCTGTTCTCTTTAAACCTCATGTCAGGAGTTCCATCCTTCCTTTGACCCCTCCTTGGCGTCTGCACAGCTGGTATCTCTGACTCGAAAAACTCTAACTTCGACGTCAGAAATTCTGGTGTCAGGTCACTGGCAATAGCGTCTTCAAAGCCGTATTGATTAGGGTAGAAGGCTTGCTCAGACTCGTAAAAGGTTTCAGTTGGAGTTGTGTCTTCTTGCAAATGAAACAAGACTTGACTTTCCAGGACATTTTGAACATATTCAACGCACGTAGCACTCTTCATTATAAGAGGATGCTGCAGAAGACTTCGAAGGAACTCGGGACTTGTATTCTCCAGTCGAATGCACTTCAGCAACTCTGGTAGGTAACGTATGCGCTCATCCTCAGCACTAACCCATTTGGCAACCGCGTTAAAGACTTCTTCTTCACAATTCACATTAAGATTGTCGAACTGTATGATCGCTTTCAGATCTTCGTACTCAAGCTCGACGAACTCGTCTTCTTCACTAACGCTTGTAAAGTTGCCAATTATGAAATTTTTGGCCTCTTCTTGAAGAACCTTGGTTTCTTTACAATTCTCCTCACGTGCCAGCCACAGGATATTGACTGCATTAAAGCAATCCATCTTTAGACTCAGCCAATCGCAGCAGGCTCTTGCAAGTGCGGGAATCTCATAACCACATCCAGCTTTAAGAAGACCAACCACGTTTTCCCCGTTCACTGCAACATTACCTGTATATATGTACTTCACAAAATCCTCCAAGACATGGGACGCAATCTCCTTTAGAAGATATCTTGTCTCTTCTGATGAGGACAGATCATTTGCCAAATTTGTCCACAACACTGGCGATGCTGCTGCGACAACTGGTGCATGGACTTCCTGTGTTACACCATGACCATCGTCTAACAAACAGGAGGTCAACTCAGACTTTTGGTACATTTCGTACAGTTGCAAAAGCAGATCTTCACGGTGACTATTCCACAACACCGACATTTGTTCATTGCTGTTACGGTCACAAAGCTTTTTCAGAGAGTCGATTCCGTGTGTTGCAGCAACCTTTCGAAGGCCATCTACCAGTTCTTGACGTGATGGGAACTCTGTTTTGTAAAGGAAAACACGAAAGGCAACAAGTGCATCTGTGCTCAATCCCTTCAAAGAGAGTTTGCCACCGGTGATATCAAAGTCCCTTCCTGTAAGATTCTGTTTAAGGGTAGGACTGCAGGCAGCAAGCAGAATGGAAGGGGCTCCTCGTAATCTTTGGACGTAGAGCGCAGGACCACGTCTGTCAAAAGTCCTTCATTTGCTTGCATCAAGGCGAGGTTCTTCAACAAAATTTTGGCATGATCGGCCTTTTTAAAAGTATAAAGCACTCCGTCTTCGTCAAGAGTCTTGCACTCATTCACGGGTAGATCCAGAAGTGCATACGAAGGATTCATGGCTAAAGACGGATAAATTTCATATATCAAAATTTTTTTTAAGCACAAGGATCTTTAAGATAGAACAAAGGCCGGATTAAGGGAGTTAGTATTTAAACTGTCTTAAGAGAGTATAACTCGGCGCGAGTTCGGCTTTTTCGGAATTTCTCGATCATTTTCGCGGAAATGGTCGATTAACAATGGAACACTATCGAGAGAAAATAGGATGCTCTGCTATATAGCTTTGAATTTGAAAAATTAATCATCTTCGTACCCAAAGTCTTGAATAAATGCCCATTTCTCCATCATGTCTATGAATATTCTATCACAACTGGTAAGCAAGACTCCCAATTTTGGGGTTTAAAAAAAAAGTGAGTCACATGTCACAAATTATCCAAACTGTAAAAACATTACATGTACTCGCTATCATGTTGCAGTTGTAAACCAGACAATAGAGGACTAATCACTTTGATTACAGTTTTAAACAGCATGGTTACACAAAGGAAGTTAATCATAGTTCAAGTTCTTATTTGGATATCTAATTGTAAAATAAGCGCGGACATAATGCTGTTATACACATTCCTGTCCACCGATCACGCAAGGTTTGCGCAGGTAAAGGCGGATTCCCTCGATATGTTGATTGCTACAAAACGGATCAGCTTCATATCAGTTCTGTTTCTAATCGTTCTTTGCATACAAGTCACACAGTTAACTGAACTAATAGCCACAAGTTCTTATCCAGACCTGCCTACAGAAGGTAATGTACGAAGTTTCGCAAAAAAGCGTCACCTTATCAAGTAGATGGAGAGGTCACAGAGTGAAGTAATTAAAAATCAAGACCAGCTAATTGAAATAATGGTTACTAAAAAAACCTTGGGTGGTGGAATCGAAAAATGCATGAAAGAGGGTGGATTACCTTACGGTGTGCGGTCAAGTATTTCACAGCCGCGTCGGCGTGTTTTTGAGACGGTTTCACAAACGTCAAGAATGCAAGGCAGAAACATCAAGAATCTCAAGGCGGAGCCATTTCCGAAAAAAGATAACTACTTTTCAATTTTATCTTCGATGGAGTGCCTTGAATAGGAATTGCTGTGTTCAAGAGCCAGTGTGATAAAATTTAGCCGCAAAATATGCATAAATTCAGATGGATGGAGAGGGGAGCAGCTAACCTCTTCCACAATACGAATTGCACTTCATATTTCATCAAAAAAAAAATTTTCCCTTATTAAATCTTCTTTACAATAAGAGCATTTTTCGCACATAATATTCAAACAAGAAAAATTCAGCTCAGGAAAAATAGATATGTCGTAAGTCTTCTTGGAATACCTCGATCAATTTCTCCGGAAACCACTCAATAATAAACAGGGATATGTCTTAGAGAATAATCTTATCTCGTATGTCCAAGGAGAGAATTGCACTTCATATTTCCTTAATTTGTATCACAAAATATCACTCCATTTCCATGTTGAGAGATATTTCCCCGACGAAATCTTCTTTATTATAATTAGAAGAGCATTTTTGCAGATGATATTCAAACGAGGAAACTTGATCTGCAGGAAAAAATACAATAAATGACGAAAGCTTTCTTAGAATAACTCAATCAATTTCTCCGAAATGATTATCAAAGGATATGCATGACTTAAGGAGTAATGAGATGTTTTGACTTTCAAAGATTCTTTGTTCTCAAATGTCTTGTATGAATGGGTATTTCTTGATCACAAATCTCATAAAACGATAAAGCAGGTTTAACTTCAGGGTTTTAGAATAAAAATTAAATTGCACCGCTTATTTTCTCAAATGTCAAAATGTCACATGATCGATTCGGAAGCCGGGCGACAAGGTATTTATCAATGATTGCCTAAGTGATTCTATGTGCAAACTCACGAATTACGGAAATCCGATCACAGTTTCGAAAAGGAAAGATACGCTAGATTCGACCCTTAAAATTACCATAACATAATGCTGTCATACACATAAATGTCAACAAATGTAAAAACGAATTTCATCTAGATCACGCGAGGTTTTGAATCAAATAAACTCACGGATAATTTTCACAAGTGAACTTCTTCTATTTAATTGTTGATTAGGTTATCAAAAAGAACAATTATTAGATAAACTCTTTTTTTATCAGCATCCTCACGATTCCTTCCTTGTCTGGAAGTTACCAACGTTGCCTTATGAAGGTTTCAACGGATGAAAGAGTAGAACTGATTGAAATGTAATGTGCAGCTCCAGGGTACCGCTCTGCAAACAATACTCTGTATTTTCAACCCAAAGCATGAAAACATCGGATCAGACAAACTTCTTCGCTTAACACTTCACTTTAGCTACATTTGCAGTTATACGCTGACTTACGGACCGGCAGGAAGAAAATAAAATGTGACTAAATTTGTGAGAGCAGCGGACCGAAAGCGAAGCTACGAAGACGAAAGCGGACTAAACACAAAGGCACGGCCTGTAAAAGGACATGAACTGAGAAATAAACAGGTTCACCAAGAATTAGCAGACGACGCCAGAGACAGAGACATAGGAGGAATAGAGAATTTTTAAAGCGACATCATGATGTTATGTAAGATACTGAAGAGAGCACGTGATAACAGTAAGTCACTTAACTATGACTAATGGCTGCTCGGTTTTAATCTATTTTACAAACCTCCGTGCAGAAGAGATAACATAAATCAAAAAGTTGCAAAGTTGCGGACAAACCTGCTTTTTATCCAAGTAAAACAAATCACTGCTTAGGACGCTTCAGAACCAAGTCCAGCCTGATGGTTGGTTGAAAGTAAATGCCTCTAGTTGAGAAAGCAGAAGCATCATGAGTTGCCCTCCTATTGCACGGCTGTTTCGCGATGAAAATTTATTTTGCGCATGCGGTCTACAGGAAACATCGAGTTAATTATTACTTCTCTGGTTAAGACCAAATTATGCATCGGCATAAATCTAGCGTCCATGGCAACCCCTTGGGCTAAGATCTAGTTTAGCCAATGAAATCTTGCTGGTATGTAATGTATGCGAGCGAAATTTAGCATGACGGATGCGTGCACATGGATGAGGCCCTTGCAGTCGAAAATTGAAGGTCAAGAGACACCGGGCCATTGCAAGTCAATCATTTGTCTTTAAGATAAGGAAATTATGGCCTTTCCATTCCATGTACCAGAGGGACTTTACGTGATAGGGCAGACCTTATTTTCTCGACAAAATTACAACTTTCATTGAACAACAGACAGATGCGGACATTTAACTGGAAATAAAAATAGATAATGACCCGAACAGTAAAGCTTTCCCGGAAATTTAATTTGTACGTTTAATGTTACTATGAATTTCTCGGAAAGGAGAAACAAAGGGCCTCCCTATTTCAAGAGTGACAGGATTTCCGCTTATAAAATGTTTTTTGAGAAGAAAAGTTTTCCTAGCCTTACTCAATCTCGAATGACTGTGCATTTCTCGATCAATGTCGGGTAAGGCTTTGAATAAAACTCTGGATAGTAACAGAGATACAGTATATGCCTCTCGTTTTACGCTACGTGTTCTATTCTGTAAAATTAGTTATGCTTGAGTTCACCCGTCCACGAGATCAAAGATATGCTTCATTGACGCAAGCAGCCCAAAACTTTATGTGTGACTCTCAATAAATAATCTCTATCACTTGTTAAAACGTTGATTTTCATGAGTAGTGGCGATCAAAGCCGCATGAAAATGAGATAGCGTAACGGACTGTTTAGATCTTCAAAGCCCCGTCCAGTTTTGATTAACAAACATTGCATACGATAAATCATATTTCCCCTGTGAATAATAAGTGACAAATTTCCTCCCCAAAGACGTACGGAGGGGATCGGATCGAGGCCCGGCTTTATTACCAACTATGGCAAGGTCTGAGAGAATCCAGTAAGTTCATTTCTTAAGATCGCTCATCTGATCGCCTTCTTAAGAAGTCGGCCAACAGCAGGCGTGACTTCTTTTGTATAGCGGAGATCTTGTTAATTTGAAAATTTCCCTTAAAAAAAAATACTAAAAAATATTCAATTGAAATTGTTCCAAAATTATAACCACTTACACTTGCTAAATGCGCAATACAACCCTGTCCTGCTGAGTGGGTCACACTTTCGTCAGGTCGGGTAAGTCGTTAAGGAAGGGTGTGAGACTCAGTGATCCAGAAATAAACTCTACCATTCTATTTAAGGGACATAGTACATTTTGACAGTAGAATAACCTGCTTACAGGGATAGCCGAAGTGATATCAATCCCAGAAAACGTGGAATGGTTAACTTGATCTCATAATAAGCTGATTGAAAAAAACAAAGAAGCGCGGGAAGTGAATCGAAGTTGTAGGGATCGGTGTAGGAATGGCGTGGAAAGGAGAAAAACAGGAAGTCCGGAGTACATCCATTCGATAGTGGTTAAGTTGCCTAAACTACCGAATGGGGAAGAGCTGCAAAAAAAAATGAAATCGCAAGAAATTTCCCAGTGTCTCAGAGAATTGTGCAAGATGCGAAAACTGCAGAATATTGCTTAGGCCACCAAACGCAAATCAGAATCAACTAAATTTCATTGATACAAGTCTTAAGTCGAATCTTTCTTGGAAAGATAACCAAAGCACTTTGGTTTGGTTTCATTACATAAAGTAGAAAAGCATTCCAAGGTCAATACCCATAACGAGCAAACTTCTTGCTTTTGTTCCAGTGCTTTGCCGTTTGTGGTTAAGGTTTAAGAATGATTGAAGTTAATTGCGTGAGGACAACCCCATCGAACGAGAAAGTTAAAGTGTCCGATGAAGAATGCACCGACCAAAAGCCTCCCACTGCAGTTTCGTTTGATTCTGGCATTCCATGTTAATGATTCAGGAGTCCTAGATGGATTTAGATTAAAGATTAAATATATTTAGATTAAATTGAGCTTAAAGAAAACCAAATTTTTAATCATCAACACATAAAACCATTAGCTTACAAATATTACGTTTAGCGTTATAAGTGTTGCAGTATATCTTTCTCAACAATAACAAGCTAAATTACAAAAAAATTAGCAACAAATTATATAAAACTGTTCCCCAAAGGGCTATGAGACAAAAATATGGAGAATGCTACTTCAATGAATGATCATGAGTTATAAAAATAAGGTTGATCTTTCAACTATAGACAGCTTATTGTCCATCCCAACCACGAAGAGTTAAAACGAAGACACTTTCGCTAATAAAAAAGCCATTGATCATTTGAAGAAGACCACTATTCGATCCATGCAAGGAAACTGTGGCGCTACTTCAACCATCAATACACAGGAAGTTAATGCAAATTGACGCAACATAATGTATTATGGTTAACGTTGACTTAAAATTCCGGGCACTTTGGGCCACTCTTCGATTAAACCTTTGAAGACCTACTTTTGTCATTGCTTTAATGTTATTCAAGATTAAGAGTTGCAGTTAACATAAGTGCTGTGCCTACATCTGATCCTGGTGTAAGAGACGTGATGCATGATCGTCTGTCGTGATTCTGACACAAATCAAGTGACTCAGGCGAAAAACATTACGAGTCAGTTGGTGTTCCATTTTCAAAACCTCGCTAACGGCTAACACGATTCTACAAATTTAAGCACCTAGACAGCCTCTAGCTGCTTTCTCAGGCTTCTTAGAGTCATGGGAATTTTGGGGAATCACAACGGAAAATCATGTGTGAGATATCTTGAAAAATCATCGTGTCACCTTTCATTGATACCCCTATGTATGCAATACGCAACTGGAAAATACGTTAATGATCGTGAGCTGATAAAAGATTTCTGTGAATAAGGCATTATCAGGTGACCACCACGATGTTGAACAAAGTATTTTTTAACAAGGTTGCACGACAAAGTTGCAACAACTGTAGGTTAGGTGCCAATTTTCACTAAAGCTGCATTACCGGCGCAAGTACCAGTCGAACAGGAACTATTTCCTATTGTCGAAGTTGCAGTCAATTATAACAATGACATGGCATTCAGCAACTAAATTAAATTAAGACATGCGCGCAAAGTAGTTTGGGTGAGCAAATGCTTTCAAAAGTATACCAAAAAAACGCAAATCATCATCTTCTTAGAGCAAAATTTAAAGAAAAATGTAAGCAAACCAGTATATCTGTATACGGCTTCACCAACGTCTAGAAACCTTTAAAAACATTACTTCACTATTTGTACCCTATCATAGATAAAGATAATTGGCGCAGTTTCCAATTTAGAGTCGATAAACCAAAACCAGTGTAATCCAAGCGACCAATCATAACAAAGGTGCATATTATCCTTAGCCAATAAAAACTCAAAATAAAAAACACCAAACTGCGAAAACTGCGGGAAAACGCGTCACCAATTGCGCTTATTTTAAGTTTTCATCTAATTTGTTGAGAGAAAAGTGCGAGTTTCGTGGACCAATCACAGTGTAAATTTAAGTAAAATAAGAGCAATTCCGGATGATTTTCGACACTGAATTAAAAACTGCTCTATCGACAAAGTAATTGCAGGGCAAGTACTTCAACACAGAGGAGGAACCAGAACAATGAGATTTAAATCCATTAATCATAGAATCATCCCGAAATGGTAATGGAAATACTGGGCTAAAAAAAGTCTGATATTTCCTGTACTTGGAGTTTTTTACCGCCTGTTAGCTTTTATCGCATATCTGGAGTGCATTACTCTTTAAGGGACCACAGGAGCTGGATCGGGAATATGGGCTCCTCCACTGGAATATGGCCTGGAACTGTAGCTTGATCCCCCAAAAGAAGATCCAACCGACTGTGAACTACCATAAAACAACTTGTTCACTGCGTACCTCATGTCTGGAGTACCATCGCCCTTAAGTGGACCGCGTGAACTCGACCCACTTCCACTTGCACTGAGAGATGATCTCGAACTGTAGATGGACCCACCAGAAGAATAGCCAGAGGATGCAGGACTGCTGCCACTGAATGCCTTGTTAACGGCATACCTCATGTCTGGAGTTCCGTCTCTCTTACATGGACCACTCAGACTGCTATGTGATGACAGCTGTGACGAACTTCCTCCGTAGCTGCTTGAGGGAGACGTAGAGGTATACTGTTTGTTGATTGCATACCTCATGTCAGGAGTCCCGTCTTTCTTTAATCGTCCACCAACACACGAGGAACTATTCACCTGAGTACTCGCCGATCTTGATTGTGATGAGACCAGCAGGCTCAGGAGTTCCATCCCTCTTCAGTGGGCCACTTGAACCTGTATATGATGATAGCTGCAAAGGACTACCTACATAGCTGCTGGAAGGAGAGGGAGAGGAAGACTGTTTGTTGACTGCATACCTCATGTCAGGAGTCCCGTCTTTCTTTAATGGTCCACCAACACGCGAGGAACCATTCACCTGAGTACTCGCCGATCTTGATTGTGATGAGGTCAGCAGGCTGTTGGGGTATTAGTTAACGGTGTAGCGCATGTCAGGCATACCATCTTTCTTAACAGGGCCAGTGCTTGGTGTTCTGCCATTCTTTAACCCATTGACACCTGAACTGCCCGTAGCCGCCCGTGCCGCGTGGGGGACTTGCACGAGAGATGCTTTCCCCCCTATCTCCCCTACTAAGCAGAATTTTGTCTCCAAACTTCCTCTGTTGTTAGAGGATCTATAAACCAATCAGAATCCGTTTTTTTTTATAATTTATAATTTCCATGTAACATGAGATCTCTCCACACACTGATGAATTTTCACTTTGAAATCCGATCCGCATACTTTTTTTGCACACGTGCGCAAAAATTTACTGATTTTTATCTTTAATCTTGATTTTAGAGTAAAAACTTAATATGCATCTATTGCTTTCCTCGTTGATAGTAAGTTATTTAAATGGTCTTCTTTCACGTGAGCTTGTTTTTGGGAAAAAAAAAGATTTGTCAAACTTTACTGCGCATTGTGATTACTTTTCCGGTTTCTCCAAAATTTTAACTTTTGGGTAGGCACGTGTTACACGTAGGAGTCAATGGGTTAAAGGAGATTGCACCATGGCTTCCTTATCTCTCGTTACTTTGAATCTTCTATCTGGCGTACCTGACTTTGTCAGTGGTCGCCCTTCGTCATCAATGCCCAGGGATTGACGGTTTATTTTGGATCTCATGTCTGCAGTGCCATCCTTTTTCAATGGGAGGTTGAAGCCTCGTTTGTTAACTTTATACCGCCTATCGGGAGAGTGGTCTTTATTCTGCAGGCCTAACAACCGCCTGTTCTCTTTAAACCTCATGTCAGGAGCTCCATTCTGCCTTTGACCCCTCCTTGGCGTCTGCACGGCTGGTATCTGTGACTCGGGAAGCTCCAACTTCGACGTCAGAAATTCTGGTGTCGGGTCTTTGGCAATAGCTTCTGACTTAGGAAGCTCCAACTCCGACGACAGAAATTCTGGTGTCAGGTCTCTGGCAAAAGAGTCTTCAAGGTCGTATTGATTAGGGTAGAAGGCTTGCTCAGACTCGTAGAAGGTTGTGTCTTCTTGCAAATGAAACAAGACTTGACTTTCCAGAACATATTCAACGCACGGAATACTCTTCATTATAAGAGGATGCTGCAGAAGACTTCGAAGGAACTCGGGACTTGTATTCTCCAGTCGAATGCACTTCAGCAACTCTGGTAGGTAACGTATGCGCTCATCCTCAGCACTAACCCATTTGGCAACCGCGTTAAAGACTTCTTCTTCACAATTCACATTAAGATTGTCGAACTGTATGATCGCTTTCAGATCTTCGTACTCAAGCTCGACGAACTCGTCTTCTTCACTAACGCTTGTAAAGTTGCCAATTATGAAATTTTTGGCGTCTTCTTGAAGAACCTTGGTTTCTTTACAATTCTCCTCACGTGCCAGCCACAGGATATTGACTGCATTAAAGCAATCCATCTTTAGACTCAGCCAATTGCAGCAGGCTCTTGCAAGTGCGGGAATCTCATAACCACATCCAGCTTTGAGAAGACCAACCACGTTTTCCCCGTTCACTGCAACATTACCTGTATATATGTACTTCACAAAATCCTCCAAGACATGGGACGCAATCTCCTTTAGACGATATCTTGTCTCTTCTGATGAGGACAGATCATTTGCCAAATTTGTCCACAACACTGGCGATGCTGCTGCGACAACTGGTGCATGGACTTCCTGTGTTACACCATTACCATCGTCTAACAAACAGGAGGTCAACTCAGACTTTTGGTACATTTCGTACAGTTGCAAAAGCAGATCTTCACGGTGACTATTCCACAACACCGACATTTGTTCATTGCTGTTACGGTCACAAAGCTTTTTCAGAGAGTCGATTCCGTGTGTTGCAGCAACCTTTCGAAGGCCATCTACCAGTTCTTGACGTGATGGGAACTCTGTTTTGTAAAGGAAAACACGAAAGGCAACAAGTGCATCTGTGCTCAATCCCTTCAAAGAGAGTTTGCCACCGGTGATATCAAAGTCCCTTCCTGTAAGATTCTGTTTAAGGGTAGGACTGCAGGCAGCAAGCAGAATGGAATGAAGGGGCTCCTCGTAATCTTTGGACGTAGAGCGCAGGACCACGTCTGTCAAAAGTCCTTCATTTGCTTGCATCAAGGCGAGGTTCTTCAACAAAATTTTGGCATGATCGGCCTTTTTAAAAGTATAAAGCACTCCGTCTTCGTCATGAGTCTTGCACTCATTCACGGGTAGATCCAGAAGTACATACGAAGGATTCATGGCTAAAGACGGATAAATTTCATATATCAAAATCTTTTTTAAGCACAAGGATCTTTAAGACAGAACAAAGGCCGGATTAAGGGAGTTAGTATTTAAACTGTCTTAAGAGAGTATAACTCGGCGTGAGTTCGGCTTTCTCGGAATTTCTTGATCATTTTCGCGAAAAGGATGTTCTGCTATATAGCTCTGAATTTGAAAAATCAATCATCTTCGTACTAAAAGTCTTTAAAAAGTGCACATTTCTCCTTCATGTCTATGAATATTCTCTCATAACTGGTAAGCTCCCAGTTTCGGGGTTTAGAACAAAGTAAGTCACATGTCACAAATTATCTAAACTGCAAAAACATTACATGTATTCGCTATCATGTTCTTTTTGTACACCAGACAATAGAAGACCAATCATTCTGATGGCAGTTTTAAACAGCATAGAGATACAAAGAAAATTAATCCTATATTAAGTTCTTATTTGGACATATAATTGCAAAATAAGCACGTACATAATACTGTCCTACATATCCCTGTCCACCGATCACGCAAGGTTTGAGCATGTAAAGGCGGACTCCCTCTATATGTCAACTGCTATTGCTTCAAAACAGATTAGCTTCATATCAGTTCCGTCCCTAATCGTAATTAATGGAATAGTCCGCCATATTGCAATAGCCGACAATTTCTGATAATCACCCAACTCCCAAACCCGTCACTAGTCCTCCTCAGGCGTACCTCTAGCCGCTAGGATTTAGGTACAACCAACAAGACAGTCACAATCACGAAACTCATGGCGATAGCAAAAAAATCAAATACCTTCAGAATTTGAATTAAAATCTTAACTAAATGCTAGATAGAAAAAAACCAATCAAGTCATAAATAACTAACCAAACACTTTTCAAACATGGATAAAGGGGTAAGTTTCTGAAGAAACTGTAGTGCTGCGTCGGTGGGTGAGTATAGCGGGTAATTTTGTGTTAACAACTGAGTTGAAAACGTAAATTAGCCACCGTAAAGGGTAAAAAAGCTGACGTTTAGAGCGTTAGCCCTTTGCCATCGCTCTGACGAGGGGCTATCGCTCTGACGAGGGGCTAACGCTCTAAACGTCAGCTTTTTTACCCTTTACGGTGGCTAATTTACGTTTTCAACTCAGTTGTTAACACTAAATTACCCACTTTACAAACATGACCCGATTCTCAAAGTGAACATCGACCTCGAAGCCCCTAAATAGATTGATCCATAGAATATCGAAGCGAACTAGTTCAACAACATCAACAGCTTTCTTGCTTTCAATTCTTAAACTTGTATAGAAAACTGTGAAAATGTCTACGGAACTTGAGTAGGCTCTTAAATTTCATGAACTTATTTCTTTTGGTGATCAACACCAACTGCAACTATAGCACAACCACATAAGTTTAACATCATGATAACTCTTCAGTGAAAGAACTTTAAGGATGAATGTTTAAATTTCATAATTCGCAGCTATTTGGTTATAGGGATTAAAACACCTTGATCTTCAAATTTAATTTCGCGACAGAAGAATTCAGACTCAAGTTGCTATCATGATAAGCAGTCCATCGTTTATTTGAAGTTCCATGGGTTAACGTCCAAAAAGTGTTCAAAATAGATCTAAGTGTTCATTAGCAAGGTGTAATTGAACGATTCCCAAACGGTCCATATCATGCACATTGGGTGTGCATCAAAATGAAAACAAAAGCAATCCAAGAGGTTGCAAGGCAATAAACATCACATGGCAGACCCTTTGCCATACTCTTAAGACAAAGCCTGTTTCATTGAAAACTCTGAAATACCTGCACGGGGATTTGAAATGCCTACAAACCACAAATTATTTAACTTTCAATGAGTCTCCAATCCAAAATCTTCTCTTTGGTTCCACACTTACTTCGATTATAAGGGAAATGTGCCCTTTTCACCTAATGATGAGTTTTTACATTAGAATTTTAGGGAGGGGGTAGAAAGGAGGAAAAGGAGAAAAGAAGAACTGAGCTGCCAAAAGTCTAAATAAAATGTTGAATATACCACTCATTGTAGAATTTGAGCTATTTCATTACTTGACTGTAAAACATTTTTATTAACCGCTTCATTATTGAAGAAGTGGGTTCTATGGTATATCTGAGAGGGAACTTTCTAAATCTCTGCAATGATTATAAAAATTCAAACTTAATTCCCAACTGTTATACAAAAAAAAATGAGCAAAACCAAAGCTACAATTTATCAGTTCACACTGTTCCTCAAGCTACAGCACAGCTTTGTTTAGCTTTGGTACTGCTGGGACTTGCAGGAGGAAATTTGTTATACACTTTCTACTCTAGACTGAATATAACAGCCTACATCACTAAGATTACCAGACATTGCCCATTCTTTGGACTGAGACAAAATTTTTACCTGAGGTTTCATCAGCCTTGGAGTCTGTGCAATCTGTTTCACTTGCACTTATCGCAACTTGCAAATCTGCAAATTTTATAAAAAAATCCATTGCTATTTTAAACCCTTTGGGATCATGATAAATTCATCAAACACTCTCTGTTAATGTTTGGTGGATCAAAAGCATGATGGAAAGAATATGCGATCAGTGACCATAACAATAGCAACGTAATGTTAAATACCGCACGACAAGAATTTGGTAACCGAAATTTACGGTAACTATGGGGTTTGCCAAGAACAGGGTTGTTTACCATTTTACCAGAGAAACCGGTTGGAAAATGACAGTTCAGGTAAATGGATGGATAAAGACTCCTGTTGATGTTTTGGTTTTTCACCAAAATTCTCAAAGATCCCACTTCTGCCTATGTATAGTAGCGATACAAAATGGCAGGATGCCCTTGAATTGCTGTGTGAATTTTTGATTTTGTGAGACAATAACAAAAAGTAAAAGAACCATAATGCTGCTGATGTTAAAAGAGAGAGATTAGCTGTCAATCACATGATTTGTGTGATGCAGATTGAAGCAATAGACAGAGCACCTTACAGGTACTGGTAACAGAGACGAGAATATTTACAACGACAGACAATTGAAAATTATGCTCACTGCCTTTCAAGTTACCTGATTTATTTTGTCCTTCAACATTTCCTAGAGTCTGGCCACCACTTTCTGCAAACAAAAACACAGCGCAATTATGCCCAGCATTTTCATGATATTCATACACCATCCATGTTTCCTGCTTGTACATTTTACACACTCAGGAAGGCTTTAGTCCCTTATAGGACAAAAAGATATATGTTATAATCTTATGGTAAGTATTTGGCAATGTTCTTTTACTGACATTTTGTAAGATACTATTTGTACGCCTGCCAGATTAAGACTAACTACAAAATAGATAATGAGCCGAACTGTGAAGCTTTCTCACAAGTTTCTTCAATGCTACGATCAATTTCTCGGAAAGTAGAAACAAAGAGGCACTGTATTTTCAAAGTGACAGGATTTCCACTTACAAAATGTTTTTTGAGTAGGAAACTTTCCCTAGCCTTACTCAATTTCTTCATTTCTCGATTAAGCCTTTGGATAAAACTCTGAATGGATCAGAGGCACAGTATATGCCTCTTGTACTACGCTACATGTTCTATTCTGTAAAATTAGTCATGCTTGAGTTCACCTGTCCACGAGATCAATAACATGCTTCGTTGTTACGATCATTGCTTCACTGACGTAAAACTGATCTCAAGGATTTGAATACATCACAAGGAGCCCAAACTTTATGTGTGACACTCAACAAATGATTTCTATGTCTTAGTAAAAAGTTGGTTTTCAGGTATAGTGGCAATCAAAGCCGCAGGAAAATGAGATAGCGCAACGGACTGTTCAGATCCTCATAACCCCGTCCCATTTTGATTAAAAAACATTGTATGTGATAAATCATATTGCCCCTGTGGATGATAAGTGACAAATTGCCTTCCCAAAGACGTACAGAAGGGGATTGGATCGAGGCCCGGCTTTATTACCAACTATGGAAAGGTCTGAGAGAATCCAGTAAGTTCAACATTCTCAAGACCGCTCATCTGATCGCCTTCTTAAGAAGTCGGCCAAAAGCAGGTGTGACTTCTTTTGTATAAGCGTTGTGGGTCAGCGGAGCCAAGCTCCAAACAGAGGCAGAAGGCGCAAAAGAAGGAAGGAGCACGAGAAAAAAAACATGCCTATCCACAAACATGAGCTTTGTCTGGTGTTTCGGTTCATAGGTAGAACAAGCTTAGAACTCACTTTAATTCCACCTTGTCTACTTTACTTCCTATCCGACAATCCATCCAGGCTTAGCAATAGATTTACAGATCGCGGCGACATGCAAGGAGCCCTTTCTTATCGTTTATCGTCACCGCAATGAAGACGGATTGGTCCATAGTGAAAGTTAAACAAGACCAGTTGTGCCTAAATCGTACCGGCTAGAGGTACGCCCGAGGAGCACTAGAAACGAGTTTCCGAGTCGGATGATTATCGGAAATTGTCGGCATGTAATGTATTCTTCACATGCTTTACATGTGAAGAATACATTGTTGAGTTTAAATCAAAGAAATTTCGCTTAATTTTGTGTAGCTGTTTCCTTCACCCTCTTCGATCTTAAGTTTCTTGTTCAGCAGACGTTTAGCTTAACACTGTAGCTGCTAAGACCAACGCTTGCAACGGTAAAGAAAACTTCTGAATAGTATCGCCACTATAATACCCTTGTCATAGTGCTACTGGTTGGAAAGATCCCCAGGATGAAACTTCTATTTTCTTGTACCTTTAGCCGGTAGGATCTCAGAGGGCCTAGAAAATACTATCGGGTAGAGGTACAGCTTGCAGACTTAGTCAACTTTGCTCTGTTGTTACTACGGCTTGCTTCACATTTTACTTTTTCTGCACTCCAAACTAGTCTTACACTCCTTTGAATCACTTTTCTCAAGGATACGTACAAATTGATTTATTTTTATTTGGTCTTGTACCTCTAGCTGGTAGCATTTGTAGGGGCTTATAAAATTCTACCGGCCAGAGGCATAGCTTGCATACTTAGTCGACTTTGCCCAATTTTTATTATAGCTTGTTCCACATTTAATTAATTTTCTGCACTCCAAGTTGTAGTCTTACACTACTTCGAATCACTTTTTACAAGAGTACATTTACATTTATATTTTTATTTGGTCTTTTACCTATGACTGGTAGGATCTTTAGAGGCTTAGAAAAAAAATAATGGCGAGAGGTACAGCTTGCATATTTAATCGACTTTGCCCAATTTTTATGACAGACTGCTTTGAATTTTGCTTTTTGCATCCCATTTAGTCGTACACTACATTAGAATCACTTTTTTCGTGAATATCTTCTTCTTTCTTGGTCGTGTACCTCTACCCGGTAGGATCTTGTGTGGCTTAGAAAATACCGGCTACAGGCTAGATGTATTTCGTGCCTTTAAGGTGAATTTAGCTCGTTTCATATACTTCTTGATTTATTGAAAAACCTTTCTTCATTCCATGTTAGTCTTGTACTGTTGTGGAGTCACCATAGGTATTTTTTCATACATTGCAGTCTTCTTCATCTGGCTAGCAGAATCTTGTACTACTCAGAAAACACTACCAGCCAGAGGGGCAGCTTATGTATGTGAAACAAGCTTGAAATCATGAACATTGTTATGTTTCAAATTAATTTCAAGTTAAAAAAAACTTTAAACTTGCCTGATTTGTATTTTTGTCTTCACTTGTGGATTTATTTCAATACAAATATAACCAGTTTTAGATGAATTTGACTTGAAATTTATTTTAGACTTGAACATGTCGATCAGATTAACTGAAGTTTGTCATGTAATACTCTGCCTAAGTGTGAGCGCAATTTCTTAGAAAGGAACGGTCTCTATTTTCATGATAATTGAGTTTGATTAGAGGTTGTGTTGAAAAGGCCAACGAGTGTCTGAAATACTAAAATCAAGTCATCTTTAGGTAGTCATTGGATAACATGGTTTTAATTCACCAAATTGACATTTTCCCTATGTATTTTCAATAACATTTAACAGCATGTATGACTATATGAAACCCTTGAGGCAAGTTATCCTTGAAAATATAAAATGGTCATCCGTTATATATATACAGAATTTACACAGTTATTTAAATGAGATTTACCTGTGCCTTTGTTTTCAATAAAAATTTCTATTTTAAAAAAGGAATCAAACCTTTCTTTATTAGAACAACAGTCAGAAACCCTTTGCTTATTGCCATATAATGCCTGCTTTAGTTTCAGTTGATTCCCTATAGAAGAGTCATTTGATGCTCAAAGCTTGTGTGCTATGCTGTGCTATCAAGTAAGCAATGGTAGGTAACTGTATTCATGAAAAAAGTGATTCCAAGGAGTGTAAGACTAATTTGGAATGTAGAAAAGTAAAATGAGTAAACTGCACTAAAAATTAGGCCACTGGACTAAATATGCAAGATGTACCTTTAGATGGTAGTCTTTTCTAAGCCTCCTGAGATCCTACCAACTAGAGGTACAAGACCAAATAAAAGAACAAAAATTCAAATGTATTCTTAAAAAATATTTATTCCAAAGAGTGTAAAACTACAACTTGGAATGCAGAAAAGTAAAATGTTAGGCAAACCATAATAAAAATTGGGCAAAGTCCACTAAGTATGCAAGGTGTACCTCTAGCTGGTAGTATATTCTAAGCCCCCTAAGATCCTACCAGCTAGAGGTAAAAGACCAAATAAAAATAAATAAATCTATACTCATTCTTGAAAAGTGATTCAAAGGGGTGTAAGACTAATTTGGAGTTTAGAAAATTAAAATCTGAAGCAAATCGTATTAAAAATTAGGCAAAGTCGACTGAATGTCCAAGCTGTACCTCTAGCCCGTAGCATTTTCTAAGCTTCTTAAGATAAAAAGTGATTCAAAGGAGTGTAAGACTACAACTTGGCGTGCAGAAAAGTCAAATGTGGAGCAAACCATAATAAAAATTGGGTGAAGTCCACTAAGTATGCAAGCTGTACCTCTCACTGGTAGTACTTTAAAATAGGCCCCTCTAGCAGAGGGTTCTCAATAGGGTTCTTTATTCCCGCTATCCCGAATTAAAATTTATCTCAATTCCATAATCCCCAAGGTTTATACCGGCTAATTCCGATCCCGATCATAGATTTCTGTTCTTAGTCCATTCCCTTAACTTAAAAAGGCCTTTGCCGTGGGTGATGATTTTCTCAAGCAGCATTGATCCCTTGAAGTCTTTGCCCACCCTAAGGAATAAGTTCACCGAATATGATATAATATTCATGTCTGGTTCGATCACGTCGCTTGCCTATTCGTATTAATGGAATAGTCCGCCATACTGCAATAGCCGACAATTTCTGATAATCACCCAACTCCCAAGCCCGTCACTAGTCCTCCTCGGGCGTACCTCTAGCCGCTAGGATTTAGGAACAACCAACAAGACAGTCACAATCACGAAACTTATGGCGATAGCAAAAAATCAAATAACTTCAGAATTTGTATTAAAATCTTAACAAAATCCTAGATAGAAAAAAACCCAATAAAGTCATAAACAACCAACCAAACACTTTACAAACATGAATAAAGGGGTAAGTTTCTAAAGAAGCTGTAGTGCTGCGTCGGTGGGAGAGTATAGCGGGTAATTTAGCGTTAACAACTGAGTTGAAAACGTAGATTAGCCACCGTAAAGGGTAAAAAAGCTGACGTTTCGAGCGTTAGCCCTTTGCCTAAGGGCTAACGCTGGAAACGTCAGCATTTTTACCCCTTACGGTAGCTAATTTACGTTTTCAACTCAGTCGTTAACACTAAATTAACCACTTTACAAACATGACCTGATTCTCAAAGTGAACATCGACCTCGAAGCCCCTAAATAGATTGATCCATAGAAAATCAAAGCTAGTTCAACAACATCAACAGAAAGTTCATCTACATTGTTGTGGCAAAGAATGGTCGATCCGGCTTGCTTTCAATTCCTAAACTTGTATAAAAAACTGTTAAAATGTCTATGGAACTTGCGTAGGCTCTTACATTTCATAAACCTTTTTTTTTTTTTTTGGTGATCAACACCAACTGCAACTATAGCACAACCACATAAGAATAACATCATGTAACTCTTCAGTGAAAGAACTTGAAGGATAAATGTTTAAATTTCATAATTCGCAGCTGCTTGGTCATATGGATAAAAACACCTTGATCTTCAAAGTTAATTTCCCGACGGAAGAATTCAGACTCAAGTTGCTATCATGATAAGCAGTCCATCGTTTATTTGAAGTTCCATGGGTTAATGTCCAAAAAGTGTTCAAAATAGATCGAAGTGTTCATTGGTAAGGTGTAATTGAACGATTCCCAAACAGTCCATACCATGCACATTGGGTGTGCATCAAAATGATAACAAAAGCAATCCAAGAGGTTGCAGGGCAATGAACATCACATGGCAAACCCTTTGCCATACTCTTAAGACAAAGCCTGCTTCATTGAAAATTCTGAAAGACCTGTGCATGGGATTTGAAATGCCTACAAATCACAAATTCTTTAACTTTCAATGAGTCTCCAATCCAGAATTTTTTTTCTTTGGTTCCACACTTACTTCGATTATAAGGGAAATGTGCCCTCTTCACCTAATGATGAGTTTTTACATTATAATTTTAGGGCGGGGCTAGAAAGGAGGAAAAGGAGAAAAGAAGAACTGAGCTGCCAAAAGTCTAACTAAAATGTTGAATATACCACTCATTTTAGAATTTGAGATATTTCGTTATTTGACTGTAAAACATTTTTATTAACTGCTTCATTATTGAAGAAGTGGGTTCTATGGAATGTCTGAGAGGGAACTTAATTCTTATAAAAATTCAAACTTAATTCCCAACTGTTACACACAAAAAAAAATGAGCAAAACCAAAGCTACAATTTGTCAGTTCACACTGTTCCTTAAGCTACAGTAAAGCTTTGTATAGCTTTGTTACTGCTGGAACCTGCAGGAGGAAATTAGTTATACACTTTCTACTCTTGACTGAATATAACAGCCTACATCACAATGATTACCAGTCATTGCCCATTCTTTGGACCGAGACAAAATTTTTACCTGAGGTTTCATCAGCCTCGGAGTGTGTGCAATCTGTTTCCCTTGCACTTATCTCAACTTGCAAATCTGCAAATTTTATGAAAAAAATTCATTGCTATTTAAACCCTTTCGGGATCATGATAAATTCATCAAACACTCTCTGTTAATGTTTGGTGGATCAAAAGCATGATGGAATGAATATGTGATCAGTGACCATAACAATAGCAACGTAATGTTAAATGCCACAGGACAAGAATTTGGCAACCAAAATTTACGGTAACTAGGGGGTTTGCCAAGAACAGGGTTGTTTATCATTTTACCAGAGAAACTGGTTAGAATATGACAGTTCAGGTAAATGAGGTGCATAAAGACTCCTGTTGATGTTTTGTTTTTTCACCAAAATTGTCAAAGATCCCACCTCTGCCTATGCATAGTTGCGATACAAAATGGCAGGATGCCCTTGCATTGCTGCGTGAATTTTTGAATTCGTGAGACAATAACAATAAGTAAAACAACCATAATGCTGCTGATCTTAAAAGAGAGAGGTTAACTGTTAATCACATGATTTGTGTGATGCAGAATGACGCAATAGACAGAGCACCTTACAGGTACTGGTAACAGAGACGAGAATATTTACAACGACAGACAATTGAAAATTATGCTTACTGCCTTTCAAGTTACCTGCGATACTTTGTCCTTCAACATTTCCTAGAGTCTGGTCACCACTTTCTGCGAACAAAAAAAAGCGTAGTTATGCCCAGAATTTTCATATTCATACACCATCCATGTTTCCTGCTTGTACATTTTACACACTCAGAAAGATTCTAGTCCTTTGTAGGACAAAAAATATGTTATAATCTTATGGTAAGTATTTGGCAACGTTCTTTTACTGACATTTTGTAAGATATTATTTGTGCGCCTGTCAAATTAAGAATTAAAAGGAGGCGCAGCTTAATCTTAGGTGGATCAAACGCAAGATGGAAAGAAAAGCCTTTGCCCAATGTTCAATATTAAAGAGGAACTACCACTAGTTTCCCTTGAAGTACAGCAGAGACAAATCCATCTTCGTCCTCTTCTTCCATTTGCTTTTTTTCCTTTCTCTTTCTTCTGTCCCCCTTAAGATTTAAAAAACCTTACATTAATGATCTTTCCCAGATTCGCCACTCATCAATTAATTGTTTATCTATTGTAAACAACCAGTCAGTTGCAGAAAATTCTAACTTGAACCTGCCAAAATAAACTAGAAGTACATGTAGGTACTTCTCCCTTTTAGTTAGTTCTTCAACAAGTGTCAAGACCCAGAGGAAATGTTACACAAATTAATTATTGTCAGACTAGCAGGCAGTTCGAAATTAGTAGTTGAAATCAGCAGAATAGAACTGGTAATTATTAGAGGCACAATAACTATTTTGTAAGTTTTAAAACAGTTTAGAATCCAAGTATTTCATTTACGTCATGCAGGTCTTTTCTGTTTGCCTCCTCACACTTACTTACTTACTTCCATGTCTGTGCTTATTCAAAGTAGATGTTGCTGGATTTGTTCAATTATGCTCCCATTAGATTTCCTAAAAAATACTTACCTTGAAGCCAACCCACCTATTTCCCTTATTTAACAATTGATGTCAAGGTCTATGCCTAAGACCTAGTCTGTTATTCCTTGCGCTAGAAGACTGAATTGGATTGATAAAAATCCATGGGATTTCTCAAGAAAAAAAAGACATGGGAACATAAAACATGATTGACAGTTTGGCTTATGCTAACCCAGATTATTATGTAGCTGGCAGCACCCGTGGGCAATATGAAGCGTCAGCTTTAAAACTCTATAAAATGTCCCATTTACATTTTCAACTCAGTTGATAAGACCAAAAATTATCTAGTTATATTCCCACTTAAGTTTTGCCTCATTTTGTTTTGGAGTAACTTTTTTATAAAAAGAAATATCTCTATGCAACTTTTTAGAGTGGTTTGTAGTTCGCATCAATCAAATCATTGCATTAGATTATGTATCTCGCACCAATCTGACAGCCACATCAGGGTATGTATCTCCCACCAATCAGATCACAGCATGTGAAATTAGAGAGGAACAAAAATCAACAAGAGCCAGTCAGTTTGTCATTTAGTCGGTCTATCAATCAGTCAGTACCAACCTACATTTAATCAACATAATACACTCTAATGCATCAATTTCAAGACTACGAAAAATAATTATGTCCCTCCCTCCCCTCCCTCCCTTTTTTTTGTGTTGCTATGTAAATTGACAGGTCGGCTCGTTGCCATGGGCCACGTGCTCGTGTGAGATAAAACAAGTTGAGTTGAGGAGTTTGGAGTAACGTGAGCGAATAAAGTTGTTTACAAAAAAATCGAATCAGCCGAGTCCAGTTGTCGTCCGGCAACGACATTTGAGCGAAATCAAGCGTTTACGTGTTCATGTAACTGCGTGTATTTTTTCACTGAGCCGTGCGGTTTAATATTGTGAAGATTTATTCAAGTCGCACTAAGATGGGTGCCTCGAACAGAGGAAAGACAAACCACTACGACTGTTTACGCCAAATGAGTCTACCACTTCAAGTAAACGTTCCGTTTTAAGAAAGAAATTGCAAGCCGAGAAGTTAGCCCTTGAACTAAAAATAGCCGAGAAATCGTTCGCAAATGAGATCGACTGTCTGCGAGCCGAACAACAGCAGCGTGTAAAGCTTTTGGAACTTCAAAAGAAAACTGAAGAATCACGATTGGAATATGAGTTCGAAGAAACCATCGCCCGGGAAGAAGGTATGTCGAATAAAGGCGGTATTGATGAAGAGTTGACTGAATTACCTTTAGACGGTGTGAACGATCGGGTATCGTGCTTAGACCTGGGAATTACTGAAAACACTGTTGTTGAAAAAACCTGACATTAAATCTACTAAACCAGAGGTTGTAACAGAGGTTTCTAGTCAACTTTGTAAATAAGGAGACATTTGAGTCATCTATTGCTAAAGGTCACACTGAGTTGAAAACCTCTGCCACGGGAAACCCTAACGTGCAGACGTCGAACACAGATCAGTTGTTAGAGAAAATGCTGCCAGCCTTTGTGAAAATCGTTAAGCCAAATGTGCAGAAATTTAATGGAAACCCACTAGAGTGCTCAAAATTCAAAGCAGCGTTTAATGCTGAAGTAGATAAAAGGGAAGTTTACGATGCAACAGAGAAGCTTAAATTTCTGCTAGATTCTGTAAATGGAAGTGCAAAATCATGTCTAGCGAAATTCATGCCAGGTTCAGACAAATACGAGGAGGCATGGACTGCGCTTCAGGAGCGTTTTGGCCGTGTAGACACAGTTTTGTCAGCTGGAAAGAAGCGCATAGATCAATTTCCGACCATAGTGAAAGAAAATAGTACGCAGATCAGACAGTATCAAGAAATAGTTTCTGAGCTTATAGGCATTTTCAGGGAGCACGACTTCCTTCATGAGCGTAACTCGCAAGTCCCTGAAGCAACTGTTGCTAAACTTCCGGCAAGCCTTTGCGGTAGATGAGCCGAGTTTGTTAAAGGAAAACCAAAGTTGTCAACCTAGGATTCATTTTCCAATTGGCTGGAAAAAGAGGCAAAAGTCAGTGAGTCCAAGCAGCGGTAGATGCCAGGGAAGAGGGGGTGGAAGCGTTCAGAAACCTCTAAAGTTGATAGGCGTAAGTCAGCTGACAAATCACAATCTGGGCTGTTTTTAGGAGCCACAGGAGAATCTTTATGCACCAGCTATGGAACAAAGAGGTGCCCAATTCACCAGTCCACTAATCACACTTTGCAGGAGTGCAAAAGTTTTAAGGGAATGTTGACTTGCGAAAAGGTGAAAGTTGTTGAAGAACACAAACTATGCTTATGTTGTCTATTACCTGGTCATCGTCTGAGTAAATGCCGTAGTAGGAATAGATGCAAAGTTGAGAATTGTGTCATGCGTCATCATACCCTCGTACATGACGTCGACTTGAAATTTATTGAACGGGCAAAAGCGAAACGTGAATTAGAACGAGTGCCAGATGGTGAGAGAGATCCAGCACAAGTCTCCCTGGAAGGTGAAGACTCGTCACCACGTCAGGCTGTGGAGCCCCACGAGGGGTATCGCCAATCAGCGTACGTAGGTTGTGAAGCTGGTGGTCGTGCCTTGGTTGGAGTACTTCCTGTAGTTTTCTTCGGAGAAAAAGGAAAACAACAAGTGATGGCCTTGCGTGACTTAGGTTGTAACACAACACTTATAGATGAAAGTTTAGAGCTCTCACTTGGACTTCAAGGCAAAGATGTGGATCTCGAAATTCAAGGAGTAAATGTGCGGAAGGTGTATACTTCCCAGCACATCAATAAATGTCATGTCGCACGAGTCGGAAGAGAGGAAGTCCAGTACTTCTTGCGAGATGTGAAAACAATTCTTAGCCTGAATGGTCCGGATCAGAAGTTGAAGTGGTCGATAATCAAGCAAGAGTATCAGCAGCTGAAGAACTTGGACTTACGTGACACCGACACAGGTCCAGTGCAACTCATAATTGGAACTAACAACTCCGACTTGATTCTTCCAAAGCAAATTGTGAAACCCTCTGGTCAACCGGAAGCTGACAGAGTACCTTATGCAGTTGAGACCCTACTTGGATGGGCGGTGACTAACTGGTTACCTGGTGAACGAAGAGTAGCACCTCCGTACAATGGTGTATGAAAGAAGTTCAGTTGAAGATGAGGAGCTGAAGCAGCTGGTCGTGGCTAAGTCAGAGATAGAAACGCTAGGTGTGGTGAAGCTAGCAGATCCAACCCGTTCAATTGTGGACAAGCGAGCATTGTCACTAATGGAAAAGCCAACTTTTAAGAATGCGAGTGAAGATGCGTATGTGTCAAATCTACTTTGGAGAGAAGAGGAACCATCTCTACCCAACAATTAAGAAATGGCAAAGAAGAGGCTGCAATCGCTAGAGGAGAAGTTTGAGAGCTGCCCCGAGGTCAGAAAGAGATATGCAAAGTCAATCCAGGATGACATTGAGAAAGGCTATGTGAAGAAACTGAGTGAAGGGGAAGTACAGTGCGATACTAAAATGACTTGGTACATACCACACAGATTTGTCATTAACCCCAAGAAACCTGATCGTCTCAGAAGAGTATACGATGCATCAGCAAAATTCATGGGACAAAGTTTGAACGATAAGATCTACACAGGGCCACATCTTCTCTTCTCTCTGTTTGGAGTCTTCCTCAGGTTTTGCGAAGGAAGAATTGCAATGGCTGCTGATGTGAAAGAAAAATTTACCATATGCTTCGCCTCCCTAACCATGACAAGCCGGCGATAAGATTCTTATGGAGGAACTCTCTGAGAGAAGAACCTAATGTGTATCAGTTCAAGAGAACAGTCTTTGGAGAAGTGTCTGCATCATCCAGAGCGAACTATACTATGAGGCGAAATGCTGATGAAAATGGGGAAGATTTACCTCTGAGTGTGAAAGCAGTCTACAAGCACTTTTACATGGATGATGGCCTACCATCAATGGATTCTCGTGAGGAAGCTACTGAAATACGGAAGCAGATGACTGAGTTGTTGCGCCGTGGAGGTTTCCACCAACACAAGTGGCTGACAAATGAACCAGACGTCTTGGCGACCATCCCGGAGAAAGATAGATCTCCACGATCCCTCGAGCTGAGTGAAGACAAGTTGCCAACGGACAGAACTTTGGGCGTCATTTGGGATGCACAGGAGGATATGCTCCGGTTTACCAGACTGAAGGGTGATCTGGGTACGACAAAGAGGAAGATCTTGAGCCAAGCATTCTCTGTTTGGGATCCAAGAGGACTCCTCCTCCCATTCACTATCAGAAGTAAGATCATCCTGCAGAGTCTGAATCGTATGAAGTACGGGTGGGATGATGAGTTGAAAGAAGCTGATCTTCAAGAGTGGCGTGAATGGCACAGGGAAGCAGAGAAGCTTGACGAAGTGAGAATTCCAAGAACTTTACTTCAAGAACAGAAACCTATACAAGAAACAGCACCTTATGTATTTTGTGACGCCAGCCAGGATGCCTATGGCGCGTGTGCGTACCTAAGACACGCGTTTACAGATGACACAGTAGAGTGTAGTCTTATTGCGGGAAAAGGCCGTGTTTCCCCTTTAAAGTTACTGTCTACCTGCCGGCTAGAGCTCATGGGAGCTCTAGCAGCTGGGCAATTAGCTGAAACACTGGTGAAAGAAATGACCGCAAAGATAGAGAAGATAATCTTCTGGAGTGACTTCACAACAGTCTTGCATTGGATCCGCCAGATAAGTTCCACTTATAAAGCATTCGTCGGCAACCGGGTGTCTGAGATTCACACAATTATGAGCAATATGGAGACCACGCTGGGAGCGGGCACAGTGAGTTGGAGATGTGTGCTGACAGAGGCTAATCCTGCAGATGACATCTCCCGGGGACTAAGTCCTACAGAACTTTGCAAGGGCTTTTGCTACAATAGTGGACCCAAGTTCCTGTATGAATCAGCAGAATTGTGGCCGGAGAATAAAGTCGAAGCACCCTCCGAGAAAGATGAAGTAAGTGAAAAGAAGAAGGGAAGATGGGCTGGAACATCTCAGGAAAATGAGGTCTTGTTAGGATGGAAGAAATATTCTTCTCTGACCAAAAAGAGTTACAGCTTATGTGATGCGATTCGTGAACAATGCAAGAACTAAGAAGGAAGCGCGTCTACTCGGAGCACTTACGTCGAGTGAACTGAGAGCTGCTCAGAATCATCTAGTGAAGAGGGCACAATTTGAGTCATTCAGCCAAGAGATACAGTGTCTAGAGATGGGCATGGAGATCCACAAGAAAAGTAGAATTAAATCTCTTGATCCACAGATAGAAGATGGATTTTCAGTTGTTGGTGGAAGACTGCAGAGAGTACAATGCCCACCATACAAGACACGACATCCCAAAATAATTGACTCACACCATGAGCACAGCTGATCGTGGAGGAAATACATCACCACCACCCGCCAACTGAGCACTTGCATAATCAAATTAGGCAGGAGTATTGGATCATCCATGGTGGTCAGGCGGTGCGGAACGTGAAGTTCAAGTGTAACTACTGTTTTCGCCAGACAAAAAAAACCTCAAGAGCAGCGAATGGGAAGTCTACCAGAGTGCAGACTTGAGCCAGGAATGGTGTTCAGGAACACTGGAGTTGACTTTTTTGGACCTATGTTAGTTAAGGAAAGATGCAATGAGATTAAAGTGTATGGTTGTTTGTTCCCTTGCATGAGTACTAGAGCGTGCCACCTCGAACTTGTGGATGATCTTTCAACAAATCATTTCATAATGGCATTGAAGAGATTCATTGCGCGACGTGGAAGACCGCAGAGCATTCACGGTGATAATGGAACAAACTTTGTCGGTGCAAATAATGAGTTGCGGAAATGCATTAAATTATTGGATGAAGAAAAGATACAACACTTCTGTGCGCCCAAGGAAATTGAGTGGAAATTTCAGCCACCAACCGCCCTACACTTTGGAGGAGCGTGGGAGAGACTAGTACAGTGCACAAAGAAGACGCTGAAGGCAATTCTGGCACACAGGACGGTTTCCAAAGAAGTGCTGAGAACTGCGCTAGTCGAAGCAGAAGGAATACTAAACAGTCGACCGATTACTCATGTGTCCAATGATGCAGGGGACATTGAAGCGTTAACCCCAAATCATTTCTTGCTGTTGCGGGCGAATCCGAGTTATGAAGATGCTGAAGTTAGTGATAGTGAGATCAACTCGACAAAGATGTGGCGACGGTCCCAAGCGCTAGCTGATTTCTTTTGGAGACATTTTACCAAGGAATATCTTCCTAGCCTGACAGAGAGGAAGAAGTGGAAAGAGAAGAAACAGAACTTCAAAGAAAGAGATGTTTTCCTGGTTGCTGAGCCAAATCAGCCGCGAGGTGTATGGCCGTTGGGCAGAATCGTGTCTAGTCATCCTGGGCGGGATGGGTTAGTTCGAGCAGTTACGGTGCATACTCAGCACGGAGAGTACAAGAGACCGATTGCTAAACTTTCTTTATTAGAGGAAGCGGAAAAGTGGAACTGTTAATCGCCTCGACGAACGTTGCCTCGACTAGGGGCGGGGATGTCCCTCCCGCTTCCTGTACATTTATTTATTTTTGTGTGTGTTGCTATGTGAATTGACAGGCCAGCTCGTTGCCATAAGCCACGTGCTCATGTGAGATAAAAACAAGTTGAATTGAGGAGTTTGGAGTAACGTGAGCGAATAAAGTTGTTTAAAAAAAAATCGAATCAGCTTAGTCCAATTGTCGTCCAGCAACGACAAATTAAATTAAAACGTTATCATGAAACATAATTTGAAATTTCATATTCTAAAATGCATGATTTTTTAACTAAAAAATTTTCAGAAATTGTTTGAAAATTTCATATGTTGATTTGAATAAAATAAAACAAGTTAAGAAATGAGTCAGACAATGGAAAGAAAACTGAAGAACATTAGTTTTGAAGTGGGCCCAAATCGGAAAGAGTGGGTCCATATCTGCTAGGAAAATTTATGGTAAGGAGGAGGTTTGCCAAGAACAGGGTTGTTTACCACTTCATCAAAGAAACCAGTTGGATTACAGTTCAGGTAAATGAGGTGCATAAAGACCCCTGTTGATGTTTCAGTATTTCATGAAAATTCATGCCATAGTATGAATAGTTGTGATACAAAATGGCAGGATGCTCTTCCATTTATGTACGAATTTCTGAATTTGTGAGACAATAACACTAAGTAGAAGAACCCTAATGCTGCAGATCTTTATAGAGAGAGATTAGCTTTAAATCATGTGATTTGTGTGGTAAGTTTTTGGCAATGTTCTTTTATGAACATTTTGTAAGATATTACTTGTGCACCTACCATAAAACTATCTTTATCTGAGCACCTTTAATATTTAACACACACACATGTATATATAAGCCATATAGCGGTTAGAGCAGTACATATGACCAATCATGAAAACTGCTTTACAACTCTTGTACTTTAATGTTATTTGTTCTTAATTTGTTCACTTCACTTCATAAACTTTAAGCAAAACCAGAGTGATTTTCACCTGGTGATCTACACCTATCTTTATAGAACCCAATAAAATTTACATCAAATGAAAGCTAAGGCGTATTAGTATATTGCGATATTAAAAGCGCGTATAAATACAGCAAAGTTTACAGAAACAGACTCGGCACCCTTTTGGACTAAATTTTGTCTTGGTCCGTAAAAATGCAAAAAAAGAACTTGGCCAAAAACCAGCCTCACACTTGGTCAATAATGCATATGTATAATGGGAACTCAATACTAGCAAAAGCACTGGAGTGGAGAGATGTAAATTACACTCCATTTCCACTCTGTGCTAAAGTTTGAACTTCATACAGAACTGTGGACAGATCCATAAAATTAAACAATAAGAGATTATGTGCACAACAACTATATCATGCCTGCAGGTGGCAAATGTCATGATGCTATTTCACAAGTTTAAACAGGCAAAAATTTAAAGAAAAAGTTTCCTCTCTCAAAAACCTGTGGCAACCATACTTTAACTTGAGTTAGGAGGATCCACAAATGGAGGTGAAAGTCAGTTTATTTGCAAACTGCATTCAAGACTAATTACCATTTTTCCTAATCATACAGGTTACTCGCACAACACTTTTGACATAGATGATTATTGAGGTATGCAGAACATGTCACATATGAACCTAGTAATGGCCTAGCTCACCATACAGTTCTTTGTAGTTCAGTAATAGAGTATCAAAGTCCAGAAACCAAAGGTCTGGGGTTTGATTTATCAGGATGAGGATTTAGATTCTTTCTTTGTCCAAGTATTTTGACAAATTTAATTACATATTTCCTGATATTGAATCAATTGTCCAACATTGCTTTCCTTTCTTTGCCTATGCACTATTGTAATGGCTGTTAAACATGGCTAGGTCTACTAAATAATTATGCAAAGGGTAGTTATATTTCAAATTTAATCGGACTATGTTGTAAATTGGAGACCAATCCTTAAAATTGGCAAATGCAGTTAATTTACCTTTATCCATTTTGTGTTGGCAAATGATAGCTTTTCATGGTGTCAGATATTTCATTTCACAATTTCCACACTTAAGCTTCCTATATCATAATTCTTTTATCCTGTCCCCTTAACTTTATATGCATTTATAAAATTTACTACTTTGCAGTTTTCTACCAAATTTTCCTGTGTCCTAGTTATTATACATATTATATATTATTATACATACCGGTCTACTAAATCTCCTTTCAAACTCAACTTTACAATAAAGGTTAGTTAAATGCAAGAAGATTTAATTTTCAATGTGATTCACAAAGTATGGTAAAAAACTTCTCCAGTAAATCAAAGTGTTCTATCATAATTAAGCAAATAATCATACCAGATTTACTGTTCCCTGACACTACACTCTACTTAAATGTTTGTAACACAAATTTACCATAGATAAAAAGATCATATAGGATTATCCACTCCAAGCAGTTCTCATCTTAGAAAGTACCACTACAATGAGTTGATTTTGAAGTAGGAGGTTTTAAGCATAATGATTGTAAATTCTTGATAATGAAAAATGGTGCCGTGTGAGTCCACTGAATACTCAAGCACAACATTTAATACACTAGTTCCTGAGTGTTTGATTTCCCATGCTAAAATGTACCTGCCAGTTTCTCCATCTGATATGTTTGATTACAACAACCTCTCCAATGTCAATTATCAAACCCTGGAGTCAGAATTATTTTATACCTTACAAGACAAATTAAATTGCTGAGTAACAATCCACTAACTCTTACACTCTGCAGACTTTTCCAGGAAATTCAGTTCCTCTGTTAAGAAGAGAGGCTATGTAAGGGTTTTATTGAGCCACTGTTAAGGGTATCTAACTGGTATGATGAGTCTGATCATATCCGTAAGTCTCACCTTGATTTGAAGGCTCCAAAGT